ATTGTATGGAACGAGAATTTTAATTCAGTTAGCAATTCAAATTAAAAAAATTATTTACAAATGTAATGTTTTGATCAAAGTTTTTCATTTTTCTATTTGAACGCATTAATCAAACTTTTTTTTCCTTTTTCTTTAATAACAAAAAGATTTTAAATTTTTCATTTTGTCATTAAGACAATTTTTTAATCACAAGACTCTTAGGAAACAGAAAATCACAAAGTTAAGGGAGTTTCTCACACAAGTTTTGCATTTTTTTTTATCATTTTTATTCGTACATTTAATAAAAACAATAACATTAGATAGCGAACAAGAACTTGAGTTAAACTTATTAAGATTTAGTTGAAACGTCCCAATCTTGTTTTTGCCAAAATTTAAAATAAATCTCATAAAAATTTGCAATTTATTCAATTCATTAGTGATAAGAATTACGATAAGAAAATTATCATTATTGGCATATGATAGAAGAATTTCTTTTGTAAATGTGTTTATTTTATAATTACTTTCACTTTACCAACTGGTTGTAAATCAGTTTTATAATATTAGTAGACAATTTTATATTAGCTTTCTTATTGACTGGTTAAATGTTTCAAAACAGCCATTTTTAAAAGGAAATATCTTAAAAGAAAATCATTAAGTAAAGAATGATCAAATTAATTAATAAGAAATTCATTTAAGTATCGAAATATCTTCAAGAAACTCCCTTATGAAATGTCATGTTTAGTTTAAAATAAAAAATAAGTTAAAGCCTTTTTGAAGGTAATCAAACAGATTTGCAACCGTAACTGGATTTTGATTAAAATAAGACAATCAAGTTGATTAAATTTAAGTCAGATAATTTCTTATAATTTTGTGCCCTCTTGCAATGAAATCAGAATAATTTTATGAGCTAAATAACTATTAAAATGTTTACAAAGAGATCAACAATGTCATCCACCGTTTAAAATGTACAAACCGTCAGAAAAATTCTTTTATGATTGGACAGATTTAATGACAGGAGATTCGATGAATATTTTTCACATAAATAAAATAATTAAATCATTTACTTAGACTTAATTAACAAAAATTCATCCATTTTAGTTTACGCCCATTTATTTGACGATTTAAGTTCCCCGACACTGTTTTTCATTTGCTTTCCCCCAATTAATAATCACAGATTAATAAAAACTTGAAACTTTCAAAATGACAAATTGAGTTTAATTAAATCTTTTTAATTTTTTATTCATACTCATTAAAAGAACAATTTCTATGTAAAAAATGTTAATTATGTTTAAAGTTAAAAATGAAATTTAAGAGTTTTATGAATGTAAAACAAAAAATGAAGCACACAAAAGAAAATTTATCGATAAAGTTGGAAAAATCTATGAAAATATGTCATAAAATTAATGAATTCTTCGAGCACTCGAGACAGGAATGCGTGATATGGATTTGGAGTTTTCATTGTTGTTTAACTTAGATTTTGGAGTCGACGTCGAAATGAATGCCTTTGAATTAGCTTTCGGCGTGTGTGTGTTGGCAACACAACTCAGTGGAGTTCTGGATGATGGTTCACTTTCTTTTAAGAGTACCTTCTTTGGGGGAGTTGAAAAAATGTTCATGTTCGTCTCATCGTCCTCAAAAATTAGATTTTTAGTGTTCTTCGATTTTTTTGTGACAATTTTCTCGTCGTTTTTCTCGTCATTTGAAAGAGCAGTTGAGATGAGTTTATCAGCCAGTTTCTTTACCAAATTGTCATCCTTTTTCTTTTTTGTTTCTTCACTTGAGCTTGCGACTATTGGAGTTCGAGTGATTTCAGTTATTGGTGATCTTGGGTCAGGAAGTTTGCTGAAATCTTCATCCAAATTCGTTTCTTCATTTTTAGATTCAATAGTTACAAGATCAGTGTTAGCCTCTAGCGAATCTCGTTCTTGTGGTGTAAGAATATCCATGTCAACTTGAGATTCTATCGATTCATTTAATTCTTTATGGTTGAACTTGCCGGCAGAGTTGCTGCGGAATATCGAAATTGGTGTACGATTGATCAAACTTGAAGGACTTCGAGGATCATAAGACCAAATGTTTTTAAATAGTCCTGTTTTTGTTTGTGTTTGAGAAATTGGTGTTTTCTCTTTTTCTACCTGAAGAATAAATAACAATTTATGGTTTAAAATAATTATAAAGAGTAAACGAAACAAGTAACGAAGCTTTTCTTTGTGCAAAAAAGAGATCAGCGGAATTTACAAAATTCTTTGTATAATTACTTTAATATTATCATCGCTAGCATCACTTTCGTTTAGTTCAACGTTGTTTGTAGTTAATTTTGTCACTAAGTTTCCCATCTCGGAATTATTTATTGTACAATTTACAAGAATTAAAAAAAAAGTTTTGAACTGACAGTTTCCAGGCAAATTCTGTTAACGGTCAAATTGGTGCATCGTCAAGTGATGTTACATAAGATTCAAAGATAAATTTTATCACATTGATTTGTAGAAAATATCTTATGAATTATTTTTAGAATAATTTCTCTTCTCATATACGATATTATTGCATTTATTCGACCATAAATTCATGAAACTGGAAATTTATCACAGGTTTCTTGTCGACAGACACTGTGCTAGACCCTACTGTCTATTGTGAAATAAAGAATACGTGCGTCATATTCCACAACTTATTTTTAATCAAAGAGAAATATTCATTAAATTTATAAATATTTAATAAAAGCAAGCTAAAAAATGTTAGTTAAGATTAACTGGCTGCTGGTTCTTGTTTTAGCACAGTTGAGTATTTATGGAAATGTACGTAATTCTAAATTTTTGGAATGAAAGTAGCATTACAAAGAGTTTTTTGTTTTTGTTTAAGGCTCAAAGTTATGAAGACAAAAGATGCAAATGCATTTGTCCCAGTATAAATTCTGTTATGAACAACACACAGGAGGATAATAACAACAGAATACTTGTGATCGATAATGTAGCACCGAATCGATGGTAAAGACTTTCTTTTGAATCACTAAAATAGCGAAATCATTTTATGGTACAATTTTCACTTACAGCAACTGTGATCAAGTCATTCTGCCTAAACTGGCAGATAAAATCAAAGGTAAAGAGCAAGAATTTTGTCCAAGATGCGAATGCAAATATGAGAATAGAAACACAACAGTTATAAAAGTAAGATCAAGTTTAAAACTTTAAATTACTCAAATTTTCATGATTCATTTTATTTAAAGGTTGTCGTCATCATTGTGATCTGGATAATTTCTTTATTGGCGATTTACATGCTGTTCCTAAATCTTCTTGAGCCGATTCTCAATAAACGAGCAAAACAAAACTATTCTGAGCACATCAATGATGAAGCAAGTATCAGCTCTAATGGCTCTAGTGGTTTAAGCTTACATAAAATTGCTTAGCGACATTTTTTGTTGAAATACTCAATTCATAATAGATCATTCTTTAATTCTATTTTTACAAAAGATGCCTGAACTGTGAACTACTAATTATACCCTGCATATCGTATTGGCTTCCACTTAAATTTGATGATTGGACAAGACTTTAATCTCATAACTTTAGTTGATAATTTATATTGAACATGTTATGCTTTTATGTTTAAAAAGTTGACTCAAATATGCATTATTGTGCTTACTCTTCTTTATTTTTATTTAATTAAATATCTCTTTTCTATATGGAATTCTTTTTTTATTAGTTATGTCTCCTTACATTCCAGGATGACACAGGATCTGTGTCAGGTCATCAGCTGCCAATGGTGAATGTCAATGTTGGACGTAGCAATGTCCTTAATCGCGTGACAAATCAGCAAGATAAATGGAAACGTCAGGTAAGAAAATCATAATTTTTATGGTACAATAAAATTTATAATTAAATATCGACATGAATTTAATAGGTGCAAGAACAAAGGTCACGGATCTATAATCAACATTCAATGTTAAATTAAGATCGAGAAAATGAAACGTAAATCATGCAGCTAAAACGAAGAAATATCAAAGTCACTGTAAAACCTCGTAATCTAGAATAAGAATAACTCATCGAGGCATTCGGATATGTGGATCAAGTTCAAGTATTTTAAAAGAAAAGCAGAAAAAGAAAGGAAACTTTTCATTTCTAACTACCTAACTAGTCGTCATCTTGTAATTACATTTCAATAAAACAAAAAATACACGATCCTTTCAACTATTATTAAATAAGCTTAAAGATTATGTAAATAAATGAAATAAATAAAAATTTCCTTAAATTTTAGCAGCTGCATTCAAGACTCGCAAGGAAGAAAAACTTTTCAGATGCAACGAAAATAAATTGTAATTTTTAGCACAGAGAAAGAGTGCAATGACAAATGTATTGATTTTATTTATAAGATCATCCGCTTTCTGTTTGTTTGCCACGTAACCAGACTGTGCTACTACTTATCAAATGAAGCGTCAATCAAGGTTGTTACGATGCATGTGTTAATTGTATCATCATCATACATTCTTGTCGACGTAATCTTCTCACTTCTCTAGTTTATTTTTCTTCCTTAATGAGAACAGAAATAAAGAAAATCCAAGGTCGAATTTCCCTGAGTGAAAAATCAATTTTACTCTCTCACAAGCTTTACACTCGAATTTCCACTCTGAAAAAGAGAGAACAAAATTGTCAAAGTCCCTTGTAGGTGGAAGAATCGTTTTTACACATGTTGGAGAAAAATTAAGAAAACCTGTAATAAATTGAATTAAATAAAAAAAACTTTTCTTTTTCTCTTTTTCTAATTTTTTTGGTGAATTTTATTTTATCATTTTCCGTAAGCTTTTTTCCCTTTCAACGATCAAGATGAAAGCTTTTGCTGGACGAAAAAGTCAAAATTTATTCAAAAAGAATTCGCTTGTGTGTCCACTATTAATAGAATTAAAACAACTTCTTTCGATTGTTTCCTTCTCACATTCAATTCAAATTAACTTTAAATACTATTGCAAAGATTTTATCATCATTCGCTCGATTTTCATTTATCATTCTCGTTAAAGTGCAAATAAAAGTTTAAGTTGGGAATTTGAGTTTTGTTTTCCGATGCGATTGATTTAAAAGCAAACGAAGTCGAGTTTTCATATTTGGTCGGCAAGAAAAGAGTTCGATCAGGTAAATAATGCAGAAGGATCACAGGTAGATAATCCCAAGTAATTTTTTTTGCATTGTCAGCTTTCAATTTTCGTTTAATTTGTCGAGACTTGCAGGTAGTCAGATGGGAATGTCTTGAGTCATTTGTCTATGTTGTTTCAGAAAACTCATTGAAAGTGAGATGACCTGAAGATGAATTAGAACCCACCAAAAAGGAAAACACGAAAACTTTTGAATTTTGACTGAAGAATTTTAACCATCAATAATAGCTACAGACTAAACCAAATTTATTCAAATAAATTATTTCAATTGATGTTTCCTTTTTAATTTCTTTTTTTTTTGTTTTTGTGTTACTTTTGCTTGCAATCTTAACTGAATTTTAATTATGATTCTTGTTACCGCTGATTTTAACGGTTCAGAGGGGAAAATGAAAATAATTTTCATTTGTCTCGATGGGGGAAGGTTATTGGAATTTTAGCAAAGATTTTTAATTTCTATTCCTGTCCTGGTCTTATGCTCAATCTTTGCTTCCTCGGATATTGTTTATGTTGTTTATTTGCTTGTTATGGTTCATTAAATTTAGGCTATGAGCTTCTTGAGTTCGTCATAAAGTACCAAGACGAGAGCACCGCCAGTACCACGGAAAACGTTAGACAATGCACCCTTGAAGAAGGCACGTGAGCCCTCTTGCTTGCCGATCTTGACCCAGCAGTCCAATGTGTTCTTGTACATGATATCAGCCTTTGCACGGCCTGACTGCATCATCATTCGCCGTCTGACTGTGTCGAATGGATATGACAAGATACCCGAGCAGATTGTTACAACCTGGAAGTAAGAAAATAAAAATAATTACATTATAAAATATTTTCAAGTGTATCCTGAATAGTTTTCGCTCATGTGATTGTTTCTATTTTTCATCGCGCGCATTGACTTAAGGTCAATCGACTTGAAACAGCGCCAGCCTAAGCAAATGAATTTATTTTCGATTTTTTCTTCTTTTTCTTTCGTTTTCAAACGGTTTGTCTTTGAGTAAGAAGAGGATCAAGATAAACTTGTGACGCGACACTTTCAAAACATTTAGCACTTACAGCTCATTCTTAGTGCTGATAACCAAAATAAATATCGCATGAATGACATTGTAACAACCAGTTTTAAAATCTTCTCTTATTGATAAGATTAGAATGAGACAAACATCAATTGAATGAATCGTGCCCTCAGTTTCAATATAATGTTCATGGAATTAGATAATTTAGCAATACTCTCTCAAATTCTTTTCTTTCTTTTACTCCCACAACTAAAAACTTTTTTTCTTTCTCTCATTTCCGATAAATTCATCGTGAAAATTCTCTACAATTACGTAAAATATAATTTTTTCTGCCAAAAAATGCTTTAGTCTTACTTTGAAAATTAATATTTCGTTTTCTTCATTACCTAATCATGAAAGATCGAAAAGATTTCTCAATTTTTCTTGAAGAAATCCCTGAGAAAAATGTTTGACGCACGATTTTAAAGAGAAATCACATGCAAAAGAAGAAAAATTTTCTTCTACTATGCGTCAACATAAAGTCTTATGTAAGGTCATGGATATAATGCTTTAATTTAATTCTTACCTGTGCGATAGCGAAGTTAACAATGAATGGAGAGTTCTTTGGATCTGGCAATGATCCACGAGCTGTGTCATAGCAACCGAAGTATGCTGCACGGTAGATGATGATACCTTGGACTGACACACTGAAGCCACGGTACAAACCAATAGCACCATCAGTTTTCAATGTCTTCTTAATACAGTCAACCAAACCAGTGTATTGACGATCTGCATTTCCTTTACCAACATCAGCACCCAAACGTGTACGAGCGTAATCCAAAGGATAGACAAAACAGAGGGATGTAGCTCCAGCAGCACCACCAGATCCTAAGTTTCCGAGGAAGTAACGCCAGAATTGTGTCTTCTGGTCAACTCCACCCAAGAAGATTTGTTTGTAAACGTCCTTGAAGGCAAAGTTGAGGGCCTGGGTTGGGAAGTATCTGATGACATTGGCCAAGTTACCACGCCAGAAAGCAAGCATGCCCTGCTCCTTTGGAATACGAACGAAACAATCGATGATACCTACAGATCATAAAAAAAATTAATTAAAATTTTAAAATTACTCATAATTGAGGTTAATTCTTTTAGGAAAATTCCATTTTCGCGTGGGCTTATAAAATGTCTCTAGGAAGAAGATTCTAAACTTAACAGGTTGTCAATGAAAGTAGAAACAAGTACACTTCGCGTGAAAATAAGTTTTCATTATAAAAAGAAACGAGTTACGCAACCGATTCTCAAAAAAAAATTATAAAAAGGAGAAAAATGTCACATGACGAATGAAAAGTGGTAAGATCTTTCATTAAGCATACCGATTGATAATTCAATCGAAAGATATTAAAAAGTTGAAAACTATTTATTAGATCATTTGATTCTAAATAAGCTCTCAAGGGCGCAAAGAACAATTATAGGGTATGAAAAAAGTCAGCCATGTTGGCTCTCACATATACACTCACCCTTATATTCTTTGCCAGCTTCAATTTGCTTGTTAGCGGCTTGAACTTGAAGAATCAATTTCACACGTTCGATGGGAGCGACAGCTGTTTTTGAGACAGCAGCTGAGATACCACCAGCTAAGAAATCCTTAGCAAATGACATTGGGTCCTTTCCTTTGCCAGACATCTTTTGATTTTATATAATTAACACAAGCGAATTCTTAAATATATGAACTATCGCGTTCGAAAGTTGGCTCTCGAATGAATTGAAGAGAAATTTTTCTGCACTCTCGGATTTTTAAGACGTTTCAAACGAAATATTTCATTAGCGCGACCTTGTCCGTCTGGCCTTTTCTTCTTCAAAATAATTACAACAGATGTCACTTTTTTCTATTCAGAATAAAAATATTTAGGTAAGTCCTATTTCTATCTCTTTTTATATAATTTCTTTCCTATTTGGCAAAGTACCTACCTCATGCAATATACTTGTATTGAGATATTTTAATCAAGGGCGCTTACAAATTAAGAGTGATTTAATTTTAAGAATCTTTGAAACTCTTAATTCATTTTTTTATCAAACTCCCTATAACTTCCTGCAGTTATCGTGTTGATTTCTTTTAAAAAATGATGTCTAAAACACTGAAAGGAAACATAAAATATTTAACGGAAAAATATTCAAATTTCAATATTTATTGAAATGATGGTACTCGACCATGCCCTTCGTGCTCATCAAAGGGAACGTCACAAAGAACTTATCAGTGTAGTAAACTTACAGCGAAGAGACACGTCTTTAAAGTAGTTTTCATTAAAAGTTCATTAATTGCAGAAGTAGATGGCTGGACAAAAATTTCAATATGATGAAAGTGGTAGCACGTTTTTCTACTTCATCCTATCATTCTTAGCACTCATCCTGATTCCAGCAACATTTTACTTTTGGCCTAAAAAGAAAACCGAAGGTACATAAAAAAGAAATGATAAAGCTAACAGTAAATAATTGCAAGCTCGTCTGAATTCTCTATCAATTTTATGGTTCTGTGAATCGTGACATGTCTGACTAAACTTTTTCATTTAAATCTTTTTCAGATCCCAATAAAAGTAAAAATGATTGTCAATGCGAAGGATGTTGCGAAAAACGAATTATCATATTAAACGCCGATCCTTATAAAAATGTTAAATCATTTGGTGTTAAGTTCTCAATCATTTTGGGATGGGTGCTTCTCCTTCTTATAACTTACAAAGTGTCACAATTTGATTATGAGATGTCAAATTTCGATCCTTATGAGATTCTCGGCATTCCTTTGGGATCTTCTAAAAGTGACGTTAAAAAAGCTTACCATAAACTCTCCATTGTACTCCATCCTGATAAAGAAACTGGTGATGAGAAAGCCTTCGTTAAACTAACAAAAGCTTACAAAGCTTTGACTGATGATGATGCCCGAAAGAATTGGGAGATTTATGGAAATCCTGATGGACCTGGAGCAATGTCTTTTGGAATCGCTCTTCCCTCTTGGATAGTAGAAAAGGAAAATTCTGTATGGGTACTCGGACTTTATGCACTCGTGTTTATGGTTGCTCTACCTATTGTTGTTGGCACTTGGTGGTATCGATCCATAAGATTTTCAGGTTTGTACATTTTACCAACGTTATTCTTTTAATATTTCATAAATATTTCTTATCTTTCTTAAGGTGATAAGGTTCTCCTTGACACAACGCAACTTTACTTTTACTTCTTTCATAAAACTCCAAATATGGCTTTGAAACGTGTGATCATGATTCTTGCTGCATCTTTGGAATTTGATAAGAGACACAATACTCAAGTTCCTGAACGTCCAACGGACAATGAAGAAGTTCCTTCACTTATAAAGCTCTTACCTCATTTAAATGAGAAATGTAAAGAAGTTCCATTGTGTCGAAATTATTCTGTAAAAGCGCGAGCGATCATTCATGCACATTTGAGTCGACTTCTATTAAATCCCAACACATTGGAGAAAGATCGTCAATTTGTCATCAGAAAGTGTCCATACTTAGTCAATGAAATGGTCTCAGTTGTCAATCAATTGATTATGCTTGCATATGCTGGAAGAATTTCAGGGCAGAAATTACCGCCAATTGAAACAATCGAAAATTGTATGAAACTTGCACCAATGATTATTCAAGGACTTTGGGAATTCAAAAGTACTTTACTGCAATTACCGCATTTAACAGAAGATCATTTAAAATATTTCGTCAATAAGAAAAGATACATAAAAAGCTTACAACAGTTTGCAAAGCTATCACCTGATGAAAGTCGAAGTTTGTTGCGCGATTTAAACGATCAGGAATACGACAATGTGATTAAAGTTTTAGGTAGAATGCCTTTGATTGATTTTAGTATTCGATGTGAGGTTGTTGATGATGAGAATTCAAATGTTGTAACTGCTGGTGCAATTGTGACAGTCACAGTGAATCTCGTGAGACGAAGCATGAGTGAGCTGTTTGGTGATTCATCAGCTGTTGAGAAACAGACAATAAAAGAAAACGATCGAGAAAAAACGAGTGAAGAAAATGGAATTGTTGGTGATGGAAATGAGCAGAAAGAGAATGCAGAATCAAAGGCTAAGAAGCCTGTTTGGTTGAAACAAAAAGCTCACAAAGGAAAACCAAAATCCAAATCTTCAAAATCAAAACCAGCTGTTGGCGTCATGAAACAAGCAACATCAACTACGACAACATCAAACAGTAATAAGGAAAATAAAGAAAATCAAGCAAAGCCAATATCCATGAAAGATGGAAATGATTCTGATGCAGATGAATCAAGTGCTGAAAGTGACAATGAGAATGTCGATGAAGAGAGAGATCGATCGTCTGAAGATGAAAGAAAGAATTCATCAGTTGAAGATGATGACATGGAATGGGAGAAGTAAGTTAATTAAATTAACTAAAATCAATTTGAACATCTTCATAATTTCAATTTTAGGTTTCAACAAAAACTTAATAAACGAGAAAAACTTGAAGGAAAATCAAAAACATCACACAGCGTTCACTGTCCAAATTTTCCAGAGGTTCTTTACAATTTTTTTTATTTTCAAATAATTTTCATTAAAGCAATTTCATTTTAGGATAAACAAGAATATTGGTGGACATACATCTGTGATAGGAAGTCGCAAACTCTTTTAACTGCACCTTATCACGTCACAAATCTTGTGGATTATCAGGAAGTTCAATTAAAATTTACAGCACCACGTTGGCCAGGTGTTTTCACCTTCACTGTGTGTCTCCGATCTGGTAAGTTGCAACAACAATTATTTTGCTTTTAAAATCCTTTTAATTTATTTCCTTGTCAAAAGATTCTTATATGGGAATGGATCAACAATTAGATTTGAAGTTAGATGTCAAGGAAGCGCCAGCAATTCCACAATATTCAGGTAACTTTTTTAACACTTTATTCATGCAAAATTCTTACATTTTCTTTATCATCCTTCAGAACATTGGAACATTAGTGAATCTGAAGAAGAGCATCAAGAACAGAAAGACAATGAAAGCGAGTTTACAACTGATTCTGAAATGTCAGATGCTGATGAGAAGTAAAAGTTGTCATCATCGGCTAAACAAATATTTCATAAGAATTAATTTGTGTAGTTTTTAATATTTTCTTAAATTGTGCAACTATAACAAAACAAAATGCGAGTCCTTGATAATCATTCTCCATCACATCGGATCACGAGTGTTTTCCAAAAACAGATATAGCGCAAATCAATTATAGAAAATCATTGATGTAGTAGAATTTTTATTCGTGATTTTGATTTCGTGGAATAAGAAAAACAAAATATTTTTATAAATTTAAGATTTAGATGGGGAGAAGTTTAATTTTGTTTTTTTTTTCATACATATGAGTCAAATAAATAACGCGCCACCGGATCTAAATAATTGGGAAACAATAAAATATTTTTTTGTCTGTGCGTTGCACGTTAATAAAAAAAAAGTTCGTTTTAATCAATTGTCAAATTATTTAATTTTGTACAATTTAAGGGGCGATAATTTTTAGGCCGCCATCAACTGATAAAGTTACTCCAGTAATGAAGGAAGAAGCTTCGTTGCATGCTAAGAATGCAATTGCTTGTGAAATTTCAGCAACGGTTCCAACTCTTCCTATTGGCGTTTTGTTCTGAATTTGTTGTAAAAACGAATCATAACTTTCTTCATTCATTCCTATACGCTTTTGAAATTCAGTCAATATTATTCCAGGATTCACAGAGTTTACTCTCACACCCATCGGTGCCAATTCTAAAGCAACACATTTTGTGAAATAATCGAGCGCAGCTTTTGACATACCGTAAGAAAGATTCCCGGGAATTGGTCTCATGCCAACAAATGATGCAACATTCACGACATTTCCCTTACTTTCGATTAAATGTGGTGCAGCAAGTTGTGTTAAATGAAAAACTGATCTGACATTTGTGTTCATCATGCTATCGAAAGTTTCCATTTTTGTGTCTAATATAGTGCCACGTGATCCAATTCCTGCATTATTTACAAGCACATCGATTTTTCCATACTTCTCGAGTGTTTGTTTGATTATTTTTGAACGATCTTCTTCATTATTCACGTCGGCAATAATTGGAAAAGTTTCACCCTCACATTTTTCTACAGTTCTTTTTAAATTATCTTGATTTCTTCCAGTTATAACAACACTGCCACCTAGTTTGCTAATAACTTCAGCTGCATGAGCTCCAATGCCACTCGATGCGCCAGTTATAATAATTATTCGGTTTTTGAAATTCATGACAAAGTTCATTTAAAAAAGAATTCTTGACTTTGAGCTTTTGAATGAATTTTAAAACTACCAGCTATGATTCTTGAATTAATTGAATTGCTTACTGATAAATAAGGTGATAAGATAAAACTTTTCTATCTATGCGAACACTTTTTCATGAGAATCAAGAAGAAAGAAGAATTCAATTGGAGTTATTTTTCTTATTTATCTCTCAAAATGTGAGTGCAAAGTTCGCGTAATCATATTTACTTATGTAGGAACCATAAATGAATGTGTTTCATCAGCTACTCGCACTAATTTAAGAAACTGAACTTCTCGCATCAGCTTGAAACAAACCGTCAAAAATAATTCAAATCATTCTAACTCCCGTTAAATCGTTTTTAACGAATCATTAATTAGCGGTCAACTGAGCCTCGTTATTAAATTCCTGGCAGTTAACCGACAAAGTCAGACCGAAGTCATAAAGTTCTTAAATAAAGTGTTAAAAAGTTCAAAACTGTTTTAAAATGAATGTGAATCGTTATTTAGCAAACATTATACAAACTAATGGTTGCAGAATGTGGAGAAATCCCAATGCAAATCCGAATATTCCGGAAAGTTCACTAGAACTTTTCATAAAGGTGATTTCCACATGGTTTGTGGTTATATGAATTTTTAACGTTTTTTTTTCCAGAATATTCCACAAAACTTATTTGAAGCTGATATCTTACCACATTTTGAAAGATTTGGACCAATTTACGAATTCCGATTGATGATTGATTACAACAATAAGAACCGTGGATTTGGATATTTAAAATATGTCTGGGACAAGTCAGCATTGCAAGTTTTGGATTGTATGGGATACTTTTTCATACGAAGAGAAAGACAATTGACAAAGCTGGAAGTTGAGGAATCTCAACAACGATCTCATTTACTTGCACTAAACATTCCATCTTACAAATCTGACACAGAAATTGAAGAAAGTTTCAAGAAATTATACGCTAACTTGGAAAGCATTTCAGTTGATCGTGAAAATCCTAGAAATCCTAGAAATGAACAGAGCACTTGTTCAGCATTTCTCAATTTTCCTAACCATCAGGCAGCATTAGCAGTAAAGCGTGCTAGTGGTACTGGCTTAACCATTATGTGGAACCGAAACATAAAAATTTTGTGGCCATCGGCAGAAGATTGCGAAAAATTCAAGATGAAAAGTAAAGACGTAAAGCATGTTCTTGTTCATAACGTTCCTTTCCATTTGGATGCTGATGGTTTTGGATCTATGATTAGTGAATTTGTTCGTCCAGAGAAAATTATTAGCATCAGAACATATCGAACCCATTTTTTACTGGAATTTTCAAAAAGTAAAGCAGCATTCGAGATTTGTGCAAAAATGCATGGAAAGAAAATTTTCAATCAAAATATTTCTACTGAATTGATTACATATGAACATTTCAAATCAGTTCCTATCTTTGCTGATTTTGACTTTGAATTACGATGCATGTGCTTTGCTAATTATTGGGATCCACCAATTTTCATTTATGGTCTCATAATTCCAGACACAAACACTCAACAAGTTGCAGTCATAATTAAAAACAATTGCAAGAATTTACACGTCACGTTTCTCATTGAAGTAAAGTTCGAAAATTTGATAGAAATTCATTCTCGAGTCTGTGAAGTGATTTTGTTCTTTCTTTTGGAATGGAAACAACTTCCCAAATTTAACACTGTCATCAAGTGTTCTGATGATTGGGCAGTCGTTGGTAAGATAAAGTTCTATGATTTTTTAAGTTAGAATTCTAGATTTTCTTATTTCAGTTGGTTTTATCAAGAATATGGAATTCCCATCCCTCCAACCGTCTTTTCTGATGCATCAAGAACCAACTTCCATTTACCTCAACGACATTTTCAACTTGTCTCGAATGTGCTTTCATTTCATCACACATGCAAACATTGATGAAGTTTATTTGGAATACAAAGCATGTTTAAGAAATTTTTCTCGAGAATTTTTGTGTGGCATATATTACGGTGATTTTATTTTGGGATGCGTTGATCCAAAGTACCGAAAGGGCAAGGCACTTAAATATTTAATGAACTCACGAAACATGATTCTTGCAATGTGCTATTGTGACACGCGATCCAATGTCAATTACAAACATAATCCGCTTTTATTCAACGTTGATAACATAGGGGAAACTGAACATTCGACATGGAATTTCAAATTAAAAAGTGAGAAAGTAGAATTGCTTCCACTCGGATATACTCAAGTACAAAGTGTTCATGACGTTGAGCGCAAATGCATTGAATTTAATATGATCGATGAATACAAATTTCGTCCAGTTTCCGATCAATCTCGTTTGAATCTCGCAGTTCCACAACCTTTTGGTGTTCCGCAAGTGCCACCACAACCATTGTGGAACAATTAAAGTAAATCATTGCTAAAATTGATAATTTAAAAAGATTTTAGAATGACAAACTTATAGGTATCTACTTCACATAAATACTTATTTCCCAAAAATGATTTTTTACTTTAATGTATGCTCGAATAATTTTTAATCTACAAATTTGCAATGAAAACTTTTAAAAGAACCAAAATTGAAAAAGTTTGTGAAAAATCTTTGAATTCGATCAAAAAATGCTTGTAAAACGAAACAAATTAATGACGACTTTGACTTGATTTAATTCATTATTAATTGACATGTAGAACATTAATTCAAAACTAATTTTTCTCGAGTAAATAAAATGAAAAATAAAATTTCCCATTCAATCGCTAGAATTAAAATTGTTTTCAAAACTTATCACGAAAGCCACGCATAAACAAAGAAGAAAACAAAAAATTAAATATTCACATAGCAAACACAAGGAAAGTAGATAAGTTTGATTCATTTTAAATTGAATTTGATTCAATCTACATCAGTGTGTCACAGAAAGTTTTTCGAAATGGTCACAAGATTCGAGAGATCAAAGATAAATTTTTCGTGTAAAATTTACGATGAATTTTCCATTGAAAATAAAGAAACGGGAAGGATTGAAGAGTTTTATATTCAAGATCTGCCGCCAAATTGCTATAATGAAGCAGCAAATTTCATGATCGATTATTATGTTAAAGATGAAATATTCCAAAAAGCATTCAATTCGACTATAGACACGATGCTCGATTTTTACAATTTCGTGTTCAAACAGAGAGTCTCTTTAGGATGTTTTGTGAAAGAAACTTCTGAACTTGTTGGGGTAAACGCGTTGAGTGTCAAAAGCAAAGGAATTGACACAAGTTTCAAGGTGAGATTTAATTTAAAAACACTTAATTGATGTCAATGATTGTCTCGCTTTCAGAGTGAAAATGAAAGATTTCGAACAATACGCGAATGTTTTGCTTTTATCAACAATCACTATGATGTTTTCGATCATTACAATGTAAACTATTTTCTATATGCTCATGGACTTGCTGTCAAAACGAATTATCGCGGACGAGGTATCGCACTGAAGATTCTTAAAGCCCGCATTCCTCTAATGGATGAAATAAACGTGACCGTAACGTCTTCACTTTTCACTTCAAAAGAAGCACAACAAGCAGCTTTTAATGCGGGCTTCCACGAAGACTTCTCCATGTCTTATAAAATAATCGAAGCAAAATTTCCCACAACAAACTTTTCAAGTGCTAATTGTGAAGATTGTAAGCTTTTATCGATGAAAATTACACGAATATGACGAACAGGCAGAAGGTCAAATTAATAAAACTTTATTATCACTCAATAAACGAAAATCTAGTGGACACATCGAGCAATGTTTTCATGAAAAAATTGCTAATACAGTATACGCTCAAATATTGTTTAATAAGCCCTAAGCAATAAGTGCTCAAATATAGGTATATGATAAAGCTCAACTTATCATTTCTTTTAGTATCTTCACTGTACTCTCATGAAAATATTCTTCAACGTGATGGTGTTCTTGTACACACTGATAATAAATATTTAGGTAGTTGATAAAAAACTTTCAACCGACATAGATATGGCACGTAAACGTTCAATATTTTCGATCTATCCTCATGTTTATCATGAATTTGTTGTGAAAGAAGATGATAAAGATGTTGAATTTGTTATTCAAAATTTAACTGATGAGTTTTTTGAAAGTGCTGTGCCGTTTATTGTCGAGAATCATGCTCGTGGTGCTGTTTTTCATAGAGCTGCAAGAACATTGACAGATGAAAAGGGAAATCAAAAAGTTCATGCGATGTACGAAAATGTGTTTAAGGAGAAGAATTCTCTTATTTGTTTGGTGAAAGGAACAAATGAAATTGCTGGATTAAATGCATTAACAATTAAAACGAGAAATGATTTTATGAATCCGGATGTGAGTATTTGTGTTATTAATGAAGATTTTGTAAATTGTTTAATCATATTTTCCTAGGTGTCTGTTGATCCTTGTTTTAGACTTCTAAATGAATCAATAAATTTTATTAACTCAGCTTTCAACGTGTTTGACCATTACGAAGTTGATCGAGTTTTGTCTGCTGCTGGTCTTGCTGTTGATAAAAAATACCGTGGAAAAGGAATCGCAACGCAAATATTAAAGACTCGTGCATTGTTGATGAAATCGATAGATCTTAAAGTAACAACTTCAATATTTTCAACTGAAGGCGCTCAAAAGGCAGCAGCATCCGCTGGTTATGATGAAAATTATTCAATCACTTACGAAGAGCTTCAGGAAAAATTTCCTGAAATGAATTTTTCATTTGTATATGGAAGATCATGCAAGGTTCTCTCAATGAAAATTTAACTGTTGTGAAAATAAATAAACAAAGGTTGCAGAAAAGATAAATTTAGTCATAGCTACATCTTCATTCAGAAAAATAAACTCTGTTATCATACCTTCAATTACCTATTAACATAAATTCACACTGATAAATGATAAATTAATTACCTCCAGATTGTATTATTTTCTAATGTAGAATAATGAAATTGCGAAATAAAAATCGATCAAGAGCTTAACAGTAAAAAAGAAAGAATATCTAAGACTATCTGAGTAAGCATACTTAAGTTACCTTTTTCCTAAATTGCTAATCGAAAAATTATTAACTGAACAAATTTGAATTCAAATCGTCGCTTTAATCAAAGCTTTGCTTCAGCCCAGACACAATCTGACTGTTATTTTTGGAGAGGAAAAGTTGGCCAATCAGGAGCCAGCACGACAGTTTTTCTTTCATCTCCGTTATAATTGCATCAGAAAAAATCTTTATGTAGTAAAATCAAAAGAAGTTATATATTTTCGTCATATTACCGATTCATAGTTCCAACTAGTAACTAGTGGCTCTTGAAGAAGTATCGGGAAAATAGAGAAAATATCAAATTAAAACTAAAATTTATTTAAACATTCAAGTTTCAATTTACCAAGTCATCAACATAAGAAGTTTCGAGAACAATGACGTCAAAACTCATAATCCCTAAAAGGGATGATTCCTGCTCTGAGAGCTCATGCAGTGATGCCGTTCGTACACCAGGACGTAAACGCAAACTTGATCATCTAACTTTTGATGAGAAAGTTCAACGAAAAAAGCTTAAAAATCGAGTTGCTGCTCAAACATCCAGAGACAGGAAGAAGAAACAGATGGAAGAAATGCAGGAAACTATTGAACAACAAAGCAAAAGAATAACCAACTTGGAAAGAAAATGTGACCAACTATCAAATGAGCGTGATCGAATTCAAGCGAAATTTGAAAAAATTGAACGAGAATATCAAAAATTGAAAGCAAATACAAACATCAAGCCAGAAATAAGACACAGCATTCCAGAAGAACACAAATATACGCGTTCAGCTTTGGAAGATAACAGCATTGATAGCTGTGTTGGCTCTTTTACCATGAAATCTGAAGGATCTGCTGAATCCAAACCTCTGCTGAAGGTTACAAACATGGAAATCGAGTCAACAAAGCGCTCAATCAAATTTCACAACCAAAAGAAGAACGACGTGAAAGCATTGCTGAAAGTCATCATGCTTTGCCTTCTCTACAGGAGCTCTTCGAAGACATCGAGTTCGACCAATTCGACCTTGAACAGCTTGCAGAAAGCTTGCTCGAAGATGTCTCTACAAACTTGGAACGAAATGTTTCAGCAAGCAGCCCTTCAAATGCCGAAAGCAAAGGCCTCCAACAGCCATTGTCTCAATCATTGGTGGGGACCGAAGACACAAGAATGGAATCCGCCAAAGATAAAAGCTCAATAGATCACAAAGTACCAGATGTGACGACATTAAATCTTGATGAAGCATGCAATGAAAACCGAATAATTTATGCTGATGAAATACCAGTGGAAGAAGAATGTTTTGAAATTCAAGACTCACCGGAAATCACGATTAAAGATGAAACACTTGACGATTTAATTTCACCAACACCTGCACTTGATTACGTACAACTTAAAAGTCCAATCAACACAATATCAGATTGTGGCTATGAGTCACATGGATCACCAAACTCTCTTCAAGATTTCTCATTTAATGATCAGCAAAATGATATAAATTATCTCCTTAATGACCTCTTTCCTGCATTAGCATAAGTTAATCAATCATCTTATCATAAAAGATTTTTATTGTATGTTTCATAAGATTTAATAGAATTAAGTCACAAAATAAAAAGAAAAACGTTTGCAAATGTTACGTTTCATGTTTCACTTTAATAAATTGTCTCTCTTTTCAGATGAAAAAGAATTAAACAAATAGAAAAATGTATTTAACATTTTGTTGTCGATCATAATTTGTTTGTATCAAATCATGAATGACATGAAATTTCTGTATTATTGGTGGGAAGAAATCGACTTTTTGTTCATATTCTTGCTCTTTCTCAAACACTTTGATGGGATTTTCGATGGTAATTCCTTCAATATCTATTGGGATTATAGTTCCATATGTAATTTCACTGTCCATTGATGGAACGTCTTCATCATCGAACGTCAAATCAATCTCATTATCTTCTTCAGAAATATTGCAATCGCTTATATTAAATGTTGAGTTATCAAAAGAATATTCAATGTCATTCCATTCTTCTAACTGCTCCAAAGCACATTCAAAGTCATCATCAAGATTGTCGTCTAACAATGATAAGCAGAAATTATTATTGCAAGTCAATGTTGACTCTTGTGATCCACAAGAAATATTGAAAATTCCATAAGAATCATTCTGCATAAATTGAGTGTCAAACTCAGAAGTCTGTTCAGCAATACATGCGAGCTTCTCAGCAATCTCAATTGTAGCATTGAAAGACTCGATCAATGTTTGCACTAACTCGCACTTTTCATAAACTTTCCCTTCTGAACGATCAAAAATAGAACAACATAAAATAACTAAAACAAATTTCAACATTTTCATGTCTAACTTCGCCACTAATCATTTAAAACTGCTCTGTTTAGGGAACGTTTCGGCTTGCCAAAATTTGAAACTAAGAATACTAAACAAGTTTGGGATGGGAGTATTGGATCGTGAGAAAAATTTGTAAATTAATTAGGTGATTTTAAAATTCAAATGTTGCTGCTTTTGTTTCTTTTATTACTTTCGACAATAGAAAAATTCTTGAAATTACATCATTGGATGCAAAATTTGGACTCATCAACATTATCTTCTGTCAATCATTCGCTTCCTATGTCAATTTCCCTTAATTTAGATCCATTGATAACTTACAAATGTTGTGACCTTGAAAATCTTCTTTTATTAGAATGAGATAGAATTAGGGAGTGAGTGAGAAAGAATAAGATTACTCACACTAATGCAAATGATTGTTCATAATGTTTACATTCTATTGAAGAGTGTTAGAAAATTGTATGATTAAAATACTCGCAGTCGTGTGTTTGACATAAAATAAGATAGATAGCTAATCAGTTTAACCGAAATATTCAACAGAACGCAACGATGAAAGTGTTTGAGTATAAAATTGTGCAAATCCTTATTGCTGTCCTAATTCCTTTGGTCGGCGCTGCACTTTTCAACATTGGTGCCCAAAGAAACATGTTTCCTTGGTACGACACATTGAAACGTCCAAGTTGGACACCACCAAATTGGTTGTTTGGACCCATGTGGACATTTTTGTATTTGTCAATGGGATATGCAAGTTTTAGAGTTTGGGATAAAGGAATGAGATTCTCTGGTCCTGCTAAATGGCCTTTGATCATTTATATCATTCATTTATTCATCAATTGGACTTGGAGTCAAGTGTAAGCTTTGTAAGCTTTTATTATTAACACATTTCTGATTTATTTATTTTATCCAAAAAGATTCTTCGGATTTCATCTCATCGGTGGTGCGGCAATTCATATAGTAATTCTTCTTCTTTTCGTCATAACAACTGCGATTGCCTTTGCAAGAGTTGACCTTATTGCTGGAATTCTCTTTATTCCTTATATAATTTGGGGATCTTATGCTACAACTGTAGCTATCGGATTTTGGGTTTTAAATTAATTGAGAAGATAAATCCGGATAAATTATTTGCATCATGAGTCAAACAATATTAAGCAATCATCATTACGCCGTTTTGTTCTATGGAGTAGTCAAGCGTTACGCGTAATCACACAATCTAAACAGAAATCCAGTCATTGATGTATTGGTCATAATCTTCATTTCAGGCTATGTAAACGACGATTAAAAGAAAATGTTTGTATGTGAATAAATGTTTCTTTTTCTATATAAATATACGAAATTTAGTTTTTGCTTTCATATTTCAGTGTTTTTAAGGAGAGCAACAATGTCGTATTTTTATGAAAATAAGTTTGTTCAAATTATTATCGCATGTTTAATTCCCTTTATTGGTGGTTTCATTGTTGGATTTTATTCACAAAAAAATATGCATCCTTGGTATGAAACGTTGAGACAGCCTTCATGGTGGAACCCGCCAAGAGGTCTATTCGGGGTTGTTTGGTCTATTCTTTATGTTTTAATGGGATATGCAAGTTATCGTGTTTGGGAAAATGGTTCAGGCTTCTCAGGAGCTGCTAAAATTCCTTTGATTATTTATGGCATTACTTTATTCATAAATTGGACTTGGCCTCTAGTGTAAGTTGTCAATTCCTTTTTAAACTATTTCATAAATTCCATTACTCCCACTATACAGGTTTTTCACTTTCCATCTGATAGGATTTGCAACAATTCATTTAATTGTTTTGCTTGGTTTTATCATAGCAACATGTATTGCATTTATGGGAGTTGATCAAATAGCCGGATTTCTTTACATTCCATATATCCTGTGGATTACTTTAGCAACGACGATAACCTTTTCAACTTGGAGACTTAATTTGCATGAGAAGCGATAACTTTCGTAAATGTCAAATATCTTAAAAGATCTTCTAAAAAACATCAACCTAAATGTGTTTCTTGTATTCACAATTAAAATACAATTTAGAGAAATAAAAGGTTTATGTGGGGAGATAATTTTTTTCAAGGAAATGATTAAATTATGTATAAACATTCATTCTTCTTTAAGAGATGGTAAACTAAGCGTAACATTTGTTTACGTCTCATGAAAATTTAAAGAAAAAATTGATTTTACCGATCAATAGAGGGCGCTGACTTTTCACCACTGAACTGGATACGGATTTAAATTCTAAAAACACGTTAAAAATCAACTAGAATATCTAAAGAAAAGTTCTTAATCAGTAAAAATCGAATTAAATTCTTCAAGAATTTTAAGGAGAATTAATTGAAGTTTAGGAAAATAGCCCAATAACCATGCTTCTTATTAAATATCTTATTTGTCTGAGATAATGAAACAATCGAAGTAACACTTAAACTCTATTTTATTTTTGACCAGTAAATTTCGCAGAGTTATGTGAAGAAGTCGTGGTGTTTCCGAAGGTGATTTTGATCTTCCAACTGCTGCAAACTTTGAAGTGATTTCAATCGAGTTCATTTTTCTCGATCAAAATCTTCATAATCTTTATCTTCTTCCTCGGATAGTCCACCAGCTTCTTCAATCTCATCCTCTTTATCTTGAGAATCGTTATCATTTTCATCACTTTTTTCAATATTCAACTTAGCCGTTTCATTCATACTTTTTATTTTTGTATCAATTGATTTTGGAGACAAAGCGTTTCAAGTTGTGCCGCTATTTCGCTTTTCAACGATTCTTCGCTGATTTCAATCGTTTGAAGTTCTTTTGAAATAAGTTTGAGAATATCTTTATTTTCGGAATTGTCTTTCATCAATCTAATGAGTTGTAATCCAACTTTGTCGTGAAGATTTAATCGGTTACTACGAATAGTTGGACGTGAAGCACTTATCACATATTTCAACACAACATCTGCTTCAATTTCACAAAATGAACAGTCTTGTGGCGTTTCAGGTAACGTAACTAAAGTTGGAATTAACGAGTCACAAAGAATTTCTTGTTTCCTCGTTTTAATTATCGATTCGAAGAAGTTTCCAAGAGATTGTTTTATTTCTGCGTCTGTTGCTGGATTGAAGTATGCAAGCAGCAACTTTGATACCGTGTTGGGAGTGCAATGTTCATCATGAAGAATTATCTTACATAAACCAATAACTGTCGTTTTTCTAATACGCTGATCAATATTATTGTCCATCATATGTGTCAATATCTTAACAATATCAGTGGACATTGCAAGATCTGTTTCCTCAAATTCCTCAACATCATCATCATCATCTTGAATGACATTATTTTCTCCATCACTACACAATTTTTCGGTATGCAGAATATCCATTGATTATCAATGGATATTCTGCATACCGAAAAATTGTCACTTCTTAACAACTGTGCTTTGAGAATGACATAAACATCCTTACAGAGTGACTTATAAAGAAAACAACAAGCAATTGCTGTTTTCAAAGCCCAAGTCAGAGTCATTGTGTCAGTTGATTCGAGATGGTAACGAACAAAGTCATTGTAAATCTTAAAAATTCCCGGTGGCAAAGCTCGAACTCCTTTTGAGTTGAGTGCGTAGAAAATATTTTGAAGATTCTTAATAATTTCCGATGGTTTTACAGTCTTTGTTGTCATGACCGATGATAAGGTTTCAAGAATCAATTGTGATGAGTTTAATGATTCAGCAATGGGGTAAAGAAGCTCAAAAAGGTTTTTTCTTACTTTTATGAACGATTTAGATGCTTTCTGTGCAACCGCGTATTGTTTTTGTTCAATAGAATTCCTTTCTAGCTCTTTTAATTCCATCATTTCCAGTTTTAAACTGTAGGCTTTGACTTGCGTGTAATTGTCAGCTTTACTAATCAATTTCTTGATAATTTCTTGACATTCAACCTTATTTTGCTGTACATGATTTATCATATCAATGATAATGTTTTAAAAAATGTTAGGCGAGTATCAACAGATGTGATTGATTCGATTGATTCGATGATGTCAGTGATTTTTTTAATGGTAAGATGAGAAACTTCAAGTTCCATTAGAATTTTCTGTAATAAATCTTGAAGCTTTTTGCGAACAATTTCATCGATGAAGTAACAAAGCTGACAAATTTCAAGCATTACCATTAAGCAATGATTGAAGCTAAGTTTCACTTTATTTTCAACAACTCCTGATGATGATACGAACTTAAACTCATCCGCAAATTTCTCGATGTAATCACAAAGCACTGACAAATCGGGAAGAACTTCAATTTCATTTTCGGACGATGATTCTTGACTTGATGATTTCCTATCGACATATCTTTGATATAAGACCTTCTTCCAAACTATCAACCATTCAAGACTGCAGCTCTTTTCTGGTGACAAGCAATTTCGGTAATCAGTTTCCCCAGTTTGAAGATCCAAGAAATTGACAAGATATGAAATTTTCTTCTTCCTAATGAAATTGAGAAATTTGTAAGAAAAAAAGATTTTCAAGAAAGCTAATTTAACTCACGTAAATACAACTGACAAAGCGTCTTCTGCTAAAGATCGAAATTTTAACAATCTTTCATTACTTGAATTAGTTTTAAGAGCTTTTGTGAAATCAACGTAATTGTAATTGTATGAAGTAATCCACTTAGGAAGAATAACGTTGTGAAGAGTTTTCTTNATGAGCAACCCTAGCAAATTTCTCGATGTAATCACAAAGCACTGACAAATCGGGAAGAACTTCAATTTCATTTTCGGACGATGATTCTTGACTTGATGATTTCCTATCGACATATCTTTGATATAAGACCTTCTTCAAGAAAGCTAGAAAAGATTTTCAAGAAAGCTAATTTAACTCACGTAAATACAATTGACAAAGCGTCTTCTGCTAAAGATCGAAATTTTAACAATCTTTCATTACTTGAATTAGTTTTAAGAGCTTTTGTGAAATCAACGTAATTGTAATTGTATGAAGCAATCCAGTTAGTAAGAATAACGTTGTGAAAAGTTTTCTTTACCGTTTTAGAACTATCATTTAGACCTGTTGTTAGAATCTTAATACGATCGGCAATCTTATAAGATTTAACAGAATATGACTCATTTCTAAATAAGTGTGACGTCGAACTTTCTCGTCAGCATCTTGGAATCGTTCGAAGATTTGAGGGAAAACTGAACGGTTCTTTGCAATCATAGTTATCGCTGTTTGTCTAACTTTTGCTACTGGATCTGATTCCATATGAAGGAGATAAGCTTTTGTTACTTTATCATTAGGATTGTCTGGGAACTGTAGACGTTGTAACGCCTTAAGGGCATTTTGACGGACAAGCGGTGAAGTATCTTTTAAGAAAGTTGTTATCATTCGATAAACTACTGAATCTATGATGTTTCTACTTATCAAGCTCAGCATACTGAGAAAAAGAATTTATAATGCTAGCAATTAATAAACAAATTCGAGCTCGAATTTAAACACGATTTGATGTAATCTGAAATGTTATTCAATTTTAAAATGTATAAATGTCAAAATGTACTGGAATTGGCTTACCGACAGGATAGATTTGAAAGTATTTACAACTACTATGTGAGTTCTTCCTTGTTCATCACGCTTGTCGTTAAATCTTGCAATGAACATTCCAAAAAATTTAAACATTCGTAGCACAGTCTTGTTCACCTGTTCATGTATAAGAAACATATTTAAAGATTGACGAAATAGTTCTATAAAGTCACTGTGATTTATCTAAAAATTGCATTTGAGAATAAATATTAGAAATCATCAAGAGAAAACTTTACTTCGTATAACCTTATCGTAATATTTTTTAAGTTCTGCAATAACTTTGGCGTTATTGCAATTTGACTTTCTAGATGAGATTATCATATTTAAGACGGTTAGATTATCATTGCTGGGGTAGGAGAACCAATCAGTTTCACTCTCACATTTCTTGGCCACCGGCTTCCCTTTTGTTTTGCCTTTTGCTTTCTGACTTTCATCGTGCCTTTTATTTTCTCTTTTCATTGTAGAACGTTTACGATTTCTTGCCATTATGATAACTTATTTGTTTTTTTTTCTGTCTAATAAAAATAATAAGGAAAGGGTTTAAAATTCGCTACTTTTGTTGAAGAAAAGTAAATTAACCGTTTTCGGCTCGTCGACATGAACCTCATACTAAATAATGTAAAAAACCACAAAGTTAAAAAAAAACTAAATCCTTAAAATGTCGTTAAAGATCAATTCTAACATCCAAAGAAAAGTTGTCCACATTCCACAATCAAATAAAAAAATCAAAAAGAAGTGCAATGAAAGTTAGATAATTTAAATTTAGCTTTATTCATTCTCTTTTATCTTGTGTCTATAATTGACCCACAAAACATGAATCGATATTATTAAAAAAAGTTAAACTTTCAATTTAATCGATACAGTTTTACAAATTGTTGTTTAATGCTTAAAATATTAGTAATCTCAATAAATAGGTATATAATGGCATATTGAATTTGGTATATTGCGAATATTTTTTTTCAAAAATAAGAAATAAATTAAAAACATGAGCTCATCTGAACAAAAAAGCAATGAAAAAGATTAAGAACATAAAAGTTTAGATATACAAGTGAATTGTATATTAACTTAATTATCTTTGACTTTTTGAGGGTTTTTGTAATATAAAACTGACACAAAAACAGCTGATGATAACAAAGTTGAGACAACAAAGTTTGTGAGAAGCATGTAGTCCATACTATCCAACATAATTGTATAGATTCGAGCTAAAAGAATAAGAAATTATATTGAAAGTTAATTTTTTAAATTTAATCAAATCGTTTTACTCAAGTTGCTAAAAGCTGAGATAAACCATGTTATTGAGCTAATTGCTCTTGAATCTTTTGTCCTTATAATTTCAACAAGTTGCATTGATTTTGAGATAACTGACATTGGGAGTGTTCCAGGCTAAAAACAAGAGAGAGAAAAAAGAAAATTTAAATATCTGATCTCATCAGTTCATCATTGATGCAACGACACATGACTCATCAACTTACAATTAAAAATGTTAAAATACTTTTGGGTAGAATTGAAAACCCAAAAAGTGATACAATAACAACATAACTGGTGAATATCATGATAGTTTTCTGATTAATTTGTCGTCGATAAAATAAAACAACAGCAACAAGAATATAATCCTGAATGATCAAAACAATATATTCGAAATAATTGATCCATCTGTATCGATTTGTAAAGTTGTAAAGCGTTGAAATAGAATAACTTATGACTTCAATCGTCAACGATTTCAATGATAAACCTTGAGCACTTTTTTGCTGATAAATTGTTAGAATTTGAGGGAACTTTGAGCTAAATTTAAAGGAAAATCAAAATTAATGAACTTATATTTTCGCTTTACTAATTCTCGTTGATTTAAAATTCAACTTTTTGTTTTCACTTACACGAGACATGTTCCAATTGTCAATACCGATAGTATATCACCAATAACTGTCCAAATCGTAGTCATACTTATTCCAAACCTATTTTCAATTGTTAAAGGAAAAAAAATGTATTTTGTCTAGGTAAACAATACTTTTATTTTTAGATCAGTAATTGTGATGACCAAGGAGATCAAATATCACTGCTGTGAAGAAAACTATAGTGTTAAATATTCAACGTTTACATTGCTTGCAAAGATCAATTGAAACAATTTATTAATACATTTCAGATTTGAAATCGTGTAAATATACAATCAATGCTAAACATATATCTATTCTAAAAAATATATGTTGTGATCTCAAATATTGGATCACGCCGATATATGTCTGGATTATGCTGGTCATCGGAAGAAAAATATCCTATTGAGAAAAAAATATGTAAAATTTCTACAATTTGAGAGAACAAATACATATCTTTCTTATACTGTATTGATACAAGAATACATAGGATATACCTACCTAGTATTGATAAATCATATTCAATCATTTTAATGATAAAGAAACACAGAAAATCTCAACAATCTCAAATAAGATTTAACGGAAAATAATTTGAATCATAAGCTTCCAGATTTTTAAAGCGTCGCTTTGCCAACACGACTTTGCGTTGGAACTTTCACAATACATCGTACTACAAAACTTGTAACATTAATTCATTTATCTGAATAAGTACGTAGAAAATTATTTAAAAATGGTAAGTAATCTATTAGTGAGCTAACTCTTTCTCTATAACATTCAAATTAAGTATGAAGTTTAATCGTTTTCATTGAATCTTCATAATAAATATGATTCGAACAGATTAGTTCCACTATGAAGTTCTTTGCCTGCATTCTCTTTGTTTCTACTGTGATGGCTGCAACATCAGAGCCAGGAGAAGAAACACGAGCTCGTTTACTGGTTTCAAAACAAATTCTCAACAAATATCTCGTAGAGCAACGTGATGTCCTTGTAAAATACAATTTATTCAACGTTGGAAACGGAGCAGCTACACATGTGAATCTTGTCGATCAAGGATTCCCTGCTGAAGCATTTGATCTTGTTAGTGGAAAATTAGAGGCTTCTATCGATAGAATAGCTCCACAAACCAATGTTACTCACGTTGTTGTCGTTCGTCCTTTGGCTCATGGCTATTTCAACTTTACAGCTGCCGAAGTTAGCTATCGTCCAGTTGAATCAAATCCAGCAGTAAGTATTATTGATGTCAGTAAAAAAGCTTCATTTCAATTTTTTCTCATATTTTAGCTTCAATATGCTGCAAGTTCTGAACCAGGTGAAGGAGGAATCATAAACTTGGCTCAATTCAACAAGCAATTCTCATCACATTTTATTGATTGGATAGCATTTGTTATCATGTGTCTGCCAACAGTAGCAATTCCATTCAGTTTATGGTTCAAGTCAAAGGCAAAATACGAACTACTTGCACAGAAACCACAGAAAAAATCTAATTAAACAACTGTATCAGTTCAAAACGAGAACTTAAAATTATCATCGCATAATTTAAGAAACAATTGAATAACAGAAGCAGTCATCATCACTTCTCAACGTTTCCATTCTACAAAAATCATCATATGAGATTCAAAGCTCGTCAAAGAAAAACAAAATTGAAAATAAAAAAACTTCTTTATCCTAAATTACAACATTTTGTAGATTTTTTCGTATTTCTTACCTGATCGATTTCAGAATATTTATCTAAAGAAGTTAATCTTTACGATAATTCAAAGAAAAAAGCAAAATATTTCATTTCTAATTCAATTGATTTTTATTTTTAATGCTTTCTTTTATCTCTGATATAAGAATTTCTTCTTTCATGTGTTTCTGTGTGTATGTGTGTTTATCAGCAATTAAATTTATCGCTTACAATTCATTTTTCATTATGTATAAATAAATAATTGTAATTAATGTTAATGATCTTTCTTGTGTGTCGAGAACGAACATAAGTTAAACCATAACTGGTGCAAATGGTTGTCTTTAAATTTTAATGCGAACTGTGCTCTCGTGAAGTTTGTTTTCGCAGCCATATAAAAGACAACCTTCGCTGTTCATCAATTCAAAAATGATTTCCATATTCGGATTCATTTACATTTAGCACGATATAATTAAAAGTATTTTCATTAAGTTATTTCTTCAATCATTTCTTTGATATTATGCAATTGTTATGTTTATCATTAGTTGATTTCTACAAAAAATATGTTTTTATCTTTTTTTATAGGTAATTCTTAACTTCTAGAGATTTTGTGTATCAATTTTTTAATATGATTTCCTTGAATATTTATTTATTTATTTATAAGTAAATATTAAACTTTTTATCAGTTTTCCTCTCGAATACTACGTCTTCCTTGTTCTTTTGTTTACGTTATCATTTTGAAGTGTTTTCCTTCAAAAGATTTTCAATATTCTTGTGTACAAATTTACGGAAAAATGATTACTTCTCTAAACTGTTCAATCTACACTTAATTGCTATAAAAGAGATTTATTCTACTACCAATAATACAAAGTTTTCTTTCTTTCTTCCTTTCTTTCTTTATGCATTCGACACTCTCATTGATTATCAATTTAAAAATCATCTTTCGCTTACTTATTTTTTACTGTTAAAGTTCGCTACAATTTTTTTTATTCCATTTTTTTGTTTTTCTTGTTTCTAATGCGTGAGTGTAAGTGAAAAAAAACAAAAATGAAGTCAATTAAAACCTAGCATCGCATAAAACTTAAGAAATGAAAACATACGGAACTTGAAGCCTTATTAGTTTAGCAATCTTTCTCGCTGTGTTACTTATATTGGAATACTTTTGTTTCTTATTATATATAGAAAATAAGAAATGAAATGAGACAAACAATAGACGATGTATGTCATCAATCTTCAATCAAATTGTTATAAAAAACGTGCACTAGTCGATAAGCATTTTTATTGAAATGAGCGAGAAAATTTTCATTTAATGTCAATTCGAAGGATTCGAATATCAATAATACATTCAAAACTAAATTCTACATTGAAATTGAACTAAAAAATTGTTACTATACAGTCTGTGGTACCTACATCGTAATAAGTATAATTGGGGGAGGAAGGAAACCTAAAAGCGAGTCAATTTATGCATTTAAAAAATTGTTTTTACTAGCAAGAAAGTATAATGAGTAATTTAAGTTAGTAAAGGCTACAATCACAAACAGAAATTATATTTAAAAAACATTTCTAATGATGAGAGAAGCCCTTAAAATTAGTTTTAAGAAGAAGGATAAAAATCAGCGACTTTCAATCATCCACTTCAATTTACAATCGAGTAAGTAAGTAAGTAAGTAAGTAAATTTAATTCCTTGCTTCAATTCAATTATAATTCCTTAAATTAAAGCTTATAAACCTAAATTCTTAAATTAAGTCGTGCTCAATTTGATGATTTTATCTTTTCTTTGTTTGCTTTTGTTTGCACAGCTTTATTTCAGATGTAAAATATTTTAATGCTTGTGCTTATTTAATGTCAAAGTTTATTTTTCAACAGTTGACCAGGGGCGTCAATTTTAAAAAGTCGAATACAAAGTGTTTTCCATTCCTTTTCATTTCTTCTTCATTTCCTTGTCTTGTCTCTTATGATTTACCTTAACAAAGTAAAGCCAAGAAAAACAAATCAAAATTAATGTTTTCCTGATCGTGCAGCCTCTTCCATTGCTCTTAGCTTATCACGTTCATGTTGTTGTTGTCTGAAAAGATTACATGAGTTTTTAAATGTCGTTGACAAAGTTAAATGTTTTTTGTTTTATTTTAAAAATGAATGAAATTTTTCAATAATTTCATGGAGACCTGTGAAAAGAAAAAATGAAGAAGAAAATGTGAATTTTCTTTCTTTCAATTTTTTTCATTTCTTTACACCGCTACATGTCTTTTGAAATGTGAACATTTTTAACGTTTATAAACTTACCGAAAATATTGTTCATGTATTGAATGAGCGCGATCAAAAGCTGCCGATTGTCTTTGGAATTCAGCGGCCTGATAACGAAATATTAATAAATGATGTCATGAATTATTGAATGAAACAAACCTGTAATTGATCAGCATAAGTCATACGAAGAAGAACATCCGAATGTGGATCGCGAGGCATCAATAAATTCGGTCGTGGATAGGGCGGAACATTCGCTGCAATATTAAAGCCTTTAACTAAATATTTCTATCCAATCCATCATAATAAAATTGAAGAAGAAATTATTTAAAAATAAATACAAACTCACGTGGAAGTTGAAATCCAGCGGCGTGTGCTTCCTGCTGCTGTGGAGAATGTAGGTGTAAATGGGTATGTGAGTGAGCATGGTATTCACCAGCCAAACGTAACTAATTTACATACAAGTTTGTTTAATACATTTAAGGGAGTTTTTAGGTTTTGATAATTTCAGTTTTTTTTTGTTTTTTTTTCGAGGGTTCGAAGGGGGAGTTGGACAACAAGTTGGGCAGTTTCGGTTCGAACAGAAAAAAAAATGTATGGGAAAAATAAAAAAAAAGTTGTGAGAGTTTTCCAACGAGTAAATAAATAATTAAAAGATAAGTAAATGGTTAATGAAGAGAGACATCAACAACCAGCTTTTTTTTTATTTAATTAGTTAAATTTAAAATAATTTTGATAAGAGAAAAAACTGGAAGATGATTTGAAAATCAAAGAGTAGAGAATGAAATAATGAAGACACCGAAACAACAAGACAATAAGTAAATATGACTACTGAAGTGATGGCAATGGGAGTGAAGATGTTAAGATGCACTCAAACCTAATACCATCTTGACATCTTATTTAATCAATAACAATGAAGCAACAGGAAAAGAAGAAATGAAAATTCTACTTACCATTTGTTCATTTGGATCCAAACTATGTTGAGGGCCTGGTGGAAGTCCTAAACGTTCTCGTTCTAGACCCGGTAGTCCAGGATATAAAGGCGGATATTGGGGTGGATGAATGCCTCTGTAAATTATTTAAATAATTTAACTTTACTTCCATTTGATGAAAGTACTCACCTTCGATAAAAGTCCATCCAATTGGGATGCGGTTGTGGTCCCATACCTTGTGAGTTCTTCAGCTCATCAAATTCTCTGAAAATGAATGAAATTTTAATGAAACAATGAAATTAACAAAATCATTTGTGATTAATGAAATTAAGCGAATGAAACATGAAATTTTATGATTTCTTTTTAACTTCTATCTGATTTAATAATTCACATATCATTTTTTAATAAATATTCCAAGGTTTCCCTCTAATTATTGAGTAGATGAACACCTTAAAATATTCACATCAAACCAGTGAACTTAACCGGTTCCAATTTCCTTTCATAAAAATTGGAACCGGTTCCGATCCCTGCATCAAACATAACAACAGCAATCACCATTCAAACATGAAAATAACAAATAATGATAAGAAATTTATCATCCAATAGAATTTATGGGAAATGATAATGAAATGCATGATTCTTTTCAGTTATTTTTTATGAATGAATGCTACAAAGCATCATCATATAAATGTCATCATACCTCTCACGATTATAGAGCGGATGATAAGGTGAAATCATGTGTTCCACGGGACTAGAAAAATATTTACAAAAATCAAAAATCATGTTCATCATTTCGTCGATGATTGATTAAATAGCCAATCGTATTAATAAATAAACAATAGAAGTTGCCTAAACGAAAGTACGAAAGGAAAAGAAAAAAAAACGAAACAAAACACAAGAGAACAACCCAAAGTTGTTTCTCCATCAATGCTTACCTGAAACCGACATGAGGTCGAGCAAAGTCGCTGAGTTGTCGCAATGCAGGAGTATCAGGATATGGACTTTTAATTTCAGGCTTTAATTTTTGTTGTGCTGCAGCAGCTGCGGCTTGTTGTTGTTGAACTTGTTGCTGTTGTTGTTGTGCTTGTTGTTGAGCTTTTCTTTCACGTTCCTTTTCAGCTAACTTTCTATCACGTTCTTCTCGCTTTCTCGCCAACTTTGAATCAGGTGTTGGCTTAAATTCCAAATCGGTTCTGGTACATGAATTGTAATCACCACGATCACATCGACGAACAAATCTAGATGGAAAAAAGATTTTGAATTGAAAATAATCAATAAAAGGAAAATTTTCTTACATTGCCGATTGCGAACGATGACATTCAGTGTCATCAGGTTTAGCCTCTGGACTCGGTCCACGATCGATTGGATGAACTGGACTTGGTGGTTCAGGATCTGGTTCAATATCAACAGCTTCAATATGTACCGGTTCTGTTTGATGATGATGACTACCACCAATACCACCCCCACCACTTCCACCCATTCCAGCAGCACTTGCGGCATGCGCTCGAAGCGCTTCAATGTGACTTGTTTTACCAGGTGGCAGAGTATTTTCCATAAATGGATGTGATGGTGGATATGGTGATGTATATGGAGCACCAGGATGAGAACCACCACCACTACCGCCTGGAGTTGATGGATTACTTCCCGAATGATTATTATTCTGCGATGATTTTGATGGTGCTGGAGATTTAATTTTGTCATGAAGTGAACTTACTGACTTCGGGCCATTCGAATGCGGTGATGGTGGCTCATCAGAACGTGGCGGTGGAATACTAGTAGGATGATGATGCTGTAAAAGTGCTCCATCTAAGGGACCAGCGCCTTTAATATAAGAATATGCTCCAGGTGGTGGACCATAAGCCGAGTATGGGTAAGGCGAATTGAATGGATTGTGAGTAGCATAAAACATCGATGGATGTAAGAGATGATGCGGATAAGGACTTTGCGATGGATGCATCACTGGACTTTGAAGTAATGGCATCGCTAATGGCATTGTCGGATGTCGAACAACAGGCGGTGAAGCTCCCGGTCTGAAATGTGGTGGCGGAGGAGAATTCGGTCGTTGTCCTGGCTGTGAACTTGACGGTCCATACATTTTACTAAGTGGACTTGAGACAAGCGACGATGCTGCTGCTGATGATGAGACTGGCGGTGGTGTCATGTGAGGTGATTGTTGTCGCATTAAATGTCGCTCACGTTCAGCTGATATCGATGCTGGTGATGGTCCAACTGGTTGTCCACCCAAATGCAATGGACTGTTACGACTCAAATTCGCAGGATGATTAGAACTTGGTGATTGTGGTCGATGTGAAAATGCGCCACCAGCTGACGGATGAACCAACGGTGATGATCGACTAAGCGATGATGAATTCAATGACGATGGTGCTGATGGTGATTGAATAACTGAATTATGTTGAGACGATGGAACCATATGACTTATCGATGACGATGTCGCTGATGTTGGCGTTCCACGACCAGCTGCTTCAATTAAACTACTCAATGGATTCGACGATGGTTGAGGTCCACCAATTAATGGTAATGGCGTGTTAGGTCCAAGTGGCTGCATTAAATGATTATGTAAATGTGGCGGTAAATGACCAGGATGATGACTTAATCCAATGCCTGGATGTCCCAAATGATGCAATGGTAATGGATGCGTAAGTAACGAATGTGGACTTCCATGAAGAAGTGGACCAAGTGGTGACGTTCGATGAAGTCCATCACGATGATTCTCTGACAATCGCGATGTTGCATAAAGTGGATTACCGGGACCAGGTCCAAAAGCACTTCCAGCTGCTGACGATAATGATGAGTTAGTCGATGTCGTTGCTGTTGACGTTGGAAAAGTTCGTGAGTTTGTTGAGATAGCTTCGGGACGATGAAGACCACCTTGAATCGGTAAGAATGGGGATGAACCGGATGTTGGTGGAAGTGACGAAGCTCCCATTGGTGGACCACTCGTTGTCATCAATGATGGATGATTTGCAGGTAAATGTCCTGAGAGATTTAATCCTGGATGTCCAACAAATGATGGAACAAGTGATGGCTGTGATGTCAGTGGCAATGGTGATGGAAGTGTCGTGGGCTGAGAATTGCTGTTGCTTCCCTGTGAGTCTTGATTTGGCGTTATTCTTGATGATGCATCGATTGGTGTGTCATTAGCCGACGAAGATGACGTGGGTGGCGGTGGTTGAATTGATGATGGATATTTCATATCTTGTGGATAATGTGAAGCTGCTGCCGCGGCAGCTGCTGCAGCTTTGATAAGATTATCAGCTGAGAATTGACTTTTCAGAGCTCCATCAGCGAACGCTCTCGCGGGATGATCAGGCGGAAGATATTTCAAATCCATTCCTGGCATTTCATATTTCATCATCGGGTCAAATTTCATCATTGGATCGAAAGGATGACGCAACATTCCTGGTGGTGCATGTTCAGCTGATGGAAATTTATTTTCATTTTCATTTCTTTCATTCGAAAAAGGTTTTTGTCCATCTGGTGATCGCTCGTTCTTACCATGTTCACTTTTTACACCTTCACGCTCGTTAAATGACTTCATTGTGTAGTCAGCGCCTTCAGGTCGATCATCAGGTGTCTTTGGTGGCATTGATCGATCTGTCGATGACGATCCACCAGCTGTACTGAACTTTTGAAGAGGCTTACACACTAAATTCTCTGCATTGTTATTGTTATCTTGTTCATTTGGCATTTGATTGCTGTTATCACTTGGTGCACCACCACTTTTACCAGCTTCACTTTTCACTTCCAATTTCACTTTTAAATCTGTTGGACTTTGATTTTGTGACGCATCTTGCAGCATTTGCACACCGACATCTTCATTTGGTTCCTTCTTAATGAAGACAGAAGAATCTTTTGAATGATAATCTCCGCCACCATCTCCAGTCGATGGTGCTGATGATGAGCTTAGCTCTTGCTTCATGTTAGCGAGTTTCGATAACATTTCTTGCTCTTTCACATTTTCCTTGTTATTTGCTTCAGATTCATTAATTTTGTGATCACCACCCCCACTTGCTGCTGCTGGTTTCTTTTCCTTATCACCTTCTTCGTCCGGTGCAGTTTTTGAAGATTGAGCTGGAATATCAGCTTCATCATCAGGTGTTGCAACATCAGACGGCGATCTTTGATCATTCTCAACATGATCTTCTTTCGTTTGTGTATCTGATGACGGCGTTTCGGGCAGTGCAATCGATAATGGATCTTTCTCTTCAGCCTCTTTCGATAAAAGTATCATACTTTCCGGTGGATCACTATTTGATTCACCTTCATCCATTACCGAACCGGGACGACTGTCAGTCGTGAGACTTTCAGCGGGACTCTGAAAATAAATCAAATTTATTCAAAAATTCATCAACAACAAACAAAAATCTTAACTCACATCAGATCTCTTTCTTTTAAGTCCATCTTTATCGTCGCCTTCATTATCGACATCATTAACTCGCTTCTTGCCTTTACTTGGCGTCTCTTTGTTGTTATTTGATGGCTTCTTTTTACCATCAGTGACATTGTTACGATTGGGCGTTCGTGGACTTTCGACAGCGACTTGTGCGTCGGGAGTTTCTGTACCACGTTTTGGCCTTTTATTGGAATTCTGCTCTTTAGCAGTTTGTTTATTACGCGTTCTCATTCTCGATGGTGAATCTTCACCCAGTGTTGAACCTTTATTTGTATTACTTGAATCACTATCACATTCACTGGCCTCGTCCTCGCTTACGGACGAGTTTTCTTCACCTTTCGAGATGGACGTTGGACGTGCAGGCGTTACCGTCTCGGTCGGTGCCTGCGGTTCCGGTGTTTGTTCCTTTTTCGTGCTTGTATTACTGTTTGTTCGCGTATTACGGATACGTCTTAACGAGCCTTGGCGTCGTCGGCGATGCGGACGATTATTATTAGCGCCTGGCGTCTTCTTCCACAAATAATAGAACTCTACCAGCTCCGGTGTGGGCTTGTGAGGCAAAAAATCTTTGTGGATACGAAAAAAATTCTTACCAAAATGACGGAGACCTTTAATAAAACGTTTAGTTTCCTCCTCCGTCCATTTCTTATCAATGCCTTTGGCTACGGGACACTTTAACAAAGCTTCGAGTGCTTTTCCTGGATCATAACCTGAATCATGTAACACATCAAATGCAGTTATTGTGGTATCATCACGACTTGCAGCGATACAACCATCCTCTTCGCACATTCCTTGAAATGCGGCTATGGATCGAGCGGCCGTGATATACATCAACAAGTCATTATCAAGAAACACATTTGGACGCCATCGTGGATCCTCGAGGTCTCTAGCTTCGTCGTCTTCTGAACGATAATTTTCTATTGACTGATAATCTGGCAATTGTGCCTGTTTGGATGTAAATAAATGATAACATTCCATACATTAGTTATGAGTGAGATAAATTTTCATTTTCTAAGCTCTATGAAATGATTTAATGTTGAGAAAATGTAGGGTATTTAGCCAATTATGAATCACTATTTTTAAACTTGATTTTCTCCACTATTTTAATTATTTTAAGCTTAGAACTTTTTAGAGATGTTGAATATAGTTCTCTATAAAGTTTTGAGCCATAAATAAAAGCGGAGAAAATTAAGTTTGAAACTAGTGGTTCGTAATTGGCTAAACAATCTATTTATAATAATTATTAGTGAGCATAATTTGAATATAATTTCCTCAACTAACTCTTCCTCACTTTCCAGTGATGATGAGAAGAAAATTATGAGAGAAAAAAAAGAAAAGAACGCAAACGAATAGAAACTCAGTCGAGCATTTCTTCGTTAAAGTCATGAAATGTTCACTGCTTTCAGCATAATCAACAGCATGAAAGCATGCGGTGGTGGTGTAAGTATGTGGAACATTTAAAAGAAAATGGTGATGAAAATGAAATTATGTAAACTGACAAAAAAAAAAATGGTTTGAGTGAGATAAATATTTATGTGTCATAATGATTATTTAAATTGCGTGTATAATCTTTCGACGGTGTCGACGTGAAGAACAGAGAAATAGAATTAATTGAATTTCTTTTTTTACTTCTTTGTTGTTTTTCTCTTTTAAATAGCTTTTATCATTATTATTATTACTATCATTATTAGATATCTTTCCTTTCCTTATTATTCCAAAGTTTAAGTAACAACGCTTAGATGATCTAGCTGGGATAACTTCAAGCAAGCAAGAGAATGAAAAAATTCTTTAAAACATTTTTATCTCATCCGTTTTAATCTTATTTTAAACGAAAGTTATGCGAAATCAAATTGAATCCAAGAATTTTATGATAATAAAGAAAAGTTTTTGAATTTTAAATCTTGTATAAATCTACAACAACGATGGAAGGGAAAGGAAACTTAAAATTCTTTTTTCGTTTGAAATTATTTTTCTTAAACTTTTCTCTCGTGGGTAATCATTTTCAATTTCAACTTCATTTTCACATCAAAATAAAATCAAGACATTATAAATCTTTTTTCATTCATATGAAGACTACTTATTTACAGCTTTTCAACCAAAAAGAAAATAAACACATAAAATTGACTGAATATTCAGAGTCGCATTCAAACATTTATAAGCATGCGTGAACTTCAACTTTAAAGATTTTTTCGCTTAAATAACGAAACAAAAAAATTCGTGTTGATTGAAATAATTTTAAAATATGTCAAACAACAACAGATGAAACATCTAACCATGACAGAATAGAAGTCCACTAATTTAAGTAAATATTAATAACATAATCATAAAACGGCAATTATAATTAATCTTTTCCCCCTTTTAATTCTCGCCTCGACTCGCGGCTCGCACATTAAATTTATGACTTTTTCGTTTCCCGTTCCATGAAAATTTTGTCTCGCTGTTTTTGTTTTCTTCTTCTTTTTCTTATGCTTATGTTGATGAAAACATAAGATTTTTTTCTCTTTCTCCCATGTTTTATGGAAACAAAATCAAATGGAGCTTGAAGTGAGGCAATCTTTTCTCTTTCTATATATATACATTTTGGTTTAATATAAACAGTAATCGAAGCTAGTTCAACCATTTTTATTCATTCATCATCAGCTAATTCAATATTGTGTATCAAACAAACTTATTCAACCAGTGTCGGATTGCACATTGACTTTAACTCTGTGACTAAAACAGCCTCTTAACTTCGAAATTATCTGTGATGATGAGACGATCTTTACGGTAATAGCAGAGTCGTGCAAATTTAATCAAATTGCATAAAATGAACAGCAAAAAAGAAATTCAAAGAGGGAAAAGAAAAAGAACAGAAAACTTTTCTTCACTCATAAACTTCTCTTCGTTTTCAAGGGAGATCGATAAAAATCCCGCCAAGTTTATTGGAATAAATTAGAGTGAATAGCAAGCACAAAGACCCCACACTACGTTGCCAACGCTGACTTACGCTTGACGAAGGGAAAATCATATCTTCACACGGTAACATTTACTAAATTTGTTGTTACTAATTCTGGCTGGTTAATTAATTGTAATAAAAAAGAGAGTGATGATGTAAACAAACACATTGATAAATCTCTTCAAATGCCTTGAGGGGAGAATTTTTTGTTTCATTTTTCTCGAAAGCAGACGACGCATACACAATCACAGTGGCGTTTCGTTTCTGTATTGTATTTAAAGATGAAATATAAAATAACATCTTGAGCCACTCAAACGATTTGATACGACTTCTGTTTATACGAGTTAATTATTTATTCACACTTCTATTTTGATTCACAGTAGACAGTCATTTTATACTGTAAATACATCGCCAGAGGTAACAACTGAAAATCGTTACACGAATTGATGTTTATTTTATTAATTTTCAATATTCCCATCAATATTTAATCAATCAACGATCTCCGCCACTGGTAATTTTTTTTATTTGGACAAAGCAGTCATTTTCATCGTCAGAGATACATAAACGATTAGCACGAACATCTCTACGCTTACGTTTATCGCAAAATCCTATCACTCATTTTCTCTCTCTTAACTTTTCTACTTCGTACTCTGGCGTCGATAGAAATGATGTATTGGCACTTGTAAGTAAGGTACTGTAGCAGGGATTATAGCCAACATTTCAACAGCATCTGTCCACAATATAAAAAAGTGGTTTATGAGTTGGAAAATTTTAATTTTCTGAATATTAAAAGTTAAACTCGGAAGATGAACATTTTGAAAGTCAATAAGGTGCCCAAGGGCTGAATTTGCTTCTCTTTTATTACATTCAAAGTACGAGAAGAAAAAAACTTTGTTCAGGTATGGAAGGTAAAACTGTTTTGAATAACTTAATGGAATAGAGTTGCAACATTATTTTAAACTTTAAAGTCTTAACACATGTTGAGGCCACAATAAAATAAGCAAAAGATAGATGAAAACTAAAATTTTACGATTTATGGTAATTATAAATTGATGTGGTGCCACAATGATGGCACTTTCAGACAAAAACTTATTCTCGTTCTTAATCCTATCGTCCCATAAAATTCAAACATGTTTTCTAAGCTATTTACAATTGAGTATCTCCTTAATATTGCCCTAAAAACAATAACTAACTCTTAATCTACTTTCAAACTATCTAATAGTTCCACCCACACCTATACAAACACATACACACACAATTACGAATAAAGGATAGAAGATGGCTTGTAAATGTTGTTAACATTTTTAGTGGTGAAAAGAGAGCATGAGAAAATCTGATAACAGCAAGCTAATAGGTTTTTATGCTATCATCACCCTTCTCTCATTCCTTTTGATGATATTTTTATGTTTTAGTCTTGACTTGAGTTTCCCTTGAATTGCTTTTTCTCTTTTTTAGCTTATGAAGAACATACATCGTCATCATAATAAAATAATCCACTTTTTTATATTATAAAATGAAAGGGTCAAAATCGTGCTGTTTTCTTTAGTTTAAACTCGTTATCTTTGACCAACAATAATTCACCAACAGCTACCTAAACGACTTGCTCTTATAAGATACGTATAAATGATGGATATCAACCTACAACTCTCACAATATATCTCAAGAGGACAAAACTACCCAAATTTTATTAATTCGCATTCCAATTTTAATTTCTCTCGTTTTCTTCACATCAATACGTACATAAATGTCCGGCTGCTCATTTACCTGATGTTGAGGACCCACTCTTATTCTTGGTTCTGATGGGGCTGTTTCCATAACTTATCTACGAACAGGAGCGATGGTATGCGAATCAGGGCTGCTGGCCGTGCTGATGTTGACGCTGATCGACGCCCGGTGCTCGTTGACGGATCCGTTGTTGCGGCTTTTTTATTTACGTCACTTTGGAAATTAAACAATTCTCACTTTGCTTTCTTCTTTGAATACAGAAAAGTTTCTCTTTTCTTTTCGCTATCTTAATGTCACTTTTTATTAATTGTCCTCGAAGAGTTCTTTCTTTTAATCTTTTTCGTTTTTATTGTTTTTCTTATTATTATTATTATTATTTTTTTTCTAATGCATATAAATAATCACTTTTTGAATCATTAAAGCCTGTTAAATTTTACGACGCGAGCGCAAATCTTTCATTGCTTTTTATTTCTTTCACTAAAACAGTTCATCTGTGGGGCGAGAAATAATTAGCTGGTTAATTTACAATTCATTTCGTTTCTCGTTTATGTCGTTTTGAAGCAGAAAAGCAGCAGCAAAATGTCATTATAATTTCATTAATTTTTCCCTCGAGATCATACGTTTATGGCCGTATCTTTTTTTTCTTCCTTTCTTCTCATTACATTCGATGCTACATGTAATAGCATGAAATAACATACAAAGTTGACAGTTGTCTACATAAAATCATGCTACAAAAGTATGAAAAATTTCCAAGAGATTAGGCATCAGATGTTAAGTGAAATTGCTTCTGTTAGATAACAATTCAAGAATTCTACTCGACTTGTTTAAATTCAACGGAAGAAAATAATTTATTGACTTTGCGAACAGTTAGATTCTTAAGTTGAAAGAAGAAAAGTGAACCTGTGGTCAATCAAATCTAAATCATGAGTTTATTAGTTGGAATTTTTCTTAAGAACGTCTCTCGTGATGAGAATTTCTTTCAATGCTATCTTGGAAGAATGCCAGATATCAACAATAAAGTTTATCCTTGTAAGGCTGACTATTAAGCTTAAAAATTTATTCTTCATCCATGGAAGATTGCTAAGAAGATTCCAAGATCTAATCACTCTAACAATAACTGCTACTGGTTTTAATTTGAAAAGAACATAATTTGTTAGGCAGGCATTTGTGCAAGACGGAAGAAAAGTAATAAGGAAAAATCAAAAAAACTGAATAAGTTTTCCATAATGCATTCAAACGGTTATTGAGATGAATAAAATCAAAGAATATCAAAATAAAAACGAATCAACAAAAGAAGAACATGAATCGCGGCGAAGAGCAGAACAAAAAAGGCAACAACAGAAAACATCATCATTACACACATCACATCACGAAGCGAAAATCCCATTCATTTTCGACCCGAAACGCGTTGTAAATCTCTGTTTAACTGTCTTCATTTCCAACAAATTTGTTAATTTTTTTTTGCCTTTCATTTCTTTTTATTACCGCAAAAACGAAGACTCTCGTTCAGTAGAGCATCATCGCTGTTGGAATAAAAAAAAAGAGAGAAATTTTTCTTCTTGACAGTGTTCTTTGTGGTTACAGAATGCACCATGATACTTCTTGATGTTTCAATTCAAATAATTAATTCTGGATGAGATCGAATCAAACATGTTTGACGTACAAATCCCTTCATAACATTATTTTATGCTGTTCCGTATTATTCGGTTAAATGAAATTTCTCTTAGTTGTGTTTACGGGTAAAGAAAGAACCGAAAGAATGAAGAAAAAAAAACTAAGTCTTCATTCTTGAGAACATAAAGTGGATTTTAATAACTTTTTGAAACCGGGAAACAAGAAAAAAAAATACAAAAAGTAAAATCCGTTTAAGGTTTGAGAGAGAAGTTTGAGTGGAAGCGTTGGAAAATCATGTCAATCTATAAAAATGTCAAAATGTGTAGAAAATAAACTTCACTTTATTCATTTAAAAATCAATTCCCTTTTTAATTTTCTGTTCTTATTTCAATCAACACAATTCAGGTTTTTGGCCTCACGAGACAAGATGAAAAAAAAGGAAAAAAGGGTCGAAAATACACGAGGACACAATTTACACATGATGCCCTATCGGGGTTTGTTTTTATTGTTATTGTTATTTTTACGAGGGATTATTAGTAGTTTAGTTTATTATTGGTTTACGGACATTCAACATAATACGAGGCAGAGAGAAGGGAATTCGAGATGAGAATTTTCTCTTCTTCATCAAACTTTTTGTTCATTGTTGTGCTTGTGCTTCGCTTCACTTTGGCTTCTCGTTTAGTTTACTCTTTCTCTCCCCCTACAAGAGGAAAAGAATTGTCGCATTGTGTTTTTTGATGCATTTTGAAGTGAGGCGTAAATTAATAGTAGAAAATTGCGTAGACACGTTCATAAAACAGCGATAGCGTTTTGTGTAAAAAAGGAAATAATGAAAGAAAAGCCAGAAATTATCGATTTATGGAGCGTTATAAAACATCCGTTTTTCTATGGTATGCATTGGATCGTAAAAAGACCCCATGCTTGACCCCAATTTGACGCTCTTTTCACCCCACATTAACATTAAACACTTAATTTCATAAATTTGCCTTTTCCAAGAAAAGTAACAACAAGAAATGAGAATTTTCAAAATTTATTTTCTTTTAATGCATCCTCATTGGGCACATGGTTGAGCATCAGCAACTTCTTTTCTATTTTCCATTTGAATAATTGTTTAATTACACATTGAATAATTCATATTTCTTATATATGCTCTTGACGAAGGGAAAACATATTTTTTGGAAAGAAATTGTAAGCGAAATTGAGCGGGACAAAGAGGAAAGAAAATATACAACAGCTTTAGCATAAAGCAATAAATTCAGATTATTATAGCATTTCTATTAAATTATTGTTTGTTGATGTATACTTCTTCAATTTGAACATGCCTCTTTCTCTCTCTTTGTCGTTCATTAAACTCAATCAAACGTGCGGTTGATGTTATCCCCTTGTTGTTGGTTTTTTTTTAACAATTTTGACTCTTCTACTTTTCATTGCTTTTCTCTCGCCACATTTGTATGAGCATCGATTGAAGGAAATAATGCTTCTATTGAACTTCTAACTGAACTTTATGCTTTCATTATATTAACACATCTCATAGCACATCAACACATTATTCAAATTTATAGTGATGATAAAGAGTCTTTAGTGTTGGTTTTCTATTTTCCTAAATCTCGCAAATTTATGAAGATGGTTAATAATAATTTAACGAAATAGAAAAAACGATCTGCTATGAGTCAGAAGAAAAATCATTTTACATCCATTCTAATCGAGTTTTATCTAAATTTTTATGACTTCGTTACATTAACCCGTCAAGCTATTAGCTTCATTCCGTTTCTTCCTTCCTCTCTGTTTTTTTTTCATTCTTTTTTTTTTGCCTGAATCTCATGCAAGACCAAAAATGTTATTGAAAAGAAATCGACACATTTTTTTCTTTTACAAAGACGAACCTCAAACAAAAGAAGCAACAATAATAAACGCAAAGCGAATATACACACAAGAAGGGAAAATTTTTAGACTCTTCGAAGTTTAATTTTCAGCTCGAATTCGGCATTTAATTTCTCTTTCTCATCTTTACTGCTTTTTTCTTTCATTGTTTTGCTTCAAATGACTTTTATTTGCAATGAGAAGAAATAAACATTTTAGTTAAACATTTTTGATTCTTATAAAACAAAGCGTATTGAAAATGGAAAAAAATTTAAATTATATATTAGTTTATACTATTTTTCTTAACTTTTTTTCACTTGCAGTGCCCACACCAACCATTTTGCTCCTTTCTAATGAATATTTTGGTATGTATCATCTCATGAAAGACGAGAGTGAGAGGAAAAAGAGAAGAAAGACACAAAAAGGAAATGGTTTCATGGTCGGATGAAACGTTGGGTTGGATATATAATGGTTTATTCCCCCCTACGATAAGGATTATTAAGCTTAATTACACATTTGTTGGGATCATTTGATAATTGAGAGAGTAAGACACAATCACTACACAAAAGCCGTCCGACCATTTGTTTTGTGTTTTATTTAACTCCTAACGTGAACGTGATAAATGAAGTTATGTTCTCTAAATAACCGAAAGGAATTGGATTTCTTAAATTGATGTTCAAACAGTGTGTAAATTGTAGTCGAATATTATAATTGCTGCTGCTTTTGAAGTTTACTTGTTAAAGTTCCTTGCATTCAGTGAATATTACCTAAAACACTCATTATTACTTCCTTTTTACAAGGAAAAAGGAAGTTTTTTACTCGTTTTTTCTGCTTTTCTTCACTTTTCGTTTTTTCTGATTATTTATGCGATTTTTCTTTCTTTCTTTTTTCAATTTTCACAAATCGCTTATTGCAAGCACTTTATTTAAATTTTCTTGTTGGTTTCAATTGTTTATGTTGTAATGATGGTGGTTGATGATAATCCATGATTCGAACGATAATCCAAATGCTCGTAAATTTTCTAAAATTTTCGCTGAAACTTTAACAAACGCTTGATTTTCTTTAGAGACGCACTCACACTATGACATAAATTACATTTTTTTCTGATCCATCAGCCATCACATTAAACTATCAATTTTTTGACTTTTTATGGCTAGCTAGACCATTTGTAATACTAAAAGCTTGTAGCAAGGACACAAATGATCAAACTTATACATTTTTTGATTAAAGAAAACACTTTATTCTATATTATAATCGATCATTTACACGACGATGTTATTTTCTTAAACTACCAAAAGCTTGTTTGATACCCCGACAATTGAATTTGATACCGAGTAGACCGAATTCAGTTTTCTACGTTAACAATTTTCGTACTTATATACCCCTACAAACTTAGGAAAACCGAGTAGACCGAATTCAGTTTTTTATACAAAATGTAAAAAACTTGTAACAAAAGTTTTAAAAATGCCGAAAAAGAGAACACGTCAGAAGAAGTATGTAGATGTAGTCAATATACTAAACTTAAATGTTCAAGATGTCGTTAAATATATACACAAGTTGCATCAACATATTGCTAAACAAAACAAGAAAATTAACAGACTAAAGCTGAAAATTAAAAAATTGGTAAGTTTTTTCTTTTTCAAGTTAGATTAAAAAAGTCTTTAATACTAACATATTGTCTATTTTAATACCTATTTGTAAACTTTTTAGAAATTCCTTTCACAACTTGATGCTCAGATAGCAAAGTCATCGACAAAATTAAGCAAAGATGACGATGAAACGAAAAATCAAGAAATTGCTTCAAAACTTACAACTGCAGACTCGAAACAACAGCAAGGAAAACAGGAAAATGTTCTTGATTTCGTTAATGAAATCAAAGCACAAGCACTTGTTAATTCTTTTGAACAGGCCGGCTTTATTTATGAGCCAACAAGTGGTCTTTATTATGACACAAAATCAAAATTCTATTACAATCCAGAGTATGATTTATACTACAATGGAAACGATGGAAATTGGTATCGATTGAATCCTCGCACAGATGAATTTATCTTTCATTCTGGGACTGAAGCAAGTGCAGTTAATAAAAAGGTAGAATTATAAAGGGGTTTATGATTAAAAACGATTCAATTGTTTATCATTGCAGGTTCAGTGGGACCATTCTTTTGAATCCCTCTTAAATGATTTTCAAAGCCTTAGAATCAAAAATCTTCGCTCTAATGCGTTAGGTGTGTAAGCAAAATAACATCGTGTTTAAGTGGGGCATTTTCTGTCTTTTACAGGAGGAAACCGATGAAGATGAAGCGATTAAGAAGATCCTTGAGGAAGGAAGAAAACCAATAAGAGCTTTAGAAACTTCTAAGACTGAAGAGAAAAGTGAAAGAAAAAGCCGGCGACGTGATCGTTCAACTTCCTCAAGTTACTCAAGCGACTATAGTGAACATCGCAGCAGAAGATCTTATAAAAATCGCTCGAGATCAAGATCAAGGAAAAGACGATCGCGACATCGACGATCCAGAAGCTTTAATCGAGAAGAAGGAGAAATTGCCACAAGTGAAGAATCAGAAAGTGACTCTCGTCATCAAGAAGTTGTCAAAGAAAAGTTTAAAAGAAAACGAAAAAAGAAGAAGGGAAACGAATACGAAGGTATTGTCTTTCATCAGCGATATTAACGAGAGTTCCATCTTCACTTTTATTCTGTCAATTCCCTTAATCCATATTTTTTAATTAATAATCGTATTTTTAATTAACATCTAATTAAACTTGATGATGTTTCTCTATGTCTTTACAGAAATTGCCAAGAAATATCCACCATCGTTACGTCTAATGGTTATAGAAAGTGATAAAATGGATGCTGGTAAGCTCTTTGTCGTCACATTCAAAGGCGGGACTTTAGGTCGTGAAGGAAACCATGACGTTTTGATACCAGATGTTAATGTATCTAAATATCATTTGAAGTTCATTTACAATCATAAGAAAAGCATTTATCAGATTATTGATAGATCAAGAAATGGAACAATGTTAAATGACATTCAGATTTCCTTGCTAAACCAAAAAGAGAGCGACGCAAAAGATTTACATCATGAAAGTGTTCTTCAACTTGCAAAAACTAAACTGCTTTGTCATGTTCATGAAGGTTTGACAACGTGTATTGCTTGTGAACCTTATGGGTACACTAAAAAAATGCCTGAAGATTTGAAAGTTGTAGACGAACCACAACCATCGACTTTATCACATAAAGAACAATTAAAATTGTTACAAAAACGTTACGGACTTGAAACAGAAAAGTATCATGAAAATCCAACTGGGACGAAAAACAAGAATTATGAAGATCGAGCTGAGAAACGTCGAGTAAAAGTTGGTAGTTCACATCATGGCTTGAAAACCGAGCAAGCATCAGTCAATAAATCAATTTCCAGTGAAAATAAAGGTTTTAAATTACTTTCGAAGATGGGTTGGAGTGAAGGAAAGTCGATAGGAAAAAGTCAGGAAGGAATTAAAGAACCAGTGGAAGTTAAAACTCAGCAAGGAACATCGGGCTTGGGATGTGAAGTCGTTCAACCTTCAATAAATTTTCAAGGAAATGCAAAGAAACAAGTGATTTGGAACAAGACACAAGAACGTTACAATAACATTTCAAAACCTGAGGGAAACATATTCGGGGATGATGAAGATATTTAATTTGTGGTCAATATGAAAATAATAAATAAAGATTTTTTTTTGTATCAGCAATTTTATGCTTCGATGTTCTTTTTTGGACTAAATATTTACACTTTACAGGGAAACATCTGTTTGCATTTAATGAACCACTTCCTAAAGCAAAATTGTTGCCCAGAATGAATTCAATTGAAAGTATCTAAAGCGAAATCATTTCTTACGTAATAATTCTCTTCAAAGATTTTGTAACAAATTGTTGAACACAATGTTGAATGTTTTCAACTCGATGAGATTTTTTTCTGATGACTCTTGAGAGAAGCACTCATATCACCTCGAATCTCATCCAATAAATTACTTTACATGCTTCAGCAAATAAAATGTTATGAACAGTCGCGACATGAAGCAGTTTTCATAAACAACGAGAAACAGAGAAATGTGCAAACTGCATGAATGCATGTCAAGTATCCATCAAATAATTTAATTTTTTCCTTTGCTTTTTATATTTGAACCTGGCAATTGCTTGCATTCTTGCAGCAAGACGTTTCAATGGATCAAAACATTCCAATGTCAACGATCGCGAATACATAGTAGCACATTGAAATTGCTGTTGAAACCGCATTATAATCATTATTTAAGTAGATGAGTGTCACAGCGTAGATTGAAAATATACATTTTTTGACTTTGACACCTAATAACTTTTCAATCGTTTCAGCTAAAATTATCAGTTTGGTATCAAAAGTTTCCCAGACAAATAAGGAACAATATTCGCGCATTAAGAAAAGTCTATCGTCAACAGTGCGCTCATAATTCACAAAATGAAACGTAACGGTGTAGATTTCTTTGTCACGCCTGTAGATATTTTTTTGTCACGCAGCGTAGATTAGCGAAAAATAGCAACTGAGATGATTTTTACATTCAAAATGAGCAACTTAAAGATATTTTCATGAAGATAATAAAATTTNGTTTCAATGGATCAAAACATTCCAATGTCAACGATCGCGAATACATAGTAGCACATTGAAATTGCTGTTGAAACCGCATTATAATCATTATTTAAGTATGCCAAACACTAATTAGTAAAGAAGTAAAATTTAAACTATTCATTGTTTTCCATGGTCATACAATTTTTAGATAGGTTAGCAGATAAATGTTCAGTTCGAATGGTGAATTTTGTAGCAACATAGTTTTGAGTTGAAAGTTTCGGACTTTCGAAACAATTTCAAATGCATTTCTAAGTCCTTAATAAGAGTGAAATATATTAACCACATGTATATTTAAATTTCCAATTCTTTTATCTCCATTTCAATTTTACATAGATCTAAGTTTTTTTTTAACTTTATTCACTTTTATCTTAGAAGAAAATAACACGAGGTCGCATAAAATGATCTTAATAAAAGACAGGAAATAATTGGATAGATCATTATTTGCGATGAGAAATAATGGTCAACGTACTAACAATAGAAAAATAAGAAACTTGAAATATTTTGTTGCATATCGTCGCGATGCACATACATAAATACTTAATACTGGTTCGTTGACAGCATAACAATGGAAAACTTAACTTTTAAGACATGAGATTTATTTTTCGTAGAAGTATTTGACCACAATAGCTTTCTTCACTTTAGAATAGCATTAATGAACTCTTTTGAAAAACAGAATGAAATTTTAATACTTAAACATAAAATTATCTATCGAAATTTGACATAGCACGTACATATCTATTCTCTCAACTAAACTTCTAATAAATTTTCATTTAAAAACAAATATGATTGTAATGAAATGAATGTAATTGGACAATTGCCTTAAATAAGTTCAAGAATAATGTCGAATATGATAAATTTATTACATTAAGCAAAAAAATCGATTTGTTTGAAATGCAAGATGCATTCAGCTAAAGATGGTGAATCATATGAGAGAAAAAAATTGCGTAAAAAGAAGGAAGCTTATGAAAATGTGATCGTAATAAATGAATATTTATGGACAATTACCTTTCACGAGTTCTAGACATTATTAAATCGAATATGATAAATTTATTTCATTAAGCAAGTAAATTGATTAAATTGATCTGCTTGAAGATCAAGATGCACATAAATAGCTTTAGTTGATGGAGTAAATAAGACAAATAGTGAGAGAAAAGCAAATTGCATAAAAAGAAGGAAGCTTATGAAAACCACCTGCTAAATAATTTTAACTCTTTTACTTTTATTGTGTGCGCGTTTCTTTTTCATTTACCTTCTTTTAAGCCAAGTTCATGAACGCATCTTGTGTTATTGTTAGCCCACGGATGGTACACCGTTCTGTGTCCATAAAATAAAGTACACAAACAATTGATTTTCTTACATCTTTCTCTCTGTCTCTTTCACGTTAGGTTTACGCAGCACACGAATGTCTTCTTCATTACATTGCATTTGTGTGTTGCGAGAAGAAAACAAAATCAAAAGGTTTTTCATCTAAAACCAACAAAGTTCCAGTCTCGCGAGAAAAGGAAAATTTTCTGTTTTTTTTCGGTAATTTTAATAATGCAACAGTCGACCGCCCGAACACAGAGAGCCACGAAGAGAGCGATATGTTATAGCACATGTACATACACAGTCCCATTGGCTGTGGCAATTTTTTTTCATTTCATTTTTTTCCTTTCTGTTACTTCTCATGAAAACAAAAAACACAGCGGAGAAAAATATTTCTCGGCTTAGTTTCTTGCGAGACCTTAGTTGTTAAAGACGAAGTAATCTCAAAGTGTCAAAAAGAATGCGAAGAAAATATTCTTAACTTAATGAAGGTGTAATAGAAATTTAAATTTTTCTCTGTGGAATAGATTGAGTAAAAGTTATAAAAATTTCCTTGTTTGACTAAAAGGTCGTTAGTCGTCAATTACAAGAAGTCAATTCGTTGGAAATTAAACTCTTATTGCATTGTGAAATTCGTGGGAAAATACCAACGAAGCGAGGAAATTTCTTCTGAAAATATAGATGAAAATTGATTATAACGACTTTTAAGTGGAGAACGTATGAAAACGTGCCTGTTGATTTATATAGACGTTTTTCGCAGGCATGATGTATTGATGAAAATAACTGCAGTTGGCTAAGAAGTGTAGGAAGAAAAATTGCGACGTGAATGTTTTGACTCTTTCGGGTAAAAAAGAATAATAAAATAACAATTAAAGTGGAAAACAGAATTTAAAATGATAATGTTGAAAATTTGTGTGATTTTCTTGATTGCTTTTCTGACTCAAATAAGTGTGATTTGGGGTAAGTTACGAGTAAAAGTTCTGGATTAAAATATTACCTAATAGAACTCTCAATTGAGTAATAAAAAAATTAAGAAAGAATATTTGTTTTGAGACGAAATTTAAAGATAATCGTTTTAAGTAGGCAATCATTAGAATTTGAATAAAATGAAATTTCTCAGAAAATTGTTTTCAGTGCTTTAAGTAATAAAAGTTTTTTCAATATTGAATAAGATAAGATAAATTTTATATTTATTCTTAACGTATTAAATTCAATTTCTTCGATTCTAAATAGAGGGATTTGTAACAAGCTTCATTAAAAAATCAAATCATGTTGAATCGTGTTTATTACACGTGGATTTATTCCGACTGTTTAATATCTCTATTGAAAGTAAAAAAGATTAAATGTCTATTGAGAAAAAGTAGCAAAAAAGAACAAAAAAATCATCTACATTCCATCACAGAAACTTCCCGGAAGGCCAAATTCTAGTTTTACTCTGTTAAGCATTTCGCTACATCTTCTCTTTTTGCAAAATTCTCAAAAGTTTAGAATTTTTGATGACTCGAAATGGTTTTCTTGGAGTCCCGAGAAACCTTAAGTAGCCAGTGAGTCAGAAAATATTTAGAAATGTTTATGGAAATGAAAGAAAAAAAATTAAATTAAAAATTTACCATTCAACTCCCGACGAAGACAAAAAGTTTATGCATAATTTAGAATGTCGTCGAAATATACAAACAAAATAAAATTATAATTTTTGTGTGTCATTTTTTAGAAGGTCATCTATTGCACAATGACCAAAAAATCTACATCCAGACAGACTAAAACCATTTATCATGATTTGGATAACTCGAGGCAATTCTCATCTTGTCATTTAAGTCTCGCGCGCGTTGGACAAATTAAATGATAAGTTATATTAGATATCACAGTGGAATTATCAAATGCAATGAAGAATCATTTCTTGGAGGCTAAAGTTAAAATTTTCAATAATCGAATACATTCAAAACAAGAAAAAGAAAAACAGCGAATCGATTCTTGTCTGAGTTTTAGTATTTTGCTGCTCAAATATTTACCAAATGTCTAGAGAAATATTTCAAAATCCAAAATTTACTTACTTTAACGAAACTGCAACGATTGTTTACCACTTTTTTTTAAATGTGCATTTAGAGAAATAAATTGAGACATGTCAGGCTTTTTATTTAACTACTGTAGAAAATTATCATTTGGGATTCAATTTGCATAAAATTTACTGACTAAAATCACACCAACACATTTTTTTGCTTCTTCCACTAACAATGTGCTTATTATTGGTTTATATTGTCTGGAGACTCAGACTATGTTATGCAATACGTTTTTTTTTTCTTCTCTTCTAAAAATATTCTCCTTTTACGATGACCCACTAACCGTTTCATTGAGCAAAAAGTTTGAAAACAAAGATCGCTGTATTGTGAGAATTTTTTAAACAAAAGCTCATTTTCATAACGCTAATTTCCTAATTCTTTCTTTTCTTTTGAGAATTATGAAATTTTTTAATCGAAGAAATTGATAATCAATATGAGTCAATAAGTAAAATGATTTCGGAATGTCATTAGTGTCTTAATAACATAGATATTTGCAATTAAAATTGCATTCTAATAAGAAATCTATAATTCTCTGTATTAAATAATATGAACAGTTCATTAAACTTTTTCATGTATCATACATTTCAATAAAAAATATTTTTATTTTGCCTTTTTCTGGGTTTATTGACTTTCAATGCCCATTCATCTTGCCGTGATGTATCGCATTTATATCTTTGCCTGACGTTTAATTAATGCATTTAGTTTTAAAGATGAAAAGTATTCATGAACTTGACGTTGTCTCTTGCATACATTTTTCTTTTGATTAACTGTAGAAATTTGAATGCCCTTGAAAAAAGTTTACGTGCCCGATAGAAGATATCCAATTCTCATTTGCCTCATAACGATAAAATAAAGTGAATAATACGATGAATTTTAGATTTTATGAAACATTACGTTTTGATTTTTCTGAATATGATATCATCAATAAAATTTTCTCAGAACATCAAAAACAATGTCTTGACATCAAAACTCTTAATGGTTTATTCTTCGAATTAAAGTACATTTGGGAAATTGTTGAATTATGCCTACAAACTGGAACATATGATTTGCGTTTCTATACAAATTTTTGTAGCATTTTTACAAACACTGAACATAATCACAAGAAAGACTATTCAGTTACAAACTTTAATGAACTTTTATTTTCTGATTTAATGAGATATTCTTCATCTTAGATATTTGCTAACTAACAAGTTTTTCTACGAATCAGCAGAAAATGATGCTCAGTGGATTATTTTCAATATTAATTTGATCAAGTTGTAAATAGTTACATATAAGGGAAGAATATATGTTTTGATACATGATAACAATACTAAATAGAAAATAAACATACGGAGAGTGTAGAATAAAGGTTTTTGATTTGTTTTAATGAAATCTTGTAATGAATTTATTTTAACATAATCTGTTGCAGATAAGTATATGGCGGGTTAAGAAAAATTGTGTGCTAATAAACTGCAAGTCAATTGCACATCGGTTGATTAAAAAATAATAAAGAACATAATTATAAAGCATGTGCAGGAATTCTTTGGAATAAAAAGTCTGCTAATTCTGTCTTAGCGTGCACTCATTGCAGATTTAATCATATTAAAAACCGCCTGTAATAGCCACACAAGTGCGATAATTCGAAATGGAAGTGCTCGGCACGGCAGCGAAACGAACAAATCATTATGTTGCAATAAGACCGAAGTAAACTTACTCTAGAGCGATATCAATTTGCTGCAATCAAAACACTTGTTGTTTGAAATGCACGTCTTTTCTAGTCTAGCGGCAATCGAAATTCTATAAGAACAATTGCAAGAAAGGTTGAAAGGCAACTATTGGATGGAATAATATTAACATTGGAAAATAATAGGAACAGACAACAAAATCACCGGATATCTCTGTTGAACCCAATATCATATCTACCGCGATTAAACTTAATTAATTGTCACATACATATCTTTAGATCTCTCTAATTGAGGCGAAAAATGAGCATGAAGATTAAATTAAAACAAATTAAATTGCAGTCGACAGAAAAGAAAACGAGTAGCGTAAGGATTACTGTCCATTAATAAAATTCAATTAAAATGCGATCTGTAAGCATTAAGAAAGTTTTACAGTTTTTGATGGCAAATGGCATTAAATATTTTGTTTGTGTTAAAATCTTAAATGGATGAAAAACATTTTTTTATTGTGTTATAGAAAGCTTGAGAAGAATGTCATAGATTTATAATCTCTTATGAAAATATATTTTTGACTTATTCACAGCTGAATCTTGTTTTGCCAAAATTGATCATGAAGGAAATTGTTCTCAATTAATGGCAAATGATGTCACTAAGGAAGATTGCTGTACAAACTTAGGAGTAGGATACGGCGAAGAGGTTTCTAGTGCAGCAGTATTTATGCTACTTGGGGGAATGAAGAAGAAGGCTTGCAAACCATGTCGAGGTTGAATTTTTTTACAGCATAATTTACCATTCAATCAATCATTACAACTTTTGGTTTTCTTCCTTAAATAGAAACATGTGACAACATAATTTGCGGAATTGGTAAGCGGTGTATAATGAAGAAGGGATTTCCAAAATGTGTTTGCGCTCCAAACTGTAAAGCAACTGCTGCTGCAAACAAACTTAAGAATGTACAGAACAATAAAAAAATCTCAGTTATTCATTTAGCTGAAAGAAAGAATCTTAAGCGAAGCAAAAAGCGAAAGATGCAACCTGAAATGCAGAATGATGAACCTATACTTATTGTAGCAACTCTAAATCGAAAGCAAAATAAACGTATGAACCAGAGAATTAACAGAGAAAAAAATAACTTAAACGAGACTTTAATTTTGCAACCGATTAAGAGCGCTTATCATAAGGTTCATACGATTCAGAAGAACGCAAATAATATCAGCCAAGGAGTTGAAGATGTGGATGTGCTACAAACAAAAATTCGTAGTGGATATTTTGATGACGATTCTACCAAACTAATGAGGGACATTGGCAACTTGAACATTAAACAAGTACGTTTAACATCACTGATACAAGTTTGTAAAGTAGCAATAAAATTCTTATTTCCTACAGCAAAAATTTTCACACTACAATCCAATTTGTGGTTCTGATAGCAAGACTTATAAAAACGAATGCCAATTGAGGAAGCGAGCGTGTCGACAAGAAAACAAGATGCTTGATGTTGCTTATAAGGGTCATTGCCAAAGTAAGTATGAATTTAAAGAATGATTTAAGTTTTCTTTTAATTTATTTATTGAACATTTTCGATTAAATCATCACAAACTGATCACACTCAAAAGAAAATTCTGTTTTTGAGAAACAAAGAAAAAATCTCGAAGTAAAATCAGAAATAAAAATAACAATATTTATGGCTATGACAAGTGCATCATCATTTCTTCATTTCTACTCATTTTTTCACTCATATCATTCAAGTGTCGCTAATTAAGAATGCAAGTATTTGTTGAGAGCTCGAGATTTTTGGCAATGCGACAAGAAATTAAGAAGTTATGACATATTTTACACACACTTTTATCGAGTATTAAATGTATATAAACTAGTAGGAAATGGAACAGACTTCGAACCAATTAAATGGAAGCATAAAATTATGTACAGTCCATTAGATTACTAATTCCAAAACAAATATCTTCACAAGGTATAACAGAAAAGTTGAAAAGCAACAATTAAAAATCAACCTTTCTACAATGTTTCGAGCTAAACATTCTACCTTGTTGAGATTAATTAAATTTATTTGCATAATAGATATGATAGTTTTTCCTTTACTTTTATGTTTATGTGGCCAAAAATTCATACAAAACAATGAAAATTGTTTTATGTTTTTCCTACTGGTATAACAATGCGTATTTTACGCGTATTTGCCTCTTGTGACGCTTCAAAGCAGTAAAGAGACTTAAATATTAATCTGAGCTTTCAACCATTCATAATTTATTTTTATTTCATTTTTTTATTTCTATAATGAAGAAAAATTTCAACTTCTTATTTTACTGAATTTATGTGAAGTATTTTTGTACGGTTCCGCGATATTAAACATGATTTTAGAAATTAAAATAGAACAAGATGTAAATTATTATTTATCTAAGACATTAAATTAATTCTTTCATATTTTCATCGCATGCTTGAAGGCTCATGCCAGTTTATAAAATGCACCAATGGAAGAACTTGTATAGAAGATCATAACTCTATACCACAATGTATCACATGCCCTTCATGTATCAACAACAACAAGAATTTAACATATCAAACAATAGGAAAGATGGTCTGCGGGAATGATGGGATTACATATCGAAGCTTATGTGAATTGAAACAAAAATCATGCAGGCTTGGAAAATCTATTCAACTCCTACATCGAGGGCCATGTAAAGGTATGTTCAATGTTTAATATCTGAGAGATTAGAATCAGCATTGTCTAGATTCAGTTTTTATAAAACTATTTTCAAGAACTAGGATTCGAATTTAGTTTCTGGATATTTTCGATTTGATCTTCTTTCAACTAATTAGATGGAATAAAACTTTTATTCAAAACATTATTAGCATAAAAATATTTCTTTGCCTGCTGGTTGTACGTGCATAACTTAGCAATGACATAATTTCATCCTGAATACCTTTTGATGAAGAAAATTTCATTTAAATGCATACGTATTTTTAAACTCATTAAAATTTCAACGTGATGGATTATTTAATGGTTTGGAGAATCTTTCCGATTACTAAATTATCAAATGATTAATTGAAAAACCGATAAATGGCATAAAACTTCGAAGAAAAATTGCATACTGATAGACATTCGGAATATTTTGTGTTCAAAGTTGTTTCCCAAAAAGATTAAATGTTAGGCTTTAAGCAGAGATGTGAAAAGTCTGGCGTAAAAGTCCGAGAAATTGCGTCCATTTAAAATTAAACTATTTAATAGTTTCGGACACCTTCAATAGCCAAATTTCCAGTCAAACATTTTCAGACTTTGAACTGCTAAAATTCGGCCATCAAAGGCTTTAAGAAAGAAAAGATTAATCGCATTCAGTTAATATTAATTGTTCAAGGCGTCAATCGTAAAGGTGAAAAATTGCATAAAGAAAGCCTTTTTGATTACAGCTATCCATATTGTTTATAAAACTTTATGGCAAACATTTAAAAAAATATTTGCAGTGATGTGGTCAAATAAATTGAAAACCTTCATGGGTAAAATTATAAAACAAACAAATTTATTACTTTGATATTAGGTTCTGAAGTCAGTCGAATGAGAAAGAAAAAGACCAGAGCAATAAAAGCACAATAAAATTCCAAAATTCAGATGCAAATGCACTTTTATGAGTTTGCTGGAACTTTTCCGTTGCAGTGAGAAATTTGTTGTGATATTTACTTTCATCCTGAATGCAGCTAATTTCATTTGCAATGACAGTGAGCCTAAGTTCTTGACTAAGATGGCTTTTTTGTCTTTAATGCTGCTTCAGCTAAATGAGAATTTACAGCATTCATAAAAAAAATCAGAAAAGTAAAGGAATATAATATTCAGTGGATTCATACGATGTTATTGCAGTGAATAAGAATGAAATAAATAAATTTTGTACATTCTTCCCATGTGAGAACGAATAAAAATTTCAGGTGGAATCACAGAGTAAACAACAAGCTAAGTAATCATAGATCTTCTGATACAAAGTACTGTTAGGTGGGCGTTTGTGATTCAAATAAAAAAGAAATATCAAAGACATCAGACGAATTCTGGTTATAAATATAAATTATTGCACCGTTTACTCCGCTTAATGATTGTGTCACTTTACAACCCACGAAGAAATGAAATTTTATCAATTTGCACATTTAAATTGAGCGAAAAATGCATCTTAATAATTTTTGTTTCTTTTTCTCTCTTTATAAATATTGGCAAATCAATCGATGCAATATGTAGAAGAATAAAAGGCAAGAATTCCATTGAATTTCCGTCTTTCAGGTTTCAGGAGAACTATTAAGAAGTTGACAAGTAAATAAATTCGTTCGCTATTTCACATTTGCAATCATAATAGTTGAACATGTCATGTTGAATTTAGACTGAAAGATTTGCTTAAAGTTTTTACCTTTCCTGAGTGCAGTTTTTGTTATCGTAGAATTGTCCATATGACTTTCAAGTACTCGCCAAGTTCAGATCGAATGGTTTTAAAGTGAATTTCAGTTTTTAAAATAAGACAAGTTTGTAGTCCATAATCAAGTGTCCTCTCGCATCAACCATTTCTCATTTATACTTCTTTCTTTCCCTACTTCTGCTCTCATGTTGAACAAGCTTAAGTATTAAATATTTCGCTTACTCGCATCTTAGCCACAAAATGTTAAAATTTTACTTCCGGCATTTCAAATGCTCTCAAAAATTCTTTCTGCATTTAATTTTTTCTTCTTGTTTATTATTTCCTTCTTGGACTTTATTTTTTTTTTACTTTTTCATTTAGTTCTTGATACTTCATGTTCTTATGCTTTCGATTCATTTAATATTTTGTTGAAGTAACAAATGGTCTGAAAAAAATAAAAATATTCATCCATGAGAAACGTTCGTTCCAACACGAAAATGTTTCAACAATGTTGTCAAAATTAAAGCCGCCGGTTTTGTAACATTTGATCCACTTCCGTGAGGAATTCTTTTATATTAAAAAGTTTTATTCGTAATTTCTGGTCTGATATTTGCCAATCTTGAAGTTGAGAAAAAAAAGTCAAAATAAAAATGAGATGAAGAACAGAAAACTTTCAACGATGCCTCTGCATCAATCCCAGACATTTGCCAGACATTAATGAGTGCACTTTCTGGATGCTTTGTGTTGTTCAGGTTTTGTGTTTTTCGCCTTCTTCGTCTCTCATGAAATTTATCGACATCATTAACATCATCTGAAATTTTGACATTATTTTTTTCTGATTCTTACGAAGTTTTTAAATCTCACTGCTTAGACTTCGTGAGATGAAAGATTTAAATGTACAAATGAATGGAATTAAAGAAGATTTAATTCTGAAAATGTGTTCTAGAGAATGAAGTGCTAGAAGAAGCATTTGAAACTTTCAAACATTTAAAAGGGAAATGAAAAAGCTCTGAAACTTTTAAAATAAACAAAACTTTATGCTAATTATTACGCTAATACTTATCTTTATATTCCAAACAAATATAACTCAATAGTTGTCCTCTCGAATCAACCTTCTAGAAGGATAAAAAACTGGTTTTGAGATGATAAATTCTTTGTACTCACTTATCTCACTTCATTTTATTACTTTGATTTCTATGTCTTTACAGAGGTTGCGACATGCAGTCATTGTTTGAAGAACCAGAAGTGTTTACCAGATCTAATGAATCATCAACCAAAATGTGTCATATGCAATTACAAATGCCCACGAAAACGTCGATCTGAAACGGTAAGCTTCATCTTACTATATGTAAGAAAAGTTTTTTTTATTAAAATTTTCAAAGATGTAAAGACCTGGTCACTATCATAATTAACAGTTTTGAAAAAGTCATAAAAAGAAACAAGTTTGAAGATGTAGATATTTAGGGAGAGAATTCAAACTGCGACAAAGTCGCATTAATTATTTGAAGAATAATAACCAAGCTGTTCAATTTAAAAACTGTAATTGAGAAATTATCAAGAATTGAGACGAAACAATTAAGTATAACTTTGTTCTTTTCTTACAAACTTACAAAAATGCATTGCCGACTGACGCTTCATTAATCAGTTTCGTTTTGAACATCGATTTTTCTGGGCACTTAAAGATATGCTTACCATCAAAATCTTGATCAATTAATAAAATTGTTAAAATTTATTTTCTGTCATGAGTTTAATTTAAAAACGGTGTTTGATGACGTGAATACATGCAACTCTACTCATTAAATAAGAATTTAACTTCTTATTAACAATAATTGCAAAGTGCAATTAAAACAGGTTTTGTAAAAACAAAAAACATTTATCCAGATCGTTCTTTTTCTTCAGATCCAGTTCTCAAGACGAATTTCGTTACTTTTTTCCCATGATGAAGAAGAAAAATAAAATAAAAAATTATGACGCACTTGCATTTGCAATTCTGTATTTATCAAGGGGTAACTCACGAGACTCAATCACTATAATTAACAGATTTATGAGGCAGAGAAATAAATGATCCATAAACACAAATCTACCTTAACCATAAGATTGAATTTTGAAGTTGTTTTTGACTTGTTTTGGGAGATCATTTCAAATTCTGTTAACTTCAGAATTGTCTGTGAAATTATAAACAACTTCAAGCATCTAAATCATGATTAAAATAAGCTAACATCCAGTGTTACCCCTTGGTATTTAACATCTTATAGAGAGACAGATGTTTCACTTCTTTTTCCTTAAACTGCACTCGAGTATTATAAGTAGTAAAGACGTAAATAATAAAATGCAACAAAATATTCTTCAAGAATTTATAAATGATGCAATCTCACTATTGCATTTGCCTCAAACATAAAAATGAAATTTATTTTAATTTAAATTTCCCTTCACCGATTGAATTTTTTATAAGTTACGCACCAAGTACTAAATTGTATTTCTGTTTTCAATATTTCTGTTTTCAATATTTCTGTTCTCGTTTTGCATGTGAAAACTTTGTATCATTTGACAAAGTAAGGAAAGACAAAGCAAAAATACTCAGGAGGCGAAAAACAAACCAAAAGAAAAATAATAATTTATGTGATCCAAAAATAAGGTTTTTTGAAGGTCGCATTTGAAAAAGAATCATTTTCGACACTTTGAATGGGGAAAGAAAATTACGCAAATTTCATTGATAACAATTTAAAATCTCTTAACATATTTATTGGGAAAAAAACCAGTTAGGAAGTCAATATTTATTTTAATGGTTTCTCATCATGTTTGTTATATTTATGACAGGGAAGGAACAGCGATCAAATCTGTGGAACGAACAACATCACTTATTATTCACTGTGCCATTTGATGAAGGACTCATGTAATACTGGTTTCTTCATTGACATTAAACATGAGGGCCCATGCAATTCATGATACATCATAATTCTGTTGATTGATGGTAGAACCATTAATAAAAGCAAAGGTACAACTTATTAATTTCGTCAATCAAATGTCATCTAATTCAATACTTCTATTTTCACAGCTTGGAGCATTGATTATTAATCGAAAACGACATACATGTTTTATCAATAAAAAAACAGCAGCATATATTTTATTCCTCATTTATCTGCATTGAAAATATGTTGATGTATTTTTCCATCAAAATTATTTCTTTAATTATTAAAATTTTGTTTCATAAAACGAGAAAATCTAAATATAAACGAAGTGGAATTTTTTGCTTCAAGGTCCAATTTGAACGAGCTTCGAGAGATGCATGAAAGCAATCAGGCTGTGATTAAATGACTAGAGATTTAGTTCATACTTTTTAAATTATACTGTAAAAAAGATGTAATGAGAAATAATACAATAATCATAAAATGCATTCGCACCTTTCTATTAATATATCATTTAATAAAGTTATGAAGCAAATTTTTTTTTTAATAGGTCTGCTTCAAGAATTGAGTGCAGTTGAAGTATCTTAATCGAAATTCATGTCGATCTAGAAATTTTAAAGAAAAATAATATTTTAGTGAGATAAGTCTTGGATATCTTTAACATTTCCAACATATTTCAAAAGATAAAATGATGAACAAGAATTTCATAATTTATGGATTTGATTTAATATTCACAACAAACATATTCAATTAAATAGCAAGTATGGTTCTGTAAACGTTATGTGATTAAAGTTTAAGAAAGCAAGCAAAGAATAACAAATAAATAATTCGCACCACACATATAAAACATCACGAATTATGCTAAAATTAAACTATTTAGGTATCTAATATTTAGAATTTAAATCACTTCCTTTGATATATCTTATATCATAAAAAAAGAGACATCATCACTTAAACTAGGTAGTTTAGTAAAGCTTTGTTTTGTATGCTTTAGCAGGAGCTTGGAAAAAAAATCGGTCGAGATCATAATTGGGACCTCCGATCGTGTATCGGTGTTTCGAATCCAGAAAAAAATCATATCTGGAATCATCCAGCTCTGCTACTAAGTTATATCATTCAAGACATCAAACATTAACCTCTAATAAAAAGCATTCAAATAATAATTCTGTTTATTTGAAATAAAGACATTTTCAGTGATTTATAGCTTATGTAAATTGTTGTTGCAATAAAAAATATTTATTTTCTTCTTCTTTTGGACTTCGTTGAGCACGCGACAGAGAATTTTAATTTTTTAAAAGAATAGCAAAAGACGGATTTCAGAAAAAAACGATAAATTGGGCTTATTGGTTAATACTTAAAGAACTTCACCATGAGGATCTTGCACGGTGAAAACAAGAAGTCAAGCGTATCAAAGTGGCTAAGAAGATTGCAACCTGAAGTTATAAAAAAAGACAGAGAACTAAGAATTTGTATTTCTTTCATTTTCTCATCGTTGATCTTCAAAGGCAACATTTTAGACGTCATGAAATATGCACCTGTGAAAGAAAAGAGAATTTCAAGATAAGAAGATTGACTCAGTCAAAGAAAAGTTAAACGGAAAAAATTACGCTTTTCAATCATCTAAGAATTATTTTACTTCTTTCGAGCTTTATGTTATGAACACATAAATTATCTTGAACAATTGCAATCAAAAGATGATGAATAAAATAATAATTCAAAAGCACGCTTCATTTCACAAATTACTTAAAAAACATTTAACTTGACTTTGCACATGCCGCTGCATTAATTGGAAAAACCAAGATAAGGATTGCTGTAGTCATAGATTTACACAAATATCTCTAAATATTATTTAAAACTTTGGTTTGTTTGATTCTTTGAGGATTAAATATGTATCATTGAAGGATTAAATATCATTTGTCTTAACTTTAGATATTCCCAGGAATGTCAAAGTTATTTCTCATCGTTTCCTTTCCGCAAATACATCTACCTTCCCAGAAACTTTTTTTGGGATTTTCGGCTTCTTAAGATATTTAATTTCTGGTTTAGTTTCACCTTGCATAATGTAGAATAGAAAACCATTTGCAACTTTGTTAAGACGATCCGATTTCTGATTCTCTTGCATCACCATCTAATTGATGGCTATCTTAAAAATATTATACTCGAGCTAAGATTTAACGGTCTTATGGTGACTTATGATGTAAATGCTTGTTTCTTTTACCTTTGTTAAAATATATCTTGAATCTTTCTGAAAGTTTATATTTGTTGTTCTCTTCCATTCCTTCTTTTATACGTAAAAAGTTGCAAATGACAAAGATTATTTTTTTATTTGTTCATCTAGAATGTCTGAAGTCACTGATATAAGAAGAAGCAAAACCAAACAGCAGACAAAAAAACTGTTTTCTGAGTATACTTTGCTTTTTTGCCATCCAGACGTTCGCTAGACAAGAGTGCACTTTGTTGTGTATGGATTTTTTTAGTGTTTTGGTCTCTCATGTGCTTGATCCGGTTATATAATAAAGATCGACGTCTTCACAAAAATATTCTCTCATGAATATTTAAGATGAGAACGCTTAGAGTGCGATGGTGATTCAAGTTTTTTTTCGTGGCTAATGATGAAAAGAAGAAGTCGAGACATATTGAGTTACAACTTTAATGCACACAAGCAAAAAAATACTAAAAGAATTAACACTTTAATTTGTCTGTCTGGAGATGGAGACGACATGCGAATGAGTTTGCTAACATAAACAATTTTTCTTGTTGGCTGATTTGCATTTTTCATTGGAGCACAAAAAATGCATCATTTGAAATCAATTGTGTTTGTGGTCAACTTTGTAAGGTGCTACAGTGCTACTTTCTATAGGAATTCCCATGTCAATTTTTTTTTTTTGGCTTCTGATTTTTTTTTAACTTCACTGATCTGTGTATACAATTTAAAGCCGATTGAATTTCAAAACAAACTTCATTTTCAAGGTCGATTGAAACGTTATTCTTGCATTGCCATAACTTTTTCTTGTGAATAAACTGAAACTGTCTAATTCAAAAAGAGAATATAAACAGCTTTCTTGATACACTCAATGCTATGTTATCCTGATACATTCTACTTCTTCTGTGAAAAGTGGATGCTTAATTATGCATACAACAAGGGTGCTTCAAAAAATGCCAGAACAAAATGAAAAAGATTTCTTTCGCATCATGCATCTGAATTGAAAAAAAAGGAAAAACTTTTCAGAGATTTCTTGTTTACTCTCCCATTTATTAATGATTAATAAAGTTTGTAAAAGCGATATCATATGAGTCAATCACTTGTTAAAATCAAATCTAATGGGTAGTCGTGTGGATCAAGAGGCAATTGATCATCTTCAACAATCTGTTCTTGGAATGCCAAGCCGACAAGAAGAGTTTTATTGATTTTTTGTCTGTCTGGAAACCTGTTGAAGTATGTCTTTAAATATTTATCGTAGTAGCCCATCCCATGGCCCATTCTTCCACCATTTCGAGTGAAAGCAACACCAGGCATAAGGATTAAATCTAATGGAGCTACAAAGGGAATGAAAGTCTCGACGTTAATATTAAATCAACAAAGATGGAAACATCCATGCTTCTGTCACCTGTCAACAAAGGATTTTCTCTCTGTCTGTCGTTTTCTTTTGGTTGTTTTATGTTCCACTTTGTGAGTGGTAAATTTTTGTAATCATTTAAGTCATAAAGCTTTACTATGTCCATTACACTGCCAGAATATGTGGGAATAAAAACCTGAAATGATTTTCAGTTGCAAAACAAACTACATAAATGAAAGTAGGCAATTAGGTATTTGTTATCTTTTAATAAAGAAAAACAACATGCAATCCCTATGATTTGATTATTTTCATTAAATCAGATTTAATTAGTCCTTGACCAAGGCCTATTCACCTCTTTATCATTAAACATCCTTTCCAGTATATTAACAGTGTCAACTTCCCTTTCTGTACTTAGATAAATTGATATTCTTCTTGAGCTTTCATAGAAAGGCATTTTGAAAAGCTAAAAATAGGACACTTTGGCTGATTAAATGTTTTATTTATGAAATATTTATTAACAATATAACCTTCTCAGCAATGATATTGGATTGGCGAGTTCGATTTTCAACACTCATTTGTTTCATGACATCTTTGATGTGCTTTCTTAGTGCAGCTTTTGCTTGGTTCTGCATTTTTTAAACTAGAAAGAATAATTCAAACAAATAAAAATGTTTACAAAACTCTGTAGCGTGTGTTTTTTATAGCGTTATCACAACTTGATTGCAATGAAAAAGTCAAAAAGTTCATTCAAATCTTTCTGTAAAAAATAATTTCAAAAAATTTAACGGTTTTTTACTTCCAGTAATTTGAATTTAAAAAATTTAGCATCCGGTCATTGGCGTAGTTACTAAAATCGTTGAGTTTTTCTCATACAGCTGATTAATTTCTACGTCACTGGGAATAGTAAAATTTAGCATTTGTTTGTTTTCATTCCAATGAAGATTGTTTTTTTGCAAATTTGTTTCCTGTCGCGAGTTTACTCTCAATTCCATGCTATAAAGGATATTTTCTCTCACTTTTATAAAATTTTATACTTAGGATAATCATCCAGATTTGAGCAATTCAGTAGCTTGTGGAATATCAAACCTTAAAGACGTAACAATTTGACGCGTATCAAAGTTGAAAACTATAAAGTGATAAGAAAATCAATAATAAACTATTTAATCCAAAGTGTTATGGTCATTTAATGTGAAATATTATTATGAAAAGTTTTCGTGACATGTAAATATGTAAAATTCAATTGGAGTGAGAAGTTTATCCAAGAGTTTGAAGATAAAAGAAGTTTCTAGAAGTAAATCATATCTTGGCAGAGGAAAATTATCAACGCATAATATGAATGTGTAAACGAACTCCTTCTGGCTTTTACATAAATTAAAAAAGTAATCAATCGAATCCAATCAAAATGTAAACAATCCATTTCAATCAAGTTGTTTAGATACTGTGAAAAATTTATGAACGAAAAATATTTTTACCTTTTCTTCAAACTTTAAGGTCTCGACTTTTCACCTTTAATTTTGATTTATAATAGTAATTCACTAAAAAAAAGGGTTGAAGTTGTCAACAGAAATGAACTAAAGATTAAAAACTAAAAATACTTGTTGATACAAATAAATATTATTGATCAACATAAAATTAGCAAAGTTAGATTTTTAGCAAAATTAACAAACGAAAAAACATCAAAAAATTATGTTTTCAAATATTACACGTTGTTCTAACTTAAACTTGATGAAAGGCTTGAGTGTACAAAAGCTCATTTACAAAATATCAACCTCAAGTGAAGATTTCAGTATTACAACATATATTGATGTTTATTCGATTTTTTACCTTTATGTATAATAAATACAGGATCAGGTTCTCGCCTTTAACAAGCTTTCAACAAAACGTAAACAAGAAAATGGAAAAAAATATTTATGAATATCTCGTTTTTCTGTTATTTCCATCTGAAAGGATTCTTAATGCAAAACGAGAATAAAAATAAATGGATCTGCAAACCATTGAAATTCTCATTTGATGTAATTTTACTGCAGCAACTTCGTTTTAATACTAAAGGTCTTAGAGATATTTCGCTTTCCAAATCTTTTAATTAAGATACATCCGTGATCCCTACTCATTTTCTTCTACATATTTCAGATGAACAAACATCATTTTAGTCGCTAACGTTACCTTGATTTCAATACTTTTTGATAAAATTTATCTAAAACTTTTTTAATTTCAACAAAAAAAGAAATTTCTGAGATTAGAAGTGAACAAAACTTAAAATCTTCTCTTAATTTATCTTGATTTAAAATAATTCAAGGAATCAACCTGTTGCTCAAGCATAGTTTTTCCAACACTTGTCAATTTTTCCATCCATTTAATAATCAATTCAAAGTTGTTTTGGGTTATTTCGTTATAAATTATTTCTTATTTCCCATGCTTTCAAATAAATATTGAGAAATGAAACGTAACATTGGAGTAATAAAACGGGTTCCTTCTTCAAGGCATTTATTTTTGTTTATTTATTGAATTGACCGCATTTTCACGAAAATGTTGCTGAAAGTAGAACCCCTGAATTTGAGAAGCACGAAAAGTAAACTCACAAAATAAACAGTGTATCAATTTCTTTGTGAAAACAATTTTTTAGAAAGTTTATAAAGAATCTGGCCTTCTTTCACCTCTTTTAAAGTATCCTGAAACCCTTGGAATTTTTTTTGGGAAAGATTGATTGAGGTTTACACATTTTATTTTTCTTTATATCTGGGCGAGATGAAATTGTAGATGGCATTCTCTAATTTAATTCCCCATTTTTTGTTTGTACTATTTTCCATTTGAATGAAAGCAATGAAAACAGTATTCTTTGCATACAATGGAAAAGTCAAAATTAAATTTATTTTTCCTTTCCGAAAGAAGGAAGAATCAAATCAGAATTAATTGTAATTTCAATGAGGCTAATCTGAAGTATCTACTTGGAATGTAAATTTCAGAACTTTGGATATATCCTATAAAAAATGAGACGAGGCGTTTAGAACTCATTGTGATGCTTGAAGCAATCGCATAACAACCACCCGCAATTATTTTCTAAGTGTTCGCGAATTCTCATACCTACATCTATCTCCTTTGTTTTATCTAATATACAAGCGCTTATAAGTCAATTTCATCTGAAAAACAATATCTCGTTCTTCCGCTTCATGATAAAGTTATCCGACTCAAGAGAATGTTACGAAAACAATTTGCTCGAGGAATTTCAATTAACAGCCGAGAAAAAAAAATGTCAAGATTAATCATCCCACTTAACTTAACGTGACTTTACATCCTAAATCCTGTTGAACCGAGTCTCAAGTATTAAGTCTCTTGCCCAATGAAATATGTATGTATATTTCTTTGAATTTCCTTAAATGGTAATGAAAAACTCCAACAGCATCTTTTAGATATTTAATGACAGGCATTACATTTTATTGCTGCTATGCATTACCAATTTCAACCATTTTGTTTCTCTCACAAATTACAAATGAAGCCAATTATCAAAACTCGTAATGAACTACCTACATACATTCAAAATGTTGTAGAACATTTGCTATCTAAATGTTACTTTTTCAATGCTTTCAGTAGATAAAAATTGCTTATTCTTTTTTTTTAATTTATCACAAAAAATGTGTAAACTAATTATCTACAAGATCACATGTTTTGCTACTGAAATTATAGGAAAAAAGTCTTGAAGCCCCTGAAAAGAGACACGAATATGTTGTAGGCAATAAACCATTCAAGAAGGAAAATTATAACAAGATTAACTTATCGTGTTCTCAAACAATCTTTCATTGCAACTGCTGTAAGCGACAACGGTTTTTAATAATAAAAGATAGAGAACATAGATCGACAGTCAAACAAAAAATGCTGTTAAATATTTTTGTCTTTGTGTCTTTCAGTAAAGTGATGTCATATGGAAACATCAAAGAAGATAAATTCAAATTTTCAGCAAAAATCCTTCATTGATTTGAAAAGAAATGTCTTAAAATAGAAAAGCTTTTATAAAAGATTTTTAAATCTTCTTAGTAAGCTCATTTTGACTTTTGTCAGTAAACCTGTTGCTGTTTCAGATTTCATTCTCTGTTTCACATGGTTTATAAAATTAATTTTAGGCTAAAATAGAAATAAGAAATAAGACAGAAAAAGGTCTGAACTGAACAATAATCAGATTCATAATAGAGCTTATCAAATTAGTTGCTTCCAAAGCGTGTTTTTCCCTTTTAGAAAAGGTCACGTTTCCCTTGAATCAAAGCTGTTTGAGCTTATATTTGGGTTTGTTCATTTATCTTTCTAATTCTTTCTCATAATAATAAACACTTTTAAATGTGCTGAGCATAGTTTCTATTGTTTTTTTGAAGTGTTTTCCTCCTCCTTAAGGAAAGAGTGATCTTCAATGAAGACTTTATAGTCATATATTTGCGTGACGCAAAAACAGTAGTTGATTGTTTAATTAATTAATTAATTTGTCTCCTGTTTTAGTAAATAAATAAATAACATTTATAATTTACGTTTAATTTATCAAAACAATTAGACATTTCAAGTGAAAAGGTTTGAGTGAAACTAACATAAATTTAATTCAAATCTCATTCAGTTAAGGACGAACATCTTTAAATTTATAAAATGTTTAGAAAATATTCCAACAAGTAAAACTTAATCAGAGAAAGTTAAATATGACTGGCTTATGCTACTTGCAAATGTTTTATTGGTGAAAGTATTGCAAAGCAATGTGAAATGAAAGCAATATGACTTATGGAAGTTATTTGTTACGATAGCTCTGTTCAAAGTGTGGAAAATGGAAATGATGAACTCTATAATGTAAAACGAAAAGTTTAGATACTTATAATTCACTTCAATAAAAAGAAAACAGATGATAGACTTTAATTGCCATCCGAAAAGCTACTAAATATTGTTTATGCTATTGAAACGGATATTTGAAGGGAAAAAAATATTTTTGTAAACAAAGCAAAGCATAAACAAAAATTAATTTGATATTTTCTTGAAATTGACTCTAAGCTCTTTGTAACAGTGAAATGCTAACGCAGAAACGGAATCAAAAGCCGGTAAGCTCTAAAATATAAATGATTGTTATCATACTGTCTTAAAACTAAATCTCAAATCTTATTTTTGTTTTCCATTATCCCTTTCAATAGATATCTGCTTAATTAAGAAAGACTTAATTTCAGAAAACCCTGAAAATTTTATTCTTCTGATACTTGAATGCTGTGAAGTAAAAAAATTGAATTTATTGAAAGGAAAATGGAAAATAAATATCGATACTGATTGGAAACGTTTTGAAACCCAAATTTGTATTAATTTTCCTGCTGTTAGGAACATTTTTATTTACTCAGAGAATAAATTTATCTTGTCGTTTGGCGAAAGCTAATTCTAACACAATTATAATTTCTATTGGCTTGTCGTTCTAATTAAAAATTCTGATTAGTTAATTAAAATTTGTTTTAAAGCATTTCAAAACTGGAAAAACTTCTGTTTATGTTTCCAATTAACATTTATTCTAAGAAGAATTATGAATATTATGCCTCGCTCTATCCAATATTCAAATAAATGAGAAGCTGTTTTAGCTTCTACGAAATAAATAACCTTCTCTGGAGCTTTATGAAATTATTGTTTATGTTTTTAGTGTATCCCTTTACTCGTAGTTAATTTTCAAAATGCAAAATGTGCTTCTGTAAAGGTATAATTAGTTATCACTTCATTTTAAATTAAAATTATACAGAAAAAGCGTGATTCGAACGCTAATTCGTAATCTCATTAAGAATGAATGAAGTATTTACTAAATTCGTAGATGATTGATCTTTAATTTGAAATTCCGTAGTAAGTTTTACACTACCAAGGTTCCTATGTTTGTAACTAATGTTTATTTCTATAGCTACATTCATATTTATTGCTTATTTTGAAGTTTAATTTAAATAACTTTTCTTTTCTTCTATAACAACACGGTAAAACAACATAAAAACATAATTAAATATTCACTTTCTTCAAAATACTGTTGGCGATGATCGAATGAATTTAAAAATCCTTTATCGATATGTAAAGATTCGATGGGGATTGAAAACAGTCTGCTGGGGGTTAATCAATATAACAGTACCTAGGGTAAGAAAATTCTCTTATCACAAACAGATAACTTGGATCTTCGTTACCTGTTCGATTTTAGTTTTTCATGGATATTAAAAATGCCGTCGTGCTTTTATTATTATAATTTTTTTTACCTTTATGTATGGAATTATGTTTGTATTGAATATTAATTAATATAAATTAAGGTTTAAAACTCGATTTTGTTGAACAGATTGAGTGTTATGTTTAGATTTAATGTCAATTTATCGGATCATAAGTAATGACTGTGACTACATTAAAAATTCGATTCATTGATATCTAGGAAATAAAAAAAACAGAATAATTATCTACCTAAATGAAATTAAACAATTTAGTGTTTCAAACTTTGATGACTTTTGATAAGATGTTTCAAAACAATTTCTTTTTTGTTATTTTGCTCAATTATTTATTGTTTATTTTGTGTTATCTACTTAATGTCTATCTAAATGTTTATTTCTTATCTACCGAAGCCTTAGGAAGAAACTTAATAATAACATACTTGTATGAATATATAAATATTGAAACAGAAGCTCTGTTGAAAGCATTTAAAATCCGATGATATTTTCGCACGTTTAACGATTCACACTTGCTTATTAAAAGGTGGTTAAAGACGTGATGTGTCGGTAATAAACCACACTAACCTTCAAAGAACTGTTTTTATCATTAAAATTTTTAAAAGTACAGCAAAGAAATTCCCAGCTAAAAATATTTTAACAAAGCCTTTTTTACGTTTTATTCGATTCTAAATGGCAATTTTGATGGCTTTTCAAGAATTATGACAAATTTTACCTACCTAGTTTGGGATAATACGATACGTGCTTGCATAGTATAAATGATTTTAATACTATATAAGTATAAACATAAAATAAAGTGATTACTGAATAAAATTTCTCCCAAACTTCTTTTAATATCAAAAAACATTAAAAAGGTTGAAAATAGTTGAAAAGGGGATTAAAAATCGGATTTTAATATGATTAAAGGCGAAATAAAATTAACAGTGACATATTGAAACTCAAGTTTTATGAAATCCACCTAGATAATTATGATTAAATTTTCTCCGATTTCTAATAAAATATTTAGAGTTTTCTCAACAAAAAATATTGTAATTAGGGAGAAATTTTAATTATTTATTCATTAATTAATCATAGACAGCTCTTAATGTTTGAGAACATCTTTTTGCTTATCGTTATTTTCATTGAAAAATTAGTTCGAAATATTTTCTTGATAAAAAACTGCAAAAGAAGTTTTATAATTTATAAGAAGCTTTTCTTCTTTCTCATCCGCCAATTACCTACTTTGTAGCATTTTATAGTTTTTATTAAAAAAGTTTTTTTTGTTAAATATTTTTTTCATTTGCAGTTGCTTCCAAAAATATAAAAGCAAAAAAAGTATTCTCAATTGTTTTAAAAATGACATCAAAATTTTCGGAATTTCTCCGAACATTTCAACATCATACATCGCTGAGTTTACTTTGCATCGATGAGGTACGAGTATAAGACGATTGAAAAGTTCAAAATCACACACTTACAAATCTTTGTCTTTCTCCGTGTTGTGCAAAGTAAAGTTATCTGTTATCATCATCATACAAGCCTCAAGCATTCATTTTTCAATTCTCCAGACTTTCTTGAAACTGCATACACTTTTAGTTTATTTTCTTTTCTTTATTTAAGACTTTAAACTATTCCTATCTAGAAGTAGTTTAACAGAAACATTTAAAAGCATTTCGCACTTGATTCTCTTATAGTTTCCACCTGCCACTTATAGTTTTTATTGAAATCACATTAGTGCATCGTAATTAGCAACAATAAAATGAAACAAAAGCTCCACTTTAAGAAAAAATCTTGGAAAAGTCTGGGGAAAAAAATTTTTCTGTTAAAATTTCACACGTTAAATCCTGAGGCGTTATTGGTGAATAAAAAATTAAATTAAATTTTTAACGTAATTTGTTGTTAACATCATTGGTGGAAGAAACTTTTTAAGTGATGATTTATTTAGTTGAAATCAGGTTATTTTTCCCACGGTCAGACGAGTATTCCAAGATTGATTTAATTCAACCTTTTTGTGACAACTCACTCATCATTAAAAGTTTTACTACATGCTTTGTAATTATTGTGCAAAAAGTAGTTAAAACTTGTTCGTAACAATTTAGGTCATTTTTTAAGCTTCTTTTAATGTTAATGTGCTTGCTAGATAACTGTATTGTGCTTGTTTCCAAGTCTGATTCTTCAAAGGCGACAATACTTTTAATATTGAAAATGATCCAAGACCATTTTGATTCTCTATTTGTTTTTTCAGCATACGCCGAGAAGCTGGATTGAAGCCAATTTTCAAAAGCGCGAATGCATTAAGTTCATTCCAAATCCGAAGGATGTAGATAAGTAAGCTTATTTATTTTTATAAATGTTTATTACGAAGAACATATTCATTGTCCTAGTTTCACCAGATTACTAGTTGATGTGAAATTCTCCCTAATGTAGAAACATAAATGATTGAAAACAGTTTCATAACCACATCCTGATTTCAATATCATTGAAATTTACAAACTCAACGTATATCTTTTCCCCCTAAGCGTTTTGTCGTTTAAATTTCAAAATTAAGTCTATGAGATAATTTTTTTTCAGTATGATTTGAATTTTAAGAATCTTTAATTTAATGGCGAGTGAAATTCAACAGAAAGAAACAAAAAGTATTTTGCTGACAATTTCGTTTCATCTTAAAATCTTCTTGAATTTCTTCGAAATAATTTATAATTTCTCCTAGAATTTTACAAGTTTTAGAAATGAAAGAAATGAATAATTCTTGGATAATTTCTAACGTTATGATTTAGTTACTAAATATTTAGGAAAATATTTATTATCAGGTGTTGCTGTGGTCAAGATCGAACAATTCATACAATCGTTCCTGGCATAGATATTGGAGTGGTTGGTGACATTTGGCTACCCAATAAGCATACACGTCCGCATCCTACCGATGCTTATGGAACTATTGAATTTCAAGGAAGTGCTCACCCAACAAAAGCTCAAGTAATTTCATTACTGATTGTTGTTTATATTCAATTTGGTGATAAAATAAATTTCTTTATCGTCAACAATAACTTTTTCAGTACGTCAGATTGTCATACGACACAAGACCGGAGTTAATCGTTCAACTATTCAAACAGGAATGGAATTTAGAATTGCCTAAACTGCTTCTTACTGTTCAGGGTGGAAAAGCCAATTTTGAACTTCAATCAAAATTGAAAAAGGTAAATTGAGTTTCATTGCCGCCTTTTTGAATTGTTTCCCCTGTCAAAAAGTGAAAGCTTTCAACAGATTCTTCAGCTCATCTTTAATTTTCAAGCCATTAAAAGCAATTACTGAGCTTGGCCGATGAGAGAACCTTTTTTTTCAATTTGTGTTGGCATTTATCTTTATTGTGGGGGAGAGAAAAATTTGAAAAGTTTTCTAATTCAGAAAATAAAAAAGAACGATCTTAATACTCATTCGTATAGAAGAAAAAGCTCAACAGATGCGATAAATCATAGAGCATACCTCATACCATCATTTAAGCTATTGAACGACGAATAGAAAATAAAAGAATGAGAAGAGTCTTTTCTATATAAAACTTTCTCAATTTTCTCATCATAAGAAAATGAAATTTCGAGAAAAATCTTGAAATGAAGATTACCCGAAGTAAATAAGCAATTTAATTTACTTTTAAAGGAAAGAAAGAATGCTTCAGCTGAATAAACTTCATCGATTGAAATCATTATACAACTCACTGATTTTAATATCTTTCTTTTTAAGAACAGAAATTTGATTGTTCTATATCGAAGCTTAAGCACCTTTCATTGCATTGTCATCCTATGAAAAGTCATAACCATAAACTTAGCCAAGTTGAATCGTTTGTCTTGATTTTCATGATTCCTTTCTTGCCGTTCCAAAATCGTTCTTGATTTATTGTACATTCTTTACGATTCACAAGATGATTTTACTCTTTTTTGTAGATTCTACGAAAAGGTTTAGTGAAAGCTGCTAAAACAACTGGTGCTTGGATATTCACAGGTGGAACTAATACGGGTAACATCACATAAGATTGCTCCATTTTCTGTGACAGTTTTTTCATATGACTTTAAATCAGGTGTAACGAAACAGGTCGGTGATGCATTGTTATTGGAAGGGCAGCAACGTTCAGGTCGCTTAGTTAGCATTGGAATAGCGCCATGGGGAATTGTAGAGCGAAATCACGAGCTGCTAGGACACAATCGAGACGTCCCATGTCATAGCATTAGTTCACCAAGGTAAAATAAAATCTAAACATTAATTGCTATTTCGAGCTACTGAAATACTTGTCAAAAATTTCTTTTATTCATATTTTAAATACATTTTATCTTAACAGAAGCAAACTTGCTGTGCTGAACAATCGTCATGCATACTTTTTATTGGTTGACAATGGAACACAGGGAAAATATGGTGCCGAAATAATCCTTAGAAGGAAATTAGAAAAATTTATCTCGAATCAAAAACTCCAGCCATGTAAGCTAAAATGAATGAGTAACATCTTTACTTTATTTTTGCAAGGGAACTTCTAATTACTTAGCAAACATTTTACATACATTTTATGTACATAAGAAAGTTTCTGATCTTCTTTTGGGTGTGAATAAGGAAAATGTTTGGAACTTCGAACTAACTAACTTATTCGTTTGAAATTGCTTAGAAATTCAATTTATTTAGTTCAGTTTTAAAAGAGTTTTCTAGTTTTAGTAAGAAGTCAACGAATGACAATAAATAACTGAACACTTGCAGAAGTAATTACAAAATTATTCTATGTGAAATATTTTCTTCATATATGAACTTTTAAAGTTTCACAAACAGTAAACCTAGTTTTTGAATTATTTTTATCGAGAGAGAAAAGTGGCAAACGATATCAACACGCTTTTTATTGAAAGCTTTCAACCGGAGCTCATAAAAAAGAAATCGAAAAGCACAACCGTACATAAAGCAGTTAGAAAACACAAGCGCAGAAGAGACTTCACCTTTTGATAAAAAATATGTTCCCAAGCATAAGCGAGGGTGAAATGAAATTAAGCACTTTTAAACGCATAAAAACGCAAAGGGATTTGCTGGTGAAGAGCTCAATTAGATTCTCAAGTTTTGAGAGAATTCGAAGAAACTTAAAGTTCATGAATGTTGGTTGGAATTTAGCCAAAGGCTTTCATGGTACGCGAAGTTCAAAATGTTTTGTTTTCAAGCATGAATCATAAACAGAGTTGGGCGATCCATTTTCCGATACGGATCGCCGATCCAAAAGTGGATCGCCGATCCNAAAGTTCATGAATGTTGGTTGGAATTTAGCCAAAGGCTTTCATGGTACGCGAAGTTCAAAATGTTTTGTTTTCAAGCATGAATCATAAACAATGCTTATGTCACGAGACTCGTTTAAAATTGAGAGAAATAACTTATGAGCTAGTCAAAGGAATAATGTTCGTCAGATATTTTTATTTTCCAGTCGCGTGGCTGCTATAAAAATAAGCCATAAAGATTAAATTACTAAGCTTCGTTTCAAAAATGTTACGATTTAAAAAAAGGAATTAAGAGCTTTATTGACTTTACTATTTCGCGTGATAAATTAATGTTTTTTATTATTTTAGTTTAAGCATCGTAGAAACATATTTTTTTCTTATCTAAAGATTTTCATAGTTTCAATGCTTTGTTAAATTCTTCTTAATTGAAAAGTTATTCGAATTTATTAAACATCTCCTTGATGTTATAAAGTTTAGTACGTTACAACCACACATGTTACATTTTACGGTTGCTATGTAAGTTGAGGGTGTTGAAAGGAATTTAGAAGCAAAATTCAACATTGTATAAATTTCTACACAGATAAAGCTCAAAGTTTATACAAATTTATTCTACTTTATTTATTTAACTAAAACTTATCTGAATAAATTTGTAGAATCATTGCGGTTATGTAATTTAACAACGAATCTTTACAGATGCTACATTAAATAACTCTATGATTTAAATACAGTTTCCAATTTCATTCCTCTAGTTACACAATCAAGCACTCCCGTTGTGTGTCTGGTTATTGAAGGTGGAATGAATACAATTCGTGCTGTGCTCGAATATGTCACTGACACTCCACCAGTGCCTGTTGTTGTAGTTGATGGATCAGGACGTGCTGCTGACATTATTGCTTTTGTACATAAATATGCCAGTGAAAATGGGGAACAAAGTCAACTGTTGGAGTCTATGAAAGATTATCTCATCAACATGATTATGAAAACTTTTGAAGTTGGAACGGATCAAGCAGATCGTCTTTATGTTGAACTTCTTGAAATAACCAAATATAAAAATCTCATAACCGTTTTTCGTATTCAAGATCGTCCCGAAGGGAAGGTCCAAGAATTAGATCAGACAATCATAACTGCTCTGTTTAAGTCTCAACATCTGAGTCCACCAGAGCAATTAAGTCTTGCACTCACATGGAATCGTGTCGATATTGCACGAACTGAAATATTTGTTTATGGACAAGAATGGCCACATGGTGCTCTTGATGAAGCAATGATGCAAGCACTTGAACACGATCGAATTGATTTTGTAAAGCTTTTGTTAGAAAATGGAGTTTCCATGAGAAAATTCTTAACTATACCGCGACTTGAGGAGCTTTACAATACCAAACATGGACCAGCAAACACTCTTGGGTTAGTCATTGGGTTATCTTTGAAAAGAATCTAATCATACTTATCTCATTAACTTTCTCTTTAGTTACATCTTACGAGATGTTCGGCCTCATATTCCTAAAGGTTACATTTACACATTACATGATATTGGACTTGTGATTAACAAATTAATGGGTGGCGCTTACAGGTAATGATAAGTTCAGTAAAATAAAGAACAATATTTATGTACTTTTTTCAACCCTCTCAACCATTCAGATCATATTACACTCGAAGGAAGTTTCGTCCAATTTATGCAAAAGTTATGAACAGTTATGTGAATACACATAGAAAGCCTTCGACTTTTCAACGAACGGCCGGTGTGAACTCAATGAGTCTTGTAACTGGGTTGCTTCCTTTTACCTCTGAAATGGCTTTGTTTCCTTTTCCTTTTAATGAATTGCTTATTTGGGCTGTGTTGACCAAACGACAACAAATGGCTTTGCTAATGTGGACACATGGTGAAGAAGCGCTTGCAAAATCGCTCGTTGCTTGTAAACTTTATAAAGCGATGGCACATGAAGCAGCAGACGATGATTTAGACACGGAAATTTACGATGAACTTCGAAATTATGCCAAAGAGTTTGAGGTGAAAGGTTTAAGGTTGTTGGATTTCTGTTATCGACAAGATGGAGAGAAGACCCAGAAACTTTTAACGTGTGAACTTACTTCCTGGTCGAATCAAAGTTGTTTATCGCTTGCTGTTGCTGCTAATCATCGAGCGATTTTAGCTCACCCATGCAGTCAAGTTATCTTAGCAGATTTATGGATGGGCGCTTTACGAACAAGAAAAAATACAAATTTAAATGTAAGTTGGTAATTTGTTTCCTTAAAGAAGTCTCGAAAGATCTAAAATTTTTCATCGCTTGAAGGAATTATTAATATTCTCTCCTCTTCTCAGATAAACAACAGTCTTCTCCTTATTTTCTTTCACTTTTCTATTAAATATACTGACCTGATATAATGCTTAATTTCATTTCTAATAAAAAGGTCGTTGCTGGATTACTTGTTCCGATTTACATTAAGAAATTGGATTTCAAAACACGAGAAGAGCTTCAACAAATGCCTCAAACTGAGGAAGAACATTTAGAAAATCAATATTTGGACTATGAAGATAAAGAGAAATCCATTACAGATGCAGAGGTAATCATAAAAAATCTCCATTAGTTAAGATATCCTCACAAAAGTCCCCTCAAATCCCAATCATAAAACTCATAAATATCCTAAGTATAAATTGTTTTTATATTCTATTCACAATTCATCTTTGGCTGCAACACGTAAGACCTCAATTCAAAGGCGCTCGTTTAAGAATATTGTTGGAAAGAAGACGCCAGCTCAGGTATAAGATTGATTTAATAGATTTCTCATCTATATTTGATGTCGTTTTAACTCAAACCACCCCGGAGATTTTATGAAACTTTCATTCAAGAAGAAGAAAGTCTTCAAATGTCAACTCTATTGACATCAAGCTTTCCTTGTAAAGCATGCTCGCTTTTACTTTACATATTTCCTATTCAATCATCAATCTAAAAACAATGAGTTATCCTAAACATATACTATACCTAGCAACTTTTCAAGTGAAACCAACCTCACCAGTTCTAGACTCCAAAAGTTCATAAAAAAATGATCATAAAAAATTTTATGCGCTCGGTTGTTGTTGTTTCTCATGTAAATTTCTTTTTCCTTTTAAACTTTCATCATCGAAATTTCCTTTTTTGTTTTTACTGTTCAGTACGTGATAAGAAAAAAAAGAGTGGATGGGCGGAAGAAACATTTTTCTAAGCAATTTCCTTTGTAAGCTTTAAGTTCTTTGCATTTATTTCCACAATTTTTTATCTGGAGTTAGGTTCACAATTTTATAATTTATGCTCTCACAATGATTTCTTTCTGTTTCCTTTACTGTTGCTTCATGTAAATACATCACGGATGTTGCTTGTTCCACTGTATTTATTATAATTTATAATTTTATGCTTATAAGCTACGTCGTGACTTGTTTATGACTCGATAGGGAAACTCATTCATGAATCATGAACAAGACAAATAACTTTTGTCTGATAAATTCTAGGCTTTCATATTCACTTCCTTTAAAACTTGAACTTTCATCATGCCACAAATACACTTCTATCTGTCTTCATCAAATAAAAGCTTTATGAAACCCTTAATACTTTTATACAACATACATAAGTTGCTGATTCTTCTGCCTCTTACTTAAAACTTCCACACCCTCGCATTCAATAAATTTCTTTTCATGAACTTTTAAATTTAAGGGAATACATATCTGTTCCTTTGTTTCCAAACGAGCGCTTATCTCTATTGTGACATCGATAAAGAATCTGAAAACAAAAACAAGTCATCATAAAGATATTTTTGGGAAAATAAAAGAAAAACTGAATTTTCCCAGTCCACAAGCGCATTTTCTTCTTAAAGAAAAATGTTTTTATGTTATCTCTTATTTTATTCTTATGTTGTTTTTTGTGCTTTATTTTCTAGGCTTTATATTCTGATACCTATTCAATGAAAGACACAAAAGTCCAGGAAAATGGAAAAGTAAGAATTATTTTTGAAATGTAGTCGCATACGTCGCAAACATCATGTACAGAAGCATATCTGAGAACCATTTTTATATTTGGTAGATGTTTCGTCATACCTTAACAGATAAAGTTTCATTCAATTAAATTTTTTAATGGAAAGCACAATTTTCGAGTAGTCATGATATTCATTGTTTAAACTTATCATTACTGATGCACGTTTTGAACAGACTGACTTACACCCGAGCGGCACAAGCGGAGATTCCTATTTCATTTTCATCACCGGCTTGCTTTTTAAGTCAAATGGGAAGCAATTCCGGTAAATTTTGCTCAATCTTGATCAAAGGTTGCAACGTGATGAAAATGAAATCAATTTTTAAAATTTCCTTATGTTCTCTTCCTAAGATTGCCATGTGCTAAACTTTCAGGGCAATTGTGAAGAAATTCCGTGAAGTTTAGCTCATGACTTCCTAGAGGAAGAAATTCAAATCAATTTCAAATTACTTTATAAGTTCGTCATATGCCGGTTTTTAAAGTCAGCACTTAGTTAGACTTTCAAGGATGTTTCACGTTTGAAATTTTTTCAAGGGAAATTAAAAACGGAAATAGTATTCAGATAGCTAAGAAATATCATTTAATGTACTTTAATTAATTTAATGTAATGTTATTGAAAAGCATTAAGAATTTTATAATAAAATTAAATAAGCATTCAAATTAAACATTTGCCNAAATTTTTTAATGGAAAGCACAATTTTCGAGTAGTCATGATATTCATTGTTTAAACTTATCATTACTGATGCACGTTTTGAACAGACTGACTTACATTTAACTAATCTAATTAAAACGTTAATTCTACCATGAGTATAAGCTGAAAGTTTTTTATTTTTTGTTCTCTTGTGCTGCTTAAACTTTCATTAATTTGAATAAACTTCCATTCCGTTTTTTAAATTGTACTAAGTGAATTGATTTATATAAAATTTAATTCATTTTATTTTTAACTAGCAGAATTCTAATTATTTGAAAAAATATTTTCCTTCATTACACGCAAACAACAGGTCAATGTTACGGAAGTTATCGAAACGGCAAAAGTTAGTTCTATAGTGAAAAGAGTTAATATTTGTGAATATGTAATTGACTTGCTTCAATCAATCATTCTATTTAATCATATATGATTTACTGATTGTTCCATAAATTTCTTTAATTAAACATTTTTCATGTACATATGTAAATACTAAAGCGTAGCAAAGCATAAGCTTTTATTTATTGATTATATATTTTAAGTGATTTTTTTCATGGAAAATTACCAGTGTGCGTGTTTTTAACGATAAAATAATATGAAATTAGGACTCCCACACAAAAGAGTGAAAAAGTTTGAAAGGAAAGATTTGAAAAATCTAATTTTATCATCAACAATTTTTTGGTTGGATCTTTTGTTCGTTTTGATTTGTTTGTAATGGAAATCTTGACAATAACAAACAATTTGGTCTCAAATCTTATTTATTTTTACGATGTTTTCTTTGGAGAGACATACTTATATGTTGTGTAGGTAGATAACAACATAAGTCTTGCACATACCTATTCTGTTTATTAAGCATTTATGTTCAAGCCTTGTTATTGTCGACAAGTTCATTTTTACATCCAACGTCTTTGAGTTAGAATTTTATTGCCAGTTCAGAACAATTTTTTGATTTGAGATGAATGAAAAGAAAACATTTTTAAATTTATTATTTGAAGAATTAAAAGAAAGCAATGTACATATTTACATTATTTTTGACGGTGCCATAAGACGCAATTTTATTAATTTTGAATTCCATCGCCCTCAAGGTATCATTCACAGATTCCGACGGAACACCATTCAACCATTATGATGAAGATACGCGCATTCATCGCCCTTTAAGGTTGAAAAAGAAATTCTATGAATTTTACACGGCACCGATAACGAAATTTTGGGCTGATTCGGTGAGTTATTATCTATTTGATGAAATATAATTGGATTAATTAATTTTCATTAATTAATCATAAATATTCTCTTCATTTTCTTACTCATCATAGCTTGCGTACATTGTCTTTCTCGTTCTTTTCACTTACACTGTGCTGGTTAAAATGGAGGCAACCCCCTGCTGGCAGGAAGTTTATTCCATTGCTTATATCACAACATTGGGCTTTGAGAAAGTACGCGAGATTTTATCATCGGAGCCTGTTGCTATCTGGTAAAAGAAAGAAAACTTTTTAAATGAATTAAATTAAATATTTTTATGAAAAACGGATCTTTCCCTTAAATTTATTTCCATCATTAAGTCATAAATTCTCTGTTTGGACTTGGAACATGTGGAATCCATGCGATGGAGTTGCTATAATCACTTTTATTATTGGTGTTGGCTTGCGATTTCGTCCGAACATGATGGATTATGGGAGGGTTATTTATTGTGTGAATTCCATTTACTGGTATCTCCGCATCCTCAACATTCTGGGTGTCAATAAATATTTAGGTTCGTAAAAATGATGGACAAAATATCATCACATGAAATTGTATATTAAAATTCTATTTTCATTTCCCAGGCCCTTTGGTTACAATGATGGGAAAAATGGTCAAAAATATGATATATTTTGTTGTACTTTTGTTGGTCGTTTTGATGTCGTTTGGTGTGAGCCGTCAGTCAATTTTGAATCCAAATAAAGAGGCAGATTGGAGGCTCGTCCGTGACGTATTCTTTCAACCTTACTTTATGCTGTACGGTGAAGTGTTTGCTGGTGATATTGACCCACCTTGTGGCGAAGACCCAAATCAAACGCCTTGCATCACTGGCCAATGGATTACGCCCATAGCAATGTCAATGTATCTTTTAATTGCCAATATTTTACTCATCAACCTCTTAATAGCCGTTTTCAACAACATTTTCAACGAAACAAATTCAATTTCTCATCAAGTGTGGATGTTTCAGCGTTTCACTGTGGTTATGGAATATCAACAAAAACCTGTTTTACCACCCCCACTTATCTTCTTCTGTCATTTCTATTCGCTTCTCAAATACTGTATTAGGAAGACAAAAGGTTTGAAAGAAGTTCGTGACAATGGTCTTAAGCTTTTCCTTGAGAAAGATGATCTGGAAAAGCTATATGATTTCGAAGAGGAATGTGTCGAAGGATATTTTCACGAACAGAACAGCATCCTATTGCAATCAACGGAAGAAAGAATTAAAAATACTGACGAGAGAGTTGAAGTGATGACGCAGAAAATTGAAGATATTAACATAAAAGAAAATCTACAATCGGTTTCTGTTCAGAATATGGAATTTCGCTTGCGAAAGATGGAAGAATCAACAGAACAGATTTTAAGTCATCTCGCTGTCATTCATCGATTTATGTCGGCTCACATAAGCAGCAATGAAAATATTCAAGGTTCTATGGCAAATATTAGCTTTTCAATCCCGCCAATCGATTCTAGAATACGAACTGTTTCTGAAAATGATACGAATATTTTATTGCTTCCGCCTAACTCGAGAACAGCAAGAAAATTCAACAGGTCGCTAACGGAAGTTCGTCCCGATGCTTACATTTTTGATGAAGGTGCGCACTTTGAAGTACGAACAGCATTAAAAGAAAATGAGATGCTTCAGTCAACTGAAGAGATTCATGATTTAGTAGCAACCATTCGTAGTCGAAAGCTCTCAGTACAGTCGGAAGAGCCCGAATATTGCCTATCTTCGCCCACATTATCACAACAAGGTAAAGCTCCTGAAACAATGATAAACGAACCTGAAATTATTTCAAGATCTGAGCCTATGAATCCAAGACCACCTACACTTAGCGTTCGACAAGATACGAACGTCAGTGCTGAGAGTAGAGATACGCTTACCCCTTTGGACGTTGCTGACGAAAGAACTCTTGTCGGTGACCATGCAAATGAAGATGTCGACCCAATCTTTGAAGGCTTAAGACAGCGAGGAATACGTCGAAGAAACTCACAAATTGGACGAAGAAATTCAGAAAGTCAAAATGTTGACATAAATCGTTCACAAAGCAGTCTTAATTTTATTGGAAATGCAATGACGAGAAGACAGTTTAGTCTTACTCAATCAGAACCCGACACAGAAGCATCTGTTGGAGTAGGAATTCCAATACCGAAACCATCAACGAAAAGTGGAAGACATTTGTTGTTACAAATTCATGCTGAATATACTTCGATAACAGATGAATTGGAAAGTATGATTGCATCACCAACAACCAGCTTACTTGATGAAAAACCGAAAAATATTAATGAACTGTCAAATCCAGAATTTGCAGCGCTAATTGAAAAGAAACATCTGAAAGAATGTGAAGATGATGATTACATGATAATGGAGAGATTGCTACAAACAAGAGGATCAATTGATGAAAGTGATGAGAATCTTGAGACGGGGTTTGCCCTTGAATATCATCAAAAGCGAATGTTGAGACGTGAAACTGCAATCGAGCTTCCAGTTACACCAAAGAAGAAAGTTGAAGAAGCAACACAAAAATCTGAACAGTTTGAAATGAGAAATGAACGAATTCCTTCGATAAGTCGAAATGTTTCTGTTGAAAACAATAAACTTTCACCTATCACAGCTTCAAACCAAAATTCACCAAAAAACTCACAACCAACGACAGGCATTTCTTATCTTAATCCCGAACCAGAACACAATCTTCGTTTTTATAAAAAATCAAGTGAAAGTTTGCAGAAAAATTCAAGCTCTGATACTGATTATTCTACTCAGCCATATCGTGTTATCAAACAAAGCTCTAATGACACAAACAGTTCATTAAACATCGATAACTCATCGTTTACCAATGATCTTTCTTTAGAAGCTGATTCAAGCTTAAATTCAACAGTAATTGAGCAAAATGAAGAACGACATAAGCCGAAACGTGCTTCAACTATGACATCAGCTGATACTCGTCCTAGTTTTTTAAGAAAACAATTCAGTATTGATGGCAAACGATTGGAAAATCGGCCACACTCAGAAAATTTAGAATTTCGATCAACAGTCAAAACTTATGAATCATCTCAACATCATCTCCCTTCTAAACTATCACATTCACCTCGACCTCAAATGAATGTTTTAAAAGAAAGTTTAAGTACAAGCACTGAAGATGCCCGCGATGATTCTCGGAAAATGATTCCATCAATAAGCACAAATTTGATTCAAGATGAGATCGCGAAGCTGTCGTCAAATATGAAAAGCAGTTCAGATGAAGAAACTATCCCTGATGAGCTGATTAACGAAACCATGTGCTGATTTGTTATTTTATTGATTTTTATTTAAATTATGACTTTTTATTGTTAACTCTTTTGTTACATAAATGAGTAGTAAATATTTGTGTTTAAAGTTTCAATTAAAAATCATTGATAAACCCAAACCACATGTGAAGCTTCTCAGTATCAAAATATTATATATTGAAATGTTTAAAATGATCAAAATCGATGTATTGTAGTTTCAACTTAAAGGAAATCGAAACTTAATTGAACATTTCTTAAATTCTTTTTATTAATTTTATGTTAGGTCATTTTTGAAACCAGAAATTAGTGTCAAGTTTTTAACTGTCATATGAATGTGATCCAGAGAAGCATCCAAAACCAATAACAAATTAAAACCATAATTTGGATTTTATGTATGTTAACAAGCAGAACTTGCTGCTTTTTCACAGAACACTTTGAAGTCTGTACATGAATAAATATTTCTACTTAAACGTTATACTTAAATTTAACAATTGAAAGTTTTGCAAAAGTTTTTCAAAATAAAGTAGCAGAATTTTATATCTAGCTCCACTTTATTTAATTATCTTTCTCATCATTCTGCATTAAAAAATTGCAAAAACTGCTCCAAAAGGGAACTTGGAAGATAAGGTAAAAGCAGAGCAGACATTTTCCGAAGTTTCTTTGTTAATGTAATCATTTTCCGAATTTAATGACTTCATAATGCATATCTATCTTAAATATTCACAAACTGGACAAATATTCTTATAGAACTTTATTTGAAATTTACATCACTTATTTACTTATGAAGTAGATTTATACAGTCGAATTAAAATTAAAGTTCGGTGAACTTTGAAAGCTCATATTTGTAGTAAAATAAATATTTGATCATTGAAGCTTGGCTTTCATTTCTCCACATAAATTCAAATATAATTACAAACATTCGACCTAAAATCACATAATCATAAGATTGCAATGTTTAAACTTTGAAGAAATGAATTATCCAATAAATTTTGAGACAATATTTATTTATAAAGAGACTATATTTATAACATTATGTAATCATTGTGAGAAATGTGGTACATAAGTTGTTTGACCAAAAACCCCTATTATTTAAATTTATATAAAATATTTTTGAAATAAATTAATAAAAGTTATCAAAACTTCACTTAAACCCAAATTTTCCGAATTTTTCTTAGCTGATTTTTCAAATTTGCGTGTACCTTAATACGGAAAATTATTTATTCTTGAAGATAATTGCACCTTCTGGCAATCTCTTAAATATTCTTTCCAATTATGCTTATGTCATCATAATAAAGAGCGGAAATTGAAATTTTGATTTTTCTTTTCGTAGACATTTCTATAGATTTGAACATAAATTTTACAGAAATATGTAAGATCAACATATTATAAGATCGGATCATATAACATGAAGATTGAAAATATGTTTTGATATACGACAGAATCAAATATTTTTACAAAATATTCCCACCTGTGTGCTAATCATGCATGACAAACATTATTGTGTTTAGAGTCAATGATTGGAATTGAAAACTCATTTAAATTTGATTAGAAAAACCACGAAGTATCTTTTAAGGTTCTATCGTTTTCATTTTCAAAATATTTTCCATATGCTTACGTTATCTACTTATTTCAGAAATATAATTGAATTTCCTAAGGGAACATTCGGATTTTAAATATGTTTTGATCAGAACTACCTAGATAGGTTGCATGTACCGACATCAAATAAATAGGATAAAGATGAGAAAAAAGGTTTAAGGATCAATCAAAGCATCTGATGGTCTGAAGGAGATTATAATTTTTGAACTATCCAAAATTACTGATGCTTAAATTATTTTTATATTTTATAATGTTTATGAACTTGAAATTTGTGTTTAAATATGAACTTGGGAAAATTTTCTTGCTTGTTTTCATTGTTCGTTGTCAATCAGAATGACCAACAAGAGTCAAAACCTTCACATCGACGTTCTTAAACCCCTAAAATATTAATTATTGATTGCTTTCTCAGAAAACTCAAATCAAATAAATAATTCAAAATTAAAACCAAAAGCTTTGAAATTTTCATGATATACATTTGTATAATTAATTTTCTTCGTTGGCCTGAAAAACTGACATTTTTCCAATAAAAAAGTTTTATTTCAGCCGAAATTCAACAGGTTTTGTTACAGATGCGAACAAACTACTTAATCAAAATCAAACGCTTATGATTAAAACATTTCCACTTCTATTCATAGAAATTGCTTTTATCTCTTTTCAGACTTGCAACATTTGTTAGAATAATGAATAAAACTTGAAGTTTTTCATAGATACAAATTTATGTAAAATTTTAATTCTCATTTTCAAAGGAATTATTTAGATTTATGAGCTATTCTATGTTAGACATGTTTAATGCTTGATCAAGATTAATATAATAAATTTTATTTTTGACACGAAGAGGCATTTAAAAGTTCATGTCACTGCCCATTCTAATATCGGATTTTAGATGCATTATTAAAGCGTTTAGCCAAGTCATTTTAATAGTTTCCTTGATGAAAGGATGCCAGTCCAACGTAATTTTATCCGACATGTATATCTTCTTCCTTATTGTTAAAGACAAACTGTGAAGACAAATTTCTTCCGAATAAAAACCATAAATTTTCTCTTAGCTGCACTAAAATTCTTTCCAGGAAAATCCTCTGGAAAGTTTCCAATGAAGAGCAAGAGATTTCTGCTAAGCATTTGTCATTAAGTTCAACTCTCTGTGAGAGTAAAAAGTCACGTGCTTCTGAATACATATTTAGAGAAAATAAAATATTTGAGTATCTAATCATGGTCGTTTAATAAAAAAAATGTAAAAGATGCGAGAAGGCCACTTAAAATCTCGCCTGGGTATTGTCTTTACATCTTTAATCAAGAAATAAAAAGTGTACTTGAAGCCAATTTATACATTGACTTTAGTCGAGGTTTTTGATATCTTTTATGAAAAATTAATGATGACGGTTGATGACCAACACATGTTAAAATACTTCTGTTGGTATTTAAAATTAACAAAACTTAAGTTACCAGCTTAAGTAACAACGAAAAGGTTCATTAACCTCGCAAACAAAGTGTTGTCATAAAATAATGCAATGTCATGCTTTATGTGCAAGTGGATGAGAGAATTTCAACGATTTTCAACAGGTTGAAAGTTTTTTAAAACATAAAAATTTGAAAAATATTTAAAAATAAAGTTAATACAATTCACATGCTACAACAAATTTTTATACTTGGTTTTGCTGTGCAACTTCCATTCGATTGAATTATGTACATAAAGAAACATATTAAGCGAAACGAAGAAAAAGTATTGTAAGCAAGTTTGAATATTTTTATTTAGTATATCATGGAAGTATATCTAATACGTTACGAGAAACTTCTACTGGAACAGTTAAGTCTTACAATTACCTAGTTATATAAAATTGAAGTATGATCAATTTAATGTTTTTAAGCTTTTCGCGCTTTTTATTTCGCTAAAACTTTAAAACAGGTTTTTGGCTTTAAAGAAAACGTTAGAAGTTGAGAATGTATATTTTTTATCTGTTCACTGGCATGTCTTTCTTGTGGTAGTCGAGTTTTAGCATTCAAGCGGTGTACACCTCGTGAAGAAATACTGACTATTTCTTGTTGTTATAAATAATCAACAGTGCTTACTTTTGCTAAACTTTGAAAATAAGTTAATTGCATAACATGTTGCAGCAAAAAAATTCAGAAAAGAATGAGTGATCAGAAAGTTATTTTAGTGTTAGATTTGGGATCCACTTCTAGTCGATCATTTGTATTTAGTTTGCCATCATTTGATATTATCGGGAGCTCTCGATTTGAAGTAAGCGGAAAAACTTTTGACTTTTAAAACTTGATTCTTGTATTCTATTATGTAGTTCATAAATTGTTTCTGCATCAATACGATGCATCGTATTAACAAATATGTAGATAAAACTTTATCATCTGTTCGATTGCATAACTTCCAATATTTTATATTATCTTGTAATCATTTCTTGACATTCAATCAAACCAGTTTGCATATTTTTTTTGCCTGCTGTTTTTCGATTGACATGCTTAATTTCGACATAAAAAAAATAAAATTATAAAATTTATATTGAAACAGGACAGATTTTAATATTCATAAGGTTTAGACTATAAACCACGTTAAATCTGATACTAATAGAAATAGGAAAACTAATGATTGCTTGTGACTTTCTTCTAACATTAAGTTGCTTCATAACTAAACACTTTAATGCGTGATACGTATTATGTTTAGTTAGAACAAAAGTTGTTAGTAGCGAGATTTAATTTTTCCTTTTATCATCTCGAACACCGGGTGAAAGTCTAAAGTTCATCTCATAAAAGACAATTAAAATTCTTGATTGTATTGATTTAATATGTAATACTAATAAAAACCGTGTTAATTGTTACTTCTTTTTCGTTCAAGAATAAAATTTTACAAACTGACGATGGATTTGTTGAAATGGACCCTGACGAATATTTCAATAGAATTATACACTTGCTTCATGACTCCCTTAAAGGTGAATAATGTCGCTTAAATTGACGTCAAATCATATCTCTATTTATATTTAACTTGTGCGTAGATATCTAAAGAGTTTTAACATTTGTTAATCTTTTCCATACTGGAATTATTGTTAAGAACTCCACATACAATTTACACATGCTTAGAACAACAGAGACTCAAAACGTATAATCAATATAATAATTCTTTTATTCTTTTTTAAAAATTCAGATGCTAAAAGAAATGCCGAAAATGTGATGTGTTTGGGCATAAGTGTACAGAGGGCAACTTTTATCACTTTTGACAAACATTCTGGTAAACCATTTCATCAATTGATATCATGGAAAGATCAACGTGGAGATAAAATAACTAAAAAGTTCAACAAAAGCCTTCTTTTGAAAGTTATTCATGTTGGATCAGATTTTCTTCATTTTTTCACCCGGAGTAATAAATTTAAGCAAACAAAAAATTTAAAATTGGAAAACAATTTTGTAATGAATTAATTTGTTAAGCTGCAAAGTAGCACAACATAAACTTACGTACAAAATTTTATTTTCTCATAACAGGTAGCACCGCGACTAAGCAAGATTATCGAAAACAATAGAAAACTCAAAGATGCAATGAGAAATGGGCGCGCAGTTTTTGCCACTGTAGATACTTGGCTCATGCACAGACTAAGATATGTAAATGGATTAGAAAAGTACGAACCGGTAACTGAAATCACAAATGCTTCTGCAACAAGTCTCTTTGATCCATTTTCGATGACATACATTCAAGCATTCTTGAAATACTTTAAAATTAAACGAAGTGTATTACCTGCAATCGTGGATAATTCTCATGACTTTGGATACACACATAAGTCAATATTTGGTATTCCCATAAAAATAGCAACAATAATTGCAGATCAATCTGCTTCTCTTATAGGAAACGGATGTTTTAGAAACATGGATGCAAAGGTTGAAAACATATTAGTTTGTTTGAAATAATGAAATTAATATGTAAAAGTATTTTTAGATAACACTTGGAACTGGTGCTTTTCTTCATATTAATACAGGCAATAAATGTGTAGGATCAGCCAATGGGGCTTACCCATTAGTTGCATGGGACTTAACAAAGAAGAAAATGAAGCCCTCAGTGATTTATTTCACTGAAAGAAGCTTTAAAGAATCTAACGATGTCATTAAAATCGCTACAACTATTGGATTATGTAGCGATGTTAAAGAGCTCTCGGAAATGGCATTTTCTGTTAAGAACAGTAATGGTGTTTTTTTCATACCAAAATTCAACTCAATGACTGGTTTCTATGGATATAAGAATTCATCGAAGAAAGAGCATCTTGTACGGGCAATCTTAGAGACAATAGTTTTCCATGTGGGAATTTTCTTTTTTCGAACTGAAGAGGAAACTTCATATCATTTTGAAAAAATTCGAATTGATGGAGGTATTTCCGAGAATGATTTTATATGTCAACACATTGCTGATCTTATAAATGTTCCGATTGAAAGATCTCAAGTTGCAAAAGAACTCACATCTTATGGTGTTGCGTATCTGTCTGCTTATTTAAATAATGTCATTTTAGACGAACTTGAAAATTCTTCAAAACTTTATAAAGTTGATAAAATATTTATTCCCAATAAGGATAATCGAAAAGAGCTTTTTATGAGATACAAAAAATATGAAGAACTTTATAAAATATATAAAAATTTCAATTTAGATGAATGCTGTAACAACTAGATACATTTTTGGAATCAAATTAAACATATTTCAATTCATATCCTTTTTATATTGAAAGTTTGTTTCTTAAAATTGAGCTTTCAGTAATGTTTAACAGTTCTCAGAATCCCCCCTTTCAAGCCGATACTTACATAAGCCGATAAACCTCCATAAACCGATATGTTTTGTACCCCTTGAATCGAATTTATATTGAGAACTGACCTCCATAAACCTGGGTTTTGGCGCGCAAAAGTACACAACGAAACTACACATCACATTTCTGTAAATTAATTTAGGAAATTTTGTACAAAATCTTAAAATAATGATAAAATATAAGATACTACAATAAAAACATTATGCTTAAACGGGGAGCACTTATTGTTTTTGAAGGATGCGATCGTGCAGGAAAGACTACTCAATGCAAAAAGCTTGTTGAACGTCTAAAAAATCAGAATTTAAATGTGAAATTTATGAACTTTCCTAATCGTGAAACACAATCAGGAAAAATTATAGATGCATACCTGCGAAACAAAGAGACACTTACAGATGAAGGTATACATTTGTTATTCACTGTTAATCGTTGGGAAGCAAAAAAAGAAATGGAACAGGAATTACTCAAAGGAACAACAATCATAGTTGATCGTTATTCCTATTCAGGAGTTGCGTTTTCTGCCGCTAAAGGTCTCGATTTCGAATGGTGTAAGACACCAGAGAAGGGTCTACTGAAACCAGACTTGGTAATATATCTTACATTATCAGCTGATGCAATGGCTCGAAGAGAAGGATTTGGTAATGAGCGCTATGAAACGAAAGAAATGCAAAATAACGTCAAAACAATCTATGAAAAAATGATTGAAACTCCTTTATGGCAAATTGTTGATGCAGATAAAACAGAAGAAGCATTAACAGATGAACTTGAGAATATTATTCATGAAAGAATGAGAATTTTAGATAAAAATATAAAAACTATGTGGTGACATAAATTGATAACTAATAAAATATAAAAGATAATAAATTCAAAAAACTTTTAAGTATTCTTTTTCTATGATATACAGAATACCTAAATGTTCAAACATTTTTTTAGAAGCCAGCAGAAAGATTTCGAGTAACACAATCATGCACTGAGGATTAAGTTTCCAGAATCTCTCTCATATTTATTGTTTTGTTCTCAAAATTTCTTATGCAATAATTTGCAACTTCTACCTACCTAGGAATATTATAAATTATTTATTCCAAACGCAAGTATCTGTTTTCTCAAATTTATCTTTGCTGAATTTAATTTATTTAAAAAAATAAACAAAAACGAAATATGTAATTAACGGTTTCTTCAAATTCAAATGTGTGGATTTCAAAAGATTTGAGACAAAAATAAGAATAATTCCCCGTCAAAATTGCCAACATCATCGAAAAGGATAAAAATTGTAAAATTAATCATAAAATACTTGTTTTGGAACCAAAATAATTGTAAAGGTTTAGAGTTTTTAGTCAAAGTCATCGACTGAAAGTGTTGTTTTGAGAAATAAGTGTGAACATCTCTTACATTTTAACAAAAAAACTGTGTCGGTAATTAGATTTTAGTTTGACGAAATTTCTTCATCTGAAATTTTATTTATTATCCATATAAATAGTAACGATTTTAACATGAAGATTAAAGAACTTCAAAAAGCTGTTAATGTTGCTTGGTCACCGCAACGCCAAATTCCCATATTACTAGCTGCAGGGACTGCCGCTCAACAAGTTCTTGATACTTCACTTAACAGCTCAAACCCATCATTAGAACTTTATTCACTTAATCTTTCTGAGCCTGGATATGATCTCGATCTTATTGGTGTACAGCAGAGCGCACACAAATTTCATAAAATTGTGTGGAGCCCTTTTGACAATTCCGAAAATTATCCAAATGGAGTCATCGTGGGTGGATGCGAAAGTGGCTTAATGAAAATTTACAACGTCTCAAAAATCCTAGCTGGCGAAGATGGTCTTGTAGCACAATCAGATAAACATAATGGTCCTGTTCGTACGATTGACTACAATCCATTTAAAAGCAATCTTATCGCCTCAGCTGCGTCTGAATCTGAAATTTTTATTTGGGATGTCAACAATACAAGTGTTCCTATGACACCGGGTGCAAAAACGCAACCTTTTGAAGATGTTTGTGGTGTTGCTTGGAATCGTCAAGTTCAACATATTCTTGCTTCATCTTTTGCCACTAAATGTGTGATTTGGGACTTAAGGAAGAACGAACCAATAATCAAATTAAGCGACACTCAATCAAGAGTTCGTTGGCGTGTTGTTCAATGGCATCCTGATGTTGCAACTCAGTTATGGCTAGCAAGTGAAGATGATCAATCACCAGTTATACAATTATGGGATTTGTAAGTGAATTGAATTAAACTTGAAGTTTATTTAATAATAATTTATCAATTATTTTAGACGTTATGCAACGGCACCTTCAAAAACGCTCCAAATACATTCACGAGGTGTTCTCGGAATGGCATGGTGTCCAAGTGATCCTTCTTTAATGATGTCATGTGCAAAAGATAATAAGATTTTATGTTGGGATGCCAATTCAGAAGATTCTCATGGAGAAGTTTTATCTGAAATCGCATCGACTAATCAATGGTATTCAGACATATCGTGGTGTCCTAGAAATCCAGCCATTGTAGCAGCGTCAAGTTTTGATGCAAACGTTTCAATTTATTCAATTTTCGGTGGATCACAACAACAAGTGCAGACGACAAGTAAAATCGCTGATTCATTTCCAGGAATGGAACAAATTCCTCATGAAAATGTTCACCAACAAGCAAGTTCACAATCAGTGATTTTCCACGATTTAAAACGACCACCAAAATGGCTTAAACGTCCTGCCGGAATATCTTTTGGCTTTGGTGGAAAACTTGTTACATTTAATTCCGAAAATCGTTCGCTTAACATCAAACAACTTATAACAGATGAAAGTCTTGTGAAGAGATCAACAGAACTTGAGAATGTTTTAGTTCAAGGAAATTATTCTGATTATTGCATACAGAAAGCGAATGAAAGTAACGATCAACATAATCGTTTCATTTGGTACTTCTTGAAAGCTTATTTCGAAGAAAATACTACAAATGAATTTTTGAATCTGCTTGGTAAGTCAAAATAAATTAATTTTTATGTTTCAGCTGAATATTAATTAATTCACAGGCTATCAAGTTGAAGATATTGCAAATAAATTTAGTAAAATCATGGAATCTAAAGACGGAAAAGGAAATCACGATTTCTCTGATGACTTAAGTAAAAAGATGGCAAATCTTAATCAGGTAATGTTAAAAAGAAATCAAATTCAAAACATGTCATGTCAGACATTGATTAACAACTGTCATGATGTGTTCATAAAAGTTTCTTTCCATTGTTCATCTTTTAAAATCTATTTAACACTTCTTTGCGTATATTTTCTTGTCCATCTGTCAAAACATTCAAATTTAATCCTTTTAACTGTGCTGATAAATACTTAAAGATCGATTCAAGTGAAGAGAGCTCAAGTGACGACAACACAGACTTATCGGTAAGGTTTCTGAAGGTTTTCTTCTGATTTTCATGTAGATGGACAAACTTTTATTATTCGTTATGTTTTGCATGTAATTTACATATTTCATAACATTTAACAATTAATTTATTATTCTCTATTTTATCTTATTACAGAATCAAGAAGGATTTGAAATGAATGGAACTACAAACAACACTGAATCGGGAACAAATGTTCCTTTCAAATTAACAACGACTGGAACTGAAGGTTTGATTTGTGAAGCTCTTTTAACTGGAAATATTTCAGCCGCTGTTGAGTTGTGTATGAATGCGGGACGATCAACTGATGCAATTATTCTAGCATCTCTTGGTGGAAGTGATTTATTAGCACGAACACAATATCGTTACTTAAAAGGAAATGAAAGTTTCATATCCAATCTTATCTCAGCGATGGTCATGGCTGATTGGAGTGGCGTCATTTTGCAATGTACGATTGACTCATGGAAGGAAGCACTTGTAGCTGCACTCACTCATAGCCGTGATCAATCGCCATTACTTTGTGAGAGGCTTGGAGAAAGACTGCAAATTGAATCAGATGGCGATGATTCAATCGTCAAGAATTCCATTTTATGTTACATTTGTGCTGGTAATATTGAACGAATCGTTGATGCTTGGAGTACAATCAATGGAGCTGATTCAACGGAAGATTCCGAGAAACTTCAAGAACTTGTTGAAGTTGTTGTGCTCTTAAGTAAAGCAATGGAACGAAAAGGCAAAACTGTTCCTGTTTATGGGAAGTATGCGGAACTTCTTTCGAAATATGCTTCACTTCTCGCTGCTCAAGGTTCATTGGACATGGCTTTGACATACATTGGAACATCACAAGATGATGCAAATATCATCGATTTACGTGAACGATTGTATTACGCTTTGGGACATAAGCAACAACAACAATCTGCATTTAATCAAAAAAGCAATTCAGCATTTCAGCAGAATTCTTATCAACATAACGCTCCACGTTTGTCACAACCACGAACGATTTCAACATCAAGTAATTCAGGAATGCCTTTGTTCCAACCACAACCACAAAATACTTTCAATACGGGACTTCCCAATGCATCATCAGGTGCAATGACATTGAACAATCATTTTGATTCGAATCCATCGCCTTGGTCACCGCCAGCTCCAGTTTCAAAGCCTCCACCGACATTTATGAATCCTGCTGAGAATTTAACGCAACCTGCTAGACCAGCAAGTGTGTCAAGTGTTGGAAGTGCCTCGCAAACCACATCACTGCCTAAACCTAGACGACTTTTGGATCCGTCAGTTCAATCAGGGCCAAGTTATGGACAAATTCCAGTTCAATCATCGACAATGTTCAATCAACCTAATCCAACATTCAATTCTAATCCCATTCAACCAGTTCAACCGATGTTTAATCCTCTTCCAATCAATTCACAACCAACTACGATGGGATGGGAACAACAAGGCTATGGGAACGGTAATGGCTCACTTCCACCACCTCCAACATCAACAACACAACAAATGATGAAGAATCCAACTCCACCGCCAGGATGGAATGATCCACCAGAATTCAAGACAAAATCTATGGTAAGTTCGTTGATCTTTCGAAAACAAAATTAATTTAATTTCTTCTCTTATCTTCTACTCTTAATACAAAACATTTCTCTTCAACTCTTTCTAAATCATTCTTCTTAATGATTGTTGTTATCTCGTTCAGTTTCAATCACATAAAAATGACATGTCGGCCGATCATGCCGGCACAAAAAAATGGCGTCAAAAACATGCTGATGGTCATCAGGAGGTTTGACATGAAGAACTTTGAACATTGTTTTTATTTGCTTTTATGTTGTTGTTTCTGCAATCTTCTTGCGTGATCATTTGTCTAACTCAGATTGATTGTTTGTCATTTTTCTCCCATTAACTTCTTGACACGTCACAATCCATTTTTATGAAGATTTCGCGACCATCAGCTTTCTTCATTTAAATTTTAAATAGCAGAGATGGAAAGTGATGTAAAGTTATGAAAATCATTTTAACAAAGCTTAACTTTTCACTCATTTTTCATCATTTAGATTTTTTTTATGAATAGTGAAAAGCAAATGGCATAATCTTTCGTTTATTTCTTGATTGTTTAATTTGTGTTAATTTATTTTTCACGTTTAGAATAAAAAAGAAGTCACGGTTGCCGCGCCGATTACACATCCGATATTTGGAGTTGCGGAACCTCAGCAGCAATACCCAGGAAGTGATCAAATGTATCAACAGCAAGCGAATTATGGTGGACAACAGTTTGCTCCTGTTCCAACGCAAATTCCACCGCCGATGAGTGGTCAACAACAACAGCAACAAACCAACTTTTACCAACAACCACAGCAACAACAGCAACAACCTCTTGCGCAACAGCAAGTCAATTTCCAAAATTTCCAAACTTTCCCTGGTCAACAGCAACCACAACAGACAATGTCACCGCCACCACAACCAACTCAACAACCACCGAAACAAAAACTTCCACTTCCTGAAGAATTTATTTATCTTCAAACTGTTCTCGATGAACTTAAATCGCAATGCATTAATGCGGCTGGGAATCCGGTAAGAACATTCTTCAAGTAAATAATAAAAATTGAGGAAATTTAATTAATGTTTTTATTTAATCAGCAAACAAAACGAAAGCTTGAAGATGTCTCTAAACGTTTGGAAATTCTTTACGATCTTCTTCGTGAGAATCGGGTAAATTGTTAACACATTTTGCCATTTAGTGCATTAATTAATCATTTTTTCTTCTTCTTTAAACAGCTATCTACAAGCACACTCGAATCCCTCAATCAACTTGTGCAATTAATTCAAATTGGTGATTATGGAAATGGACTTGGTCTTCATACACAAATGGTTTCCGGTCCAGACTTCTCAAAGATTGCTAGCTTCATGCCAGGAATTAAAATTCTTCTCCAATTAGCCATGCAACTCCAAGTGTACTTGAGATGAACTAATCACATTTAATTGATTTACTTTTTTTTCCTTTTTGTCTCTCATTTAATAATTCTTTTCGTGAGTGAGTAAGAGTGACTCATGTTAAAATGTTTAATTAAGTTTCACTTATTCTATGTAACTACGTACGACCCAATAAATATCAGAAGTAAATAAATATTATTAAATAAATTAAATTAATTTTGTCGATTGCAAATTGTCATCAAATTAATTCTTCACTAACGATTTAAAACGAAAGTGAAACTTTTCAATGAAAAGCGCCATAAAACCAGCTCCAATTCCATACAGAAAAATCAGAAGTGCAGGTTGAACATCGATTAATCCAACTGAGATAAATTTTGATCCTTGACCAGAACATTTCGGTTTCCTCGTGTAAAGTCTCGAATTTTCACGATCTTGTAAGCCAAATTCATGCAGCTTCAAAAGTCCAATTTTGAAAAGTTCATAGTAAGAAGAATTTTTCTGTATAGCGTAAAATGGATCAATGACTTGAAGATATTGAATCTCCTGAAGACCACATTTCTCATCTTCTTGGAATTCTTCCAGTAGAATTTTGTAACCAACGCCAACTTCCATGTGAAATCCAAAAAGATCTTCTCGTATCATTTTAACACCATCAGATAAATTATAAAAATTTTCCTTTCCATCTTTTCTTTTGATTCTATCGTTGTAAATTGCTTTTCGTATCTTCTCGTCAGCATGTGCAAAGTAATAATGGTTGAAGACAGTGTCATCAACACCTAATTTAATTCTTGAATTATAAAGATCTTCAAGTGTTTTGATTTTACTTGATGGCGATTGTAAAAGTGCGACGATGTTCGCTGAATAACTTGCATACAAGAACATCAAAGCAGTGAAGCAAATCATAGTGATAAGTCTTGATCCGAAACTGATTGGTAATGATGATGATCCTTGCTGGCAAAGTGCACAAAATAGCACAAATGATGTCTCATACATTGAAGGTTTCAATATTGTAGGGTCATTAACATTAACAAGATTTGATTTCCATTCAGTGCTTGATGCAAAGTAAAGAATGAATGATGAGATCATCAACATCGCTCCTAACGATTTCCAAACGCCACTGTCAAACGGTAAAACAAAAACATTGTCTGTGTATGATAATTTCGGTGATCGAAACACAAATTTAGATTTGGTTTGAGAAGTACATGCGATGTAATCAATAACGTCAACTCTGTCTGCTGTGAAGAACAATGGCGAAGCACCTAAGTCAGCAATTTTCTTCTCAAGCTCTCCTATCATTCCACTCCATTCATTTGTTTCATTATTTTTATATCCCCACGATCTGAAATGTTTGAAATTATTTCTAACATCTATGTACGAGCCGTTTAATAAATTTTTATTTACGTTACGATGGAATAAGAAATTGTTGCGTTCAACCATTCAATAAGTCGGTTCGTTAATTGATAGTTAACTTTACTGATTGTGTCGATATGTTTATCACTGTAAGAAATCTTTAAAGCTTCATAAAATAATTAAACTGATAAAAGCAATTACTGATAATCATCAAGATGATGTAATGTGTCGTTGTTTGTGACGACTATCGATGCTCTTAATTCTGTTCCATATAAATCATTCCGACGACGTGATGTTACTGTTGTTGATCTTAAGTCCTTAAATGCATCGTTTCCCTTAAACCATAAGCCAAATGTTTCAATATTTGTTGAAGATTCTAACGAAGTTCGATAAACTGAATGTTGAAAATTTTAATTATTTAATCGTCAAGCTATTTGAAAAATTAATAAAATTTACCTTGTTTGACAAAAATATTTCCTACATCGTTTTCGAAATAAAAAATCTCAGAACTTGGTAAAATTGCTTTAAATTCCAAATATTTTTGAAGATTTATTTTAGATTGAGTATCAAGTAAAATGAATTTTCGTTGAAAGAATTCATTCGGAGTTAACTGTGAAGAACGAAAATGAAAGTGAAACGAAAGAACAAAACATAACAAATTTTAGCCAAACGATCTCAACCTCATCTTTGCCCTCAATAGTCAAGAATGAACAAGACGAAAATGAATTTTTCGTTTACGTGAGTGCGAGTTCCACCCCCAACAATTTTAACGAAGCTCGTTTTTATATTTATTTAAAGCAAGATATCCAGTCAGTCCAACAACTGTTTTATTCATGCATAGTTGGATCTCCAAATTTAAGGCTTGCGACAGAAATCTTTGTGGTTTAACTCTTTCAACGTCATGTAATTTACTTCGTGATCGTTGAAAACAAAATCCACTGACAATTCTTTTTAAAAAAATTAAATAACAAACCTCGTTCAGCAACTGCTTCGAATTTTCACATGATAAATCTAATACAATGAAATTATTATGCTGATGAATCGGGAATGATGATTTGTTGATAATGTCTTGTTCTTGTTGTACAGAAACCATGAAGTTTTGCATGTTCAATGTCTTGATGAGTTTGATTTCATAATCTGTATACAGAAAATAAATCTGTCAATGCATGAGCAAGCAAACTAATTGTCAATTAATAACCGCAATCCCAGCAACTAATTACACTTATTGTCAATGAAGTGTTTAAGCTCAACAACAAATGCTTAATAACTTTAATCGACTCTTCAATTGAAGCTCCTCTAGTTGCAGAAGTAAAAATAAAAATCAAAAATATTCTAAAAATTTCCATCATGGAACTTTCAAGACTGAAAGTGGAAGGGAAAATGCAGGCCTTATAAATTCATTTTTAAGTTTACTTTTCATTTTTTAATTTTATTTGCTTTCTTCGTTTATGTACAAAAATCTTTGAAATAAAATTGTTGGCATTAAATTAATCTAATGACATAATTTGATGAGAACTGTCAGATGTTGCTTGTAATTGAAATGACGCCACAAGCTAAACGTTGTCCCACTGAATCTTCTTCAGTTTGATACGAAACGGCATTATCTAGAAAACGACTTCCAGGTGCGTAAAGATCGGGATATCTAAGATATTCTGAAATTTCAATTAAAGTTATAATCTTGAAATTTTTTTATTTAATCTCAACGACACCTGAAGCTTTCTCATGAATTACAATAGAACGACCGAGAATTCCTGATAATCCAAACAAATTAAGACTTAAAGACTCGAACGACATATCAATTGGTTCATCAGCTTTTGCTTCAATATTTCCAATGATACTTGGTCTGAAATGAGGTCCTGTTGATTTGCATCCATCAGAGACATCACCAAAAGCGTGAATGTGAACAGAATGTTTGCCAGCAGGTAATCCAGTGATGTTGAATGAAACCAGAATTGGAGCATTAACACTCCATTGCTTAAAACTGACTTCTCCACTCATTGCTTGATCAGGGTTATCACTGACAAGTGTAGCTGAAGCCTTCCATGTTGGTTCAGGACGTGGCGGAATCACTTCAAACATTCGATAAATTACTTCACGTTTGTTACCGCCGGTATTAGAAATCACAACCGAAACGGTTTGAGTAACAAATAAAACTATTCTTAACCACATCACGATACAAAAAACAATGGAGAGATTTCCTCTAATTAAAGCTACTTTTATAAGAATTTCTGAGCGATTCTCTTGTGACTAGTCTGTGTAATCATTACATACATATTACATTTAATTTAATTACAGTACAATAGATTCGTGGTTCGTGAGGTAAAGTCAAGGTATGTTGATTGAAGGTTCATCAGACATGCAAATACTTTACAGACAAACATCTTTTCCTATTGTAGAAGTTGTTGCAGTTTGACAATTTGTGTCATTCAACTCAGAAATGCAAGATCCATAAGTGTTAATATTTTGAGCCTTTATCTTCAGGTATAAGAAAAAATATTTTTACATGAATGTTCTTCTCTGGTATAAAAACATTTTCCTCGTGTTTTATTAAAAATATTGCAGCACATCCGTAAAGAACGAGAGGAATTCCAAAGTTTAAAATTTTAATGACTTCATAAAATTTATTTTCCATATCTAAGTCTTTGATCTCTGATTTTGTGCAGTGAAACTTGATATAAGGATAACACCATGTCCTTAAAATGTGGTAATTTTCTCCAGTATCAAGAGTAAAATTAAATGATGTCTTCCTTTTAAAATCATTCTCACAATCTTTGAGCTAAATTATTAAATAAAATGTCAATTTGAGTTATAAATGAATATTTGATGAAAATTCACACTTACTTTAATAAAATATGAAGTCCAATGCGGCTCATTACATTGCTTAAGATAAGCTGTCAGAACTTCAGAAGACTTGGCTTTTGAAAAACTTTGTAAAATTTTCGTAAATTTCATTTTTGTTTATTGTTTCGTTTGCAGCGTGTTCCACAGGTTTGCCGGTGTTTACTAACATTATCAAAGATAACGCAGCACTCTATGTATGCATGTGTTGGGTTTACATTTTGATTTTTTCCTTTTTAAGTCAATGCATGCATGCTCGGAATTTTGGACTAAATTTTGTGTTACAGAAAGCTAACACTGAAATAAATTTTCAAAGACAAATCCAAGACAAATACACTTGCTTTAAGCACTAATTTTAGTAAAATATTCTTCTTTAATATCTAAATAGTTACAAAAATGTTAGCACCAATCATCGTTCTCTTTACATTTCTCTTGGAACCATTTCATCATCATTTTATTTTTCGGTGATAAAATAAAAGAAGACCAATCATCAACTTCATCAGATTCAGACTCTTTACGAGGTGGAAAGATTCGTTTTGTATCGCCTCGATTCATATGCTCACGATAAGCATAAATCAAATCATTTACATCCGAATAACTTAAACATGGTTTGCAGAGTTCACAGTCTATTGGAGCGCATGATTCTGAACATGGTGGTTGTGAACAAATATTTCCATGAACCATAATGTTCTTGTCAGTTGATAACATAAGTTCTGTTTCTTCATCTTGCTTTTCAAATGATTCTCTTTGCATGTAATGTCCAACACCAACCAAGTTCAACACATGATAAATGACTTGTTCATACAAAATAAAATTCTGCTTAAAGTGAGCTGATGACAAGTTGGGACTCATGTTTGCTTCCATAAGATAAACTTTGAGATTTGCATCTACAATCAAGTCAAATCTTGTCATCTCAAAGAAATTTCTTTTATTTTTGTAGCGGTGAAGAATGTCTTTAATTAATGGTTCCTTGTTCAGGATAGCTAACCGAATAGCATCTTCAACTTGATTCCAAATTATTTGTGGATCGCTTCCTTTACTTTTAAGATAAGAATCGAAACTTCCTTTCATTCCCAATCCTAATCCATTGTAATATCGTGAGAGAGAAGGAATCTTCCATGTTGGTAAGTAATCATCACCAACGATGTATTTATCAACGTTTGATGGATCAAATGGATGATATTTTTGTGCACAATATCGGAAGAGAATATCACCGTAATAAATGTAAACTCTCAAAGGATCAATTGATGTAATGATCGTGTAGACACCGATATCAAATTTATAACCGTCCACTAAAAGTGGATTGTCAATAAATTCTTGTACGAAAGTTAAATTGTTATTAAAATCAATATCTTCAATTTTCTTAATATTAATGTGACGATGTTGATGATGTTTAACAACAAAACTTTTCCCTGGATTTTCTTTATCATATGCTTTCAATTTATCTGCATCATTAGGTAATTTAAAAGCCATAGGAATGTATTTTAGTTTTGTGGTCGAGAGATCAATTTTATTCGTGATGAAACCGCAACCAGGAAAATGATTAACTTTTTGATGTGGTTTTAAAGTTGTCATCAATGATCGAAGTTTTGTAAAAGGATAGTCGTGAGCCCATAAAAGATCAGCAGTTTCACTTTCGTTTATGGCAACACGCTCGAAACCTAATCGCTTAAGAACTTTGTTGACATGAACCCATTGCCCTTCTCCCCCAGCTCCATAAATCCAATAAGTGGGCTTCCTTCTCATCTCAACTTTACTTAGATTGTCAACAGGGCAAGTAGGATTGCAGGCAAGTTGATTAGGTTGGAAAAATATTTCTCTTAGCTGATTTAGTGGCAGTAAAGTGATGAGAGCAGCCGTAGTTGCAGTGACAAACATGAATAACAATTGACCTCTTTTAGTTCGAAGATCAAAGAAAGATTCACTTTCTTCTGCAATTGTTGATTTAATTTCCAATAACTTTTCAGTTTCTGTTTCATCATTGTCAACAACCTAAAATATCATTTTGATTATGTGACAAAATATTTATGTAAATAATTCTTTATTTTCACCTGTTTTTCCTTTAAACTTTTATTCGTCTTCATGCTTATCCTTATCTGAATATCTTGTACTATTTCAAGTTTATTTTCATAAAGTTTAATTAGCGTAGATAAATATTTTCGTTAAAAAAGAAAAGAAATCACAAAAGACATTGCACAAGTTGATACAAATAATTTCAATTCAAGTAGATTTTTTAATTGAATCTTCATTGGAATGTTGGAAAGTTAAAATCTCTTTCGAGGTCATTTGATGTAAGAAATGTGATGGGTGACCATTCGCATTGCTTTAATGGTGATCAAAACAATTTTTAGGATTCGTTTCATCATTTCATTAATTTCCAGAAATTCACTTAAGGATATTTTTAAAATTTTCTTTCATAATTTCATTTTTATATCAAATTTAACTTATAAGAAATGTTCCCGTCTGGAAAGGTAAAATTTCCAGCAACATTTCTTTGAATGTAGAAGTGTTATGCAGCAGGTTGTTGTACAATTCAGAACACCGACCGGCTTAATTGAAGATATTCGTGTATTTCCCATTCTTCTTTAGTTTTTATTCGTAAACTTTTAAGAACTCTCCATAGCGACGCTATTTTTGTAAACAAAATTGTAATTTCAGAGAAAGAAAAGTCATTCAAAAATATTTAAATTAATTTCAGCATAAAATGTTTGTTTATTTAAGTAAAAAAGTATGCTAGAATTAATAAATTCAAACTAATAAATGTTAATAAAGTTCTTTATGATTTCATAGATTGCAATTCCTAATAACACCAAAATTAATTGCCTTTCATGGGAAAAGAATCAAGGATACATTGCGATTGGTGGAGGTAACTAAAATGTTAAAACATGCTTAAAATTGATCATTTCCAATTATATTTTATGTTGGTAGATGATGGAATGCTTAAAGTTCTTAAACTTGAACAAGCTGCAGTATCATCAACTCAACAAAAAAGTGGCTTAGCAGCACCAAGCAATCTTTCAATGAATCAAACACTGGAAGGTCACAAAGCAAGCATCCAAGTTGTTGTTTGGAACGAGACGCAACAGAAATTAACGACATCAGATTTTGATGGTGTCATAATGGTGTGGATGATGTACAAAGGAAGTTTTTTCGAAGAAATGACTAACGATAGGAAGAAATCAACTGTCAAAGGAATGGCATGGACAAGTGACGGTCAAAAGATTTGCATTGTATATGAAGATGGAGCAGTCATTGTAGGTTCCGTGGATGGAAATCGGCTGTGGGGGAAAGAATTGAAGAACACGTCACTATCAGCTGTGCAATGGAGTCCCGACAATCGTTTACTTTTATTTGCTATTAGAAATGGTGAAGTTCATCTTTACGACAACACGGGAATCTTCATTTCAAAGCTTAACATTCAATGTGTGACTCTCAGTGCTTCTAAAAGTGTATCAGTTGTCGGCTTGTGTTGGTTTCATGGAATTGTGCAAGGTAATCGACCAGCACTTGCCATTTGTTACGAGACTGGAAAGATACAATTGATGAAAAATGAATCTGATGAGACTCCAACTATCATCGATGCAAACATTCAAATCACTGCAGCGCAATGGAATGAAAGTGGAAGAATTTTGGGTGTATGTGGGATGAAAAATTCCCTTAATGAGAAGGAGAATAATCATGTGATGTTCTTCTCATCTTTTGGACAACATTTAAGAACATTAAAGATCCCGGGACGTGAAATCACATCACTTTCATGGGAAGGCAAATCAAATTGTCGGATTGCACTTGGTGTCGATAGTTTCATTTATTTTGCAAATATTCGTCTCGATTATTTGTGGTGTTACTTCAACAAGACCGTCGCTTTCATTGAAACATCAAACCAAAGTCATCAAATAATTGATCCGAATCAAAATGTTGTTGTCTTCTGGGACACGCAAGGAAACAGCAAAGTTACGAAAGTTGTTGATTACGTTTTAAGCATTCAAGCTTGTGGCGATCATTGTGCGATTGCTAGTGAAACTCAGAACATTAATCCGAAAGATTCAAATATCTTGATTGAAACAAACTTCAAAGATCAAATGTATCAAATTAATATTTGTAATTCTTTGGGTACGACTGTCGACTCGAAGTATGTTGATTTGAAGCCGCAATTTCTAGCAATGAACCTGACACATGTCATCATTGCAAGTCAATCGCAGTTTCTTTGTTGGCAGTATCACACACCAAAATCAACACTTCACGGATTGAAACAGAAAAAGGATAAAAGATTTCATATCGATGATAATCCATCGGGCGTGAATGAAGTTTTAAGTGACTTAGATCGCGGTGTTACTTACGATCCACCTGTTAAGAATATTCCAACGAAAGATTCAATTTGTTGTATTGCTGCATCTGATAAAATTCTTTTAATTGGAAGAGAATCTGGAATTATTCAAGAATATGTTTTACCAACAGTTGCTATTTGTAATCGTCACAGTTTTGTTAATCGTGCTTGTAAGATTTCAATTAATTGTAATTCAACAAGAGCTGCGATTGTCGATTCCACAGGATTAATGACGACAATTGATTTGAATGATTATTCGGGTAAATCAAGCAGTGAAAAGTTTGAACGAAAAGATGTTTGGTCAGTTTGTTGGGCAAAAGATAATCCACAATTGTTAGCAATAATGGAAAAGACTCGAATGTACATTTTCAAAGGTGCTGATCCGGAAGAACCAATTTCATCGTCAGGCTACATTTGCAGTTTTGATGATTTAGAGATCACTGCTGTTCTTTTAGATGAAATTGTGACCGGCACTACTCCACCAAATACTTCTGATCATCTCTTACATTTGAGAGTAAAATCTTTAAGAGATACTGAAGATTTGCTCCAGCATGTTGGATTGGCAGAAGCCAAACAATTTATTGAAGACAATTCTCATCCGCGATTGTGGCGACTTCTTGGTGAATCTTCTTTGAAAAAGTTAGACATGGAAACTGCTGAATCAGCTTTTGTTCGATGTACAAATTATCAAGGAATTCAATTCATTAAAAAGCTTCGAACAATTCAAAATGAAAATATCCAGAAAGCTGAAGTTGCAGCATTCTTTGGAGATTTCGATGAAGCTGAGAAACTCTACATTGATGCTGATCGAAGAGATTTAGCGATCGACTTGCGTTCAACACTTTGTGATTGGTTTCGTGTTATACAATTGTATCGAATGGCATCAGGAATATCTGATCAGCAAATGGAGATCGCATATCGTGAAATTGGAAATCATTTTGCAAGCATGAGAGTGTGGGAAAGTGCAAGAGAATATTATGAGAAAGCGCATCACATTGAAGGGTTAATGGAGACGTTTTATCATCTTGAGAAGTATGATGAACTAGAGAATCTCATAACTCGATTACCAGAAAAGAGTCCATTACTAAGTCGTCTTGGTCAGATGTTAGCAACAGTGGGAATGACAGAGAAAGCCGTTGAAGCATTTAAAAAATGTGGTGACGTAAAATCAGCAGTTTCAACTTGCGTGTCACTCAGTCAATGGGGGCTTGCTGTTGAACTAGCACAGAAATATAAAATGCCTTCGGTCAATGCTCTTCTTAACAAACATGCCGCTCATTTATTGCAAGAAGGAAAATTGCCTGAAGCAGTTGAACTACAAAAGAAAGCTGGAAGATATTTGGATGCAAGTCGACTTCTCATAAAGCTTGCAGAGCGTGAAGTTGAGAAGAAATCTCCACATTTAAGAATCAAACAATTGTATATTTTAGCGGGATTGCTAGCTGAAGATCATCTTCAAACACAAGCATCTGTGACAGGTGGAAATCGGGCAACTGTCTTAGCTCAATTAACAGCTGAAGATGGAATTTTAATTGAAAATATTTGGCATCATGCTGAAGCTTATCATTTTATATTGTTAGCGCAACGACAACTTCTTGCTGGTTTGATGCATTCAGCCGTTCTTTCTTCATTAAGGCTACGAGATTATGAAGATGTTTTGAATGTTGAGAAGATTTATTCGCTCATCGCTCTAGCAAGTTGCGCTGATCGATCTTTCGGAACATGCTCAAAAGCATTCATTAAACTTGAAGCACTTGACTCAATACCAGAAGCTAAGAGACAAGAATATGAAGAACTTGCTGTTTCAATTCTAAGTCGTTATGAACCGAAAGATGCAAAAATTGATCAAAATTCATGTTTCGCATGTGAAACGATGGTGGCTGATTGGCAGACTTCTTGTCCTAATTGTGGATCACATTTCCCTGGATGTATTGCATCTGGTCAGTCGATTATGAATCCACAACTTGCATGGCAATGCAATAAATGTCAGCATCTCGCTAAAAGAATTGAAATTGCTATTAGAAAGTCGTGTCCTTTATGTCACAGTGTCGTCAATCTTCAGAGAACAGAAATATAAATTTATGTTTTAATTTATTTTTATTTCTTAATTTGTTTGAATAAAAATTTTAATTTTAGCACAAAAGCTTAAGAATTATTAATTAGAATCATTCCTTTCTCAGTCAATGTCGTAACTAATAATTTCGTTTGCTTGCACTTGTTGTAATCGAGATTGGAGCTTGACTTTTGTTTTCAGCTTGTGTATTGGAAATGTTTCCGATGTTCTTCTGTACCAATGTTAAGTTGTCGCGCCATGTGAACAACAAATCATGAAGTTGCTGCCATTGGGCACGTCCGAATGTTCGATGCATGGTACTTGAGATGTGAACTTTTCTTTCACGTTGATCAATTCTCGCTCGTACCAATTTTGTCTTCAATACTTCAATAATGAATGATTCCACTTCATTCTCCTCAATTTGTAATTCCTCTTTAAGCAATGAGAATGACATTTCGGGATTACTTTCCGCCAGTTGCATGAATGACAACAGTCGCATCTTCTTCATATTCTGCTCATGATTCAAACCTTGAGATGTGACAAACTCCTTGTGATTCTGATAAAACTGCATATAGCTTTGAAGTTTCTCTGATACGAAAATCGAAAGAAGATCGTGAATCAGTTCACCTTCAAGGAAACGAACAGGTTTAAGAGATAGAAGAGGATCCAGTAAGAATGTGTTTGGATCAGCAAGAGCAGTGACGATACATTTCATGGCATCATCACGGGCATGAGAAGCGTTATCGTCTGTGTACGTTCCCAATAACTCAATCATTACTTTCGATGCTACTTCGCACTGAGTATCTTTCAAAACATCATGAAGTAATCGATAAAGTTTCTGCATTTGTTCTTTTGATGGTTGACACTGGGAAAACTGAGACTTTAATTCATCCAGTCCTGTGAAGACTTCTTTCACTTGATCGCATTGTTTGGCTACCTGAACCAAATGATAATAGACATGATAACGATGAGGTGATGAAGGATCTAAGTTATTGAAAAGACGCCACAATGACTGGAGACAAACTTTAGCCAGTTCATTAGTTGGAGCTTTGGTTAATTTTTCGCAGAATGCTAAAATTAAATTCTCTCCTCTTTCCAGTGATATCGATACCATAATTGAAACGATGCTTGTAAGGACAGCATCAATTTCAACTTCATCGCCTTCTTTTTTCAAGCAAACGTCACAAACGCCGCAAATTTTATGTAAATCATCTTCAATTCCTTTCGGTGATTTTTCTTCAGAAATTTCAGCCCCCTGGTTCTTTAGATACTTTCGAATTTCTTGAGCTTGATCCTCAATTGTTAAATCAATGAAAACTGGTGGTCCTTGCATTTTAATTCTTTTGTTTCGATTTAATTAAAACTTTAAAAATAAAAGAAATGAAATTTTCTTCAGCCACGTTGAGAATCTTTTTAAAAGTGACGGCACACGATTTTTCGGGATTTGGGTTCAAGGGGGATTCAAGAAGATGAAACTTTTTAATGTGTACTTTTTTGAATATAAAAATATAAACAAAAATGAGTCAAAGCTCAAGTGAACTTATTCCAGATATCAAAAGCATCGATATATGCAGTGAAACTGACAATGTATCAAGCCAGTGTAGTGAAGTTGCAGATGAAATTAAGAAATTAAATGTTGAAAGTAAAGAATCGGAAGAATCTTCAAGCAATTCTTCAGAGCATGAAAAGTCATCATCAAGCTGCTCCGATCCAACATCAACGACTTCATCTTCCTCATCAGAATGTCAACCAACTCAAATTAAACGAAAACGAAAAAGAAAGAGACCTCGTAAAAGAAAAATAATTGCTGCATATGAAGTACCCAAACCATTCACCGATCGATACAAAAGAATTAAAATTTCTATGGGATCAAGTCTACCTAAAATCCATATAAGATTTGATGACGAAGGTCTTCTTGATAAAGCGACGTCAGAATTTAATTTGAAACCACGAGTTATACATGCTTTGTCAGTTAATCTACAAATTCACGAAGACTTTAATGTTAAGAAAACAGGAACAGAAATTATAGAAGAAAAACTTACTCGAAAATCTGTGGAAAAACCTCAAAATTATAATTCTGTAATATATTTGAAGCCAAGAATAATAAAAGCTATAATTCTGGGATAAATAAATCAAATAGATACAAAATGCTTCAAAATCATTTACAAACATTTCAGGATTACACAATTCAATTTTATTTCATTATTCAATTTCAATTATTGAAATTTATTTACACCGATTCAATGATAATTGTTCGTTTTTTGTCGAATTTGGTTTAAATAATGAGAGACAAAGAAGCAGTCGCATGTCATCCTTGTTTGAATTCTTGTTTGTATAATTAATTAAAGAAATCATTCAAGAAATCAAATAATGTATGAACGTTGCTTTTACCGCGGTAAGTTTACCGAATGATATAAAAAGTTGTTTTGTTAATCAAGCATTTTATCCATGAACCAAGGTTTGCCATCGTTTTGACGACGTTGAGTGAGTATTTCACATCCTGTATCAGTCACTAGAAGTGTTTGTTCAAACTGAGCAGACCAAAGCCCATCTGCCGTGGCTGCGGTCCAATTATCATTCCACGAAATATCTCGCCATGTACCCATTGAAATCATTGGTTCGATTGTAAATGTATGGCCTGCTTTCATAACACCAACAGCTGAGTTTTTAGCATAGTGGGGAACATTCGGTGCAGTATGAAAAAGTTCGTGAATTCCATGACCACAATAACTTCTAACGACATTGTAATTGTGATGTTGAACATGTTTCTGAATAACATTTCCTATTTCTCTATAACGTTCACCAGGTTTCACTATATCAATCGCTTTACTCAACGCTTCATAAGTCACTTTCACAAGTTTTTTATGTTCTTCTTTGACATTTCCAACAAAGAAAGTTTCATTTAGATCTCCATGAAAACCACGATGAAACACTGTCACATCAAGGTTGCAAATATCTCCATCTTCAAGTGGACGCGTATCAGGAATTCCGTGGCAAATGACTTCATTAACAGACGTGCAACATGATTTCGGGAAATTATAATAATTTAATGGGCTTGGGTAGCAATCACGTTCTATAGCAGCTTCGTGAACAGCACGATCAATTTCATCTGTTGTAACTCCAACACCACAAACTTTTGCACCTTCATCTAAACACTCGCGAGCAAGCTTACAAACTACTTTCATAGCCTCAATATCCTCGTCTGAGTTTATCCTTATTTGAGTATTTCCTGAAATAAGCATTTAAAGAATTTATTAAGAATGAATCAAGTGTGTTTGAAACTTTCATTTCTACCTCTCATTTTCTCTTCTGATAAACTTCTTCCTGCTGGATGATCGGCATAATCAGGTCGTGCAATTTTCTCCGGAACAGGACGTTTTTGTGTCTGTGTCCATGGCCGAAGTTTTCCTGAGTAATTATAGTTCGGATATAAATTACAGGATCCCGAACTTTTATCTTTACCGGCTAAAATCACAATTGAATTTAATATGAGGAATTTTATGTAAATGTTATGTAAATATTACTTGCAAGAGTATGCAACACTTTATGTTGGTTCCATGATGCTAAAAGATTAATAAAAGCGATTAAAATAAAGCTTTGTATTTACGATTCACAATTTAAACCTTTAAAGCAGCTTTGGGTACAAAAGAATGATTCAATTCCAATCTTCAAACATGTTGGACATTTCATTTTAGCAGGCTGATCGCAGGACGGCGTTTCACATTTTACAGTTGTCATGCTTACTTTCTTTGATAGACAAGTAGAAATAAGAAAAATCAAATGAATTTTACACTTAATTAAATTAAAAACGTGAATTCCTTATTTAGAAAAGTTTAAAGTTCCGATTGTGTGTAATCTTACGGAGAAATTTTTTGAGTAAGTTTCGGGTGGAGAGTGTTCAATCAGCTTCGGACAATTTATCAGCTTCGAGGACAAGTTTTCGACGCTTTGTATGGAAAACTGAATTTTTTTAAACGCTTTGTATGGAAGGTCAAATCCACGCAAGTCGAAATCCAAGAGCAGTCCACGTCAATATTGAGCCAAGGGGAGGGCAAGTGAACATTTTAAGTTGTTTACTACCGTATGTTGCCGAGTGTTAAGTAAATATTCTAAAAGAAATTTTTTATCATCTGTTTCATTAAATTTTACTCTATTGCATTAATCAAGTTATAATATTGCTAAATTGATCAAAGTCTAAACGAAATGTTGTCATTACAATTATAAATTGGAGATGGGCATGCTCCACATGGGGAAGCTTCAAATTATGCCACAGCATAATTTTAAAGATACTCCGGCCTATGTAGGAATCTAAAATACATAATTTCTCTTGCTTAAGATTTCCTAGATTAAGATCAAGATAAGGTTAAGATCAAGATTAGATTAAGATCAAGATTAGATTAAAATCAAGATTAATTTGGGGTCAATTTGTATGGCAGGTACCTGAAATATTGAAGGTACAGAATATTTGTCCATTTTCTCAGAATATTTGTCCCCCGATGAGAAACTTATCTTCCCAAAATATTTTCAAGATCGCTTGAGAAATGTGGAAGTTATTACGATTTCAAAAAGTTACTTACATACATCCAGAGTCGAAATCCGACGGCGAAAAAAAAGTTAATTTTTTTCACTTTTCTCGACGTTTCATGACATTTTAAGCAAATTTAAGCAAAAAAAATTTTTAAAAATTTTTACACGGTTTCAATACGATGGCCCATGTTACCATGTAATAGTATGGGGCCGTCGTAAAAAAAATGGTGAGGGAAAAGTTGTCGCTCGAATCCCATGAAAATTTCAGAGAATAATCTTGAAACGATCCACAACAACTTCTGAAAGTTTCAGAAATTTCCATCAATTACTTTTAAAAAAATTTTATGTCTGCTTACACTGAAAAAGCTCAAGAATGAATTTTCACAAATGTGCTTAAATTTGAAATGAAACACTTTTTTCATTATTTTTGATCATTTGTAACATCATTCTATTGAAAAATGAGGGAAAATATGTTTGCTTCGAAAAATTTTTTTATTCTGATATTTTCATGTGATTCCATACATTTCGTATATTAGGAACGTTTTTCGTTCCTCTTATAACACGTTTTGACATCGCAATTATAAAAAATTTTCCCTCCGAACATGAAAATCTAAGTACGCTACAATTTAGTACTTGAACCTAAGTTACATTTTGGAAAATATTAGCATAGGTTGTTTATTAAGTTTCGGAGAAAATGAAACATAATGTTGTTTTCGTCACTCTTATAACGCGTATTATTCCATTAGCTCGAAAAAAAATTTTTTTTCTTGTCATGCAAGGGAATATTTAAAAAGTGTTAAAACCATATTAAACTATGATGTTTCAACTAAAAATTTGCATCAAAACATAAAGCAAAAGTTGATGTTATGATGGAAAATTCATATGATGAAAATAAGGCAAAAAACGTACGAAAACCTCATTTCCAACCATTTTCTGACTTCAGTATCAAAAAAGAATTATTACCAATGATGCTAAAAATCGGTAATTGATACTTTTAGACACTTTCAAGTATTCTTCATCAATAAAAATCAACAAAACGCCAATAATTGACTGCTTGTTTAGACTTGTGTTTTTTCCAAGTCTGACGTAAAACTCACCATATCAATCTGAAACGCCAAACACTTCTCAATAAAGTTGAGAAACAGAAAGTGTGAAAATTTCAAAGTCAGACAACGAGAAACCAGTCGGAATTTCATGATTCTACTCTATGTTAGAAAGAGATATTTTAATAATTACGCATTTTCAGTTGGCACATGAATCTATGTAAATATATATTAGCATTTTCAATTTAAATGTACAAAATATAATTTGAGATAATGAATTGCAATTAGATAATAGTGAAATCACAAATGCACACTTTATATGAATAAAGAAATCAGATTATTCATGCTGAATAATCATCGCTTCTGTTATTCAATTTTTTTCTTTTCATATTTAATTTCTGAGGTGAACGACGTCTTTTAGATGGTGATTGTGGACTTGAGATGATTGTTGGTTGTGGAACTGATGATTGAGGATTTTGTGGATCATCAGATTGAGGATTTTGTGGAACTGATTGTGATTTTTTTGGATTTAGATTTTTTATATTTTTTGAATGTGTAGGAGTTGTTGATGAACCTGCATCGTTTTCTTCGCCCTCTAATATCTTGAAAAGACCTTCCTTAGCTTGAGAAGAAAGCTTCATCCTAGAAAGAAGTGTTTTGTATCGTTGTTCATGTTTGATTTGCTCTTCAGAACTTTTTGAATCGAGAGTGCTTGCACCTTTCAAACCCTTTCGATGCTTGTCTAAATAATTTGCTGCCACCTATTAGAAAGGAATAAATATAAAGTTACTTTAAAAATTAAGATTAAAACTTTTGAGAAAGGCCTGGTGCTTAGGATAGAAACAAAGCTCCAACTTTAAAAGAAAGTCAAGAAAAAAAAATTGTACTTGCTTCTTTAGCAGTCGCTTCTTTGTTCGGTCCTGTTACAACAACACGAATGCGCTTGAGGTCAGCTCTCAATTCGTTTCTTTCTTTTAGATATGCTTCATCTAAAGCAGAAGTTCTAAGCATATTCCATTCTTGCAAAACAAATCCATTTATCGTTCCACCTAAAGAAGGCATAGTGTCAATGAAGCAACGAATTTGAGAGGGTATATCATCAAGTGCTATGATTTGCTCTAAATTAGCCAGCATTGATTCCTTTACGATGTGATCGATGCGTTGTCGACAGAAGGAGAGCAAATCTAAAAGTGCTTTAGATATTCCAACCGTTTCATTTTCTGTCAACGGGGAATTGAATATTTCTTCATCTTCATCCGCAATAACTTCGTCCACAATATCTTCGCCCACAACATCTTCGCCCACAACATCTTCGCCCACAACATCTTCAGTTCCCATTTCATTCACTTTTGATCGACGAATGCATTGTTTACATGATGTTCTTGCCTCAAAGCCTGTCAGGCCTCCCTTCAAAGGTTTCAAATCTTCTTTTTTTATACGAAGCTTTAAAAAGGAAAGAAGTTTGAGAAAAATGCTTTTAAAATTCAATTTTAATGACAAAGAAAAAACGAAAATGAGAGGTCACATTCTCAAAAATTGTTTTGTACTCTATGAGACTTGACGGTTGGATGCAACCTTTGTTCTTTCGGTTATTCATTCAATTATAATATAAAAAGTAATAAGCAATGTTCACAATGAATACATGAAGGTTTTATTTGCAATCATCCCTAACGTTGTATACTCGTTGATTTTGGAATGTATAAAAATTTAAAACTTGGGTTTGGTCTAGTTTCTAGAAGCATCTGAATATTATGGGATTTGTCGCGATAATGTTATTTCGAATTCGTATTCTAATAAATAAATAAATAAATAATAAATAAATCGGATCAAACTGCAGCAAACAGAGAATTTAAATTCAGTGCTTGAAAATTTTATTCCACTCTCCACAAACGTAAGCAACAAATTGTCATCGAGGAATAAAAATAAATTATAAAGTTTTTATTTACCAAGAAGTTAAAAGAATGACGAATGCTGGTGCCGACTTAATCCAAATATAAATCTGCGATTAATAATTGCAGACAAAAATCTTTTCATTAAATTTAACAGATGAAAATTCAATTTATGTGATCACGTCGTTGAAAATATTGCGTTGGTTTAATATGAACTTTCAATTTTATATCAATTTTTTTTCATCATCCAATCAATTTATGGTGAAATCGATGCTTATACTTGATAGGAGAAATTTACACACATGTAATTTAAGAATCGTGAATTATGAGACAATTTATAAAATTTCAAATAGATATTTAACAACTCATCGATCTCGAGTTATGGGATTGGTTATTACATTGTTATTTGAAACAATAAGTGCATACTTTAGATAAAGTCATAACGAAATGTGTCATTGCCATTGTTATAACTTAGAGACAATGAAATGATTAACCGAAGTTTATCATGAAAAGAAAAGCAACTTAACCTTACAAGTTAGCATCACTTACCGAAATTCTTTTTTTATGAATACAATTCCAATAAGCCAATTGATCAGTTGAGGTTCCTGACGCGTTCCTAAAAGATTGGTTTCTTGTAAATTTATCTCCAAAAATTTCCTTCAGCTTCTTGCAAAAAAAGGCATTGTACGGCATCTGCAAGATTTTTGAAGAATTTATTTAGATATTCATCATTACAGCTTTATGCTCCAAATAAAAATATTATTGAATAGCAAAGGTTATTGATAAAAAACTGTTATAACTTTTGCTAAAAAGATTATTTTTACTGGAAAGCGAAACTTACCTTTCCTTCAAACTTCTGTTTTGCGGAACAAAGGACCCATTCCTCCGTTCCGTTTTCATTTGTTATTTTTTTCATAAACGCCTTCATTTCCTTATATGTTAAGAATACATCGAATTTTAAACCAGGAGAAATTATATACATTTTATATGCAAGATGATCCCACTTCAATATCTTAAAAACAAAGAAATTTTCTTCGGGTTAAAAAAATCGTTACCGGAATGTAATTCATATTAAAATGAAATAACTCAATATTTCTCACCTAATCTCAATATAATATCTGGAGTTATATGTATGTGCTTGAGGACCTATTAATTAAAGTTAATGTCAGTTAAGGTTCAAGTTTTTTTTTAGTTATTTTCAACAAAAGACTACTATGACGACAAAAAAATACTAAATAATAACTACCTAGATCATTAACTATAACAATGCTTATAACTTTGTTCAATTTTTCTCACCTAATCTCAATAATTGCTGATGATGCTTTCAATGAACTTACGAATTTAAAATACTTTGATATTTCATTCAATCAGTTGGTACAAATGCCAAATGTATCAGCCATGAAGAAACTTATTAGTCTTTATTTACACGAGAATAGCATTGAAGCCGTGGCCAAAGAAGATCTTTCCAACAATTTAGACCTTAAAGGAATATGGCTTTATAACAACAATTTGAAATATATCCAAGCTTCTGCTTTTGAACAATTACACAATGTGAGATTCGTTGATTTGACACACAATAAATGCATTAACATGGCTAGAATTTATTACAACCCTCAGCCATTCTATAATGCAATAAATGCAAAATGTAAACGTCCAAATGAAGATAATGAAATTGAGATTTTATTCTGAGCAGAGTGGATGTAAATTACTAACCTGTTATTGAAACATAAATAATAAAATTGATAATAAAATATTTAATCTATACAAATGTCTCGTCTTGTCGATCGTTCAGAACATTCACATCAAAGGGAATCCCTAAAAATTATAAACTCTCATTAAAATAATCTCGAGGGCATAATAAATATCTCTTTAAACGTACAAGAGATTTACAAAATCAAATTAGCAAATTCTTTTAGTCGCTAGTTAAACATTGACCAGTAAACATGAAGTGAGTTAAATACATATTTTTTTCTCTAGTGATCAACTTAATTTAAATTTCTTTCAATAAAATTTCACAGACTTGCAGTTATTTTCTTTATTTTTGTTGCCTCTCACTGTTGCGTGGGTGTAGACATTTATTGTGATTTCATCGGATATGATTGGAATACTTGGTTTGTCGAAAGTTACTGTGGTTCATGGTGAACATGATCAGAATCGCAGTGACGAAGACGTGTTGGGGGTGGAGATTCATGGACAAAAAACTTTCGGCATTTTAAAAGGACTGACAAAATTCTTCCCAAATATGGATCAACTTTATGTTTTCCGATCTGATCTAAAATTCATACAACGATCAGATTTCAAAGGATATAAGCAATTGAAAACAATTTCACTATCGAGAAATCATTTATCGCATCTTCCTTATGATGCTTTCGAAGAACTCACGAATGTTGAATATTTCTCAGTTGACACAAGTGCCAAACGTGTCACCCATGAAGAAACTTAAAAGTCTTTATTTGTTTGAAAATAGTATTGAAACCTTGACCAAGGAAGATCTTTCAGAAAACTTGGAACTTGAAGTGATTTGGCTTTATCATAATAAATTGAAGTACATTGAAGCTTCTGCATTTGAACAGTTACCTAAGTTGAGGGTTGTTGATTTGACACACAATAGATGCATCGATATGAAAAGAAATCAAAACGACCAATTGCCATTTTACAACGCAATTAATGAAAAATGTTCTGAACGACCAGTTGAAGAGAATGAAATTGAAACTTTAGCCAGATCAGAGTTATTTTAAGTTTCTTAATACATTGATAAAGAGTCTTGATGTTATTGAAATGTAAATTTGAAAACGTTTGATAATGAATTATTTACGAGAAATAATTACGAGAATAAACACGAATTTTGTTGAGATGAACAAGAAAAATTTAGAAATCTCTTGTCAGTGTGTAGCCAACTTCTACGGTTATCAGTTTACAAAATTATAGGTCAAATGAAGTGAGATCAATCATTTATATGCTCAAATTTGCTCAGCTGAAAATTTACTTTTAAAGATTCACACTTTTGATTGCTGCAATTGCTGCGATTTCGGGATTGGACGCAATTTTCACTTGTGAAAGCATCGATTGGGATTATTGGAGTCAATGGTCGCAAACGATTCCAATGCACTTCGGTTCCTTTTAATTCTTTTAATCAGAAGAACAGATGAGAGCTTGAAATTGAAAGGATTAGTCATAAAAACATTTAAAATTTGTTTTTGATTAAATAAAAAAAAATTTATTTGCATTTTTATATTCACACAAAGTTTTTCAATTTTCGCTCAACATATCAGGATATTTATCTCGCATTTGTTTTTTAATGTTTGGTTTACAAAGATCAATCGCTGTTTGTTTAGCGCGATTGAGGATTTTCGGATCGGCAC